AAAGCATGCAGACCTATGTGTTTCAAGTTAACCACCATAAGAGAGCATCTCCCACAGAGGAGATGGAAAAACAGATTGATTGGATGATTTATCCAGGAGCTTCTCCCCTTGGCCACCTCAGTGCTTGTGCAGTGGGCCCATGAAGATGTTCATAGCATGGAGATTGTGCTTGGGCCAACACCATGGACTCCCTTTCACCAAGGCTAAGCTACCTACTGCTATAGTTGAGTAACTAACCTGCCAGTAGCAGAGACCAACAATGATTTCCCAATGAGGTACCACCCCTCAAGAAGTCCACTCAGCTACTTAGTGACATGTTGATTACATCACTCCCCCTTTCTCATGGAAAGAGCAGAGATTTATTGTTATCAGAACTGACACCTATTCCAGATTTGGGCTTTGCCTTCTCTTTCCACAGTGCCTCTGCCACCACCATGTTCTGAGAACTTAAAAAGCCTGATTTACTGCCATAAAGTTCCATGAAATATTGCCTCAGAGCAAGGAGCGCATTTCATAGTGAAAAAGTTGAGATAATGAACACATGATCATCAAACCTGTGTCATTCTGAAACATTTGGCCTAACAGATCGAAGGAACAGCCTATTAAAGCTGTGGCCAAGATGGCAGCTTGCGCAATCCCCACCTGTGGGTGGGATTCTGTCCTCCATAATATGGTATATGTATCGAGCCAATGGCAGATATATGCTGTTGTTTCCCAATAGAGAAATTGCATGAAGCTGGAAATAAAGGATTTATGTCCCTCACCATCACTCCCAGTGATCCAGAAATTGAATTTGTGCTTTCTGTCCTTGCAGCCTTAGGTTCTGCTGGACTTGTGGTATGAGTAGAGAATGCTTCAACCAGGGGTCACAATACTGAACTGAAACTACCTGATCAGTTTGAATTCATCAAGCATACTTCATATACTACAAGAGAAAACCTATTCTGAATATTATGAAGAAGTAGAGTTGTTTTTACTTAATTCAGATAGGGAAGAGTGTGTTTGGAATTCAGGATGTTCATGGGGGTATATCTCTTGGCTTCCGTGTCCAGTGATAATTGTGAATAGCCAATTGCAGCAACCACTACCTGACAAGGGCAAGGAAGTTAAGGGCTCAGACCGCTCAGTGATGAAAGTTAGCTCACCCCCTTAGCTGTAGGGCCTGCTGTGAGTAAGGGAAATCTACAATGGATGAAAGACAGGGGCATAGTGAATATTAATTAGAGCCTCAGGACTAGTTAGAGTAGTGTAACTTTATCTCATGAATCCTCTTGTGTTAAATTTTATTTTTTATTTTTGAGACAGAGTTTCATTACATCAGTGTAGCTCACAGCAACCTCAAACTCCTGGGCTCAAGCAATTCTCCCGCCTCAGCCTCCTGACTAGCTAAGATTATAGGCACGTGTCACTAGCCCGGCTAATTTTTCTATTTTTAGTGGAGATGGGATCTCGCTCTTACTCAGGCTGGTCTTGAACTCCTGTCCTCAAGTGATCCTCCTAACTTGGCCTCCCAGGGTGCTAGGATTACTGGTTTGAGTCAATGCATCTGGCCTCTCTTGTATTAAATCTTTAGCAGAGCTCTCACCTGGCCAACACTTCAAAGCCTTGGTGATAGATTATGCTTAATATATAGGCCATGAGCAGATATGTGTGGTGTAAGAGGTAGAATGTATCAGATGCCTTTTTAAATATATATGTTTATGTTGTTATTTATTGTAAATTTAGGGAGTACAAGTGCAATTTTGTTACATGGATATATTACATAATGGTGATATCTGGGCTTTTTGTGTAACCATTACCCAAATAGTATACATTGTACCCATTAGGTAATTTCTCAACCCTCACCACCCTCTCACCTTTTAGAGTCTCCAATGTCTATCATTCTACTCTCTATGTCCATGTGTACACATTATTTAGCTCCCAGTTATATGAGAATGTGCCGTATTTGACTTTCTTTTTCTGAGTTATTTCACTGAAGATAATGGCCTCCAGTTCCATCCACATTACTGCAAGAGACATAATTTTATTCTTTGTATGGCTGAGTAGTATTCTACATTTTCTTTATCCAATCATCCATTGATGGACACTTATGTTGATTCCACATCTTTGCTATTATGAATTGTGCTGCAATACACATATGAGGTTGGTATCTTCAATATAATACTTTCTTTTCCTTTGGGTAGATACCTATTAATAGTAGGGGGATTGCTGAATCAAATGGTAGTTCTATTTTTAGTTCTTTGAGAAATCTCCATACTGTTTTCTATAGGTTGTGCTAATTTATATTCCCACTAACAGTGTATAAGAATTTTCTCTGCATCCTTCCCAACATATATTATTTTTTCATTTTTTAATAATAACCATTCTGACTGGTGTAAGATGGTATCTCATCGTGGTTTTAATTTGCATTTCTTTGATGATTAGTGATGGTGAGCATTTTTTCGTATTTGTTGGCCCTTTGTATGTCTTCTGTGAAAAAATGTTTGTTCATGTCCTTTGCCCACTTTTTAATGAAGTTATTTGGGTTTTTGTTGTTGTTGTTGTTGTTGTTGAGTTGTTTGAGTTTCTTGTAGATTCTGAATATTTGTTAGTTCTTTGTCAGATGTATAGTTTGTGAATATTTTCTCCTATTCTATACATGGTCTATTTAGTCTGTTGATTATTTCTTTTGTCATTCAGAAGCTTTTCAGTTTAATTATGTCCCATTTGTCTATTTCTGTTTTTGTTACATTTGCTGTTGAGGTCTTAGTCATAAATTCTTTGTTGAGACTAATGTTCAGAAGAGTTCTTTCTAAAATTTTCTTCTAGATATTTATAGTTTCAGGTTTTACATTTTAGTCTTTAATCCATCTTGCATTAAATTTTTATCTGATGAGAGATAGGAGCCTAGTTTCATTCTTCTGTATATGGGCATTCAATTTTCCCAGTATCATTTATTGAATAAGGTGTCCTTTTCCTTGTGTATCTTTTTGTTGACCTTGTCAAAGATCCATTGGCTGTAGGTATGTGGCTTTATTTCTGGGTTCTCTATTCTGTTCCATTGATCTATGTGCCTATTTTTATACCAGTACCATGCTGTTTTGGTGTTTATAGCCTGTAGTATAATTTGAAGTCAGGTAATATGATGCCTCCAGCTTTGTTTTTGTTTGTTTGTTTGTTTAGGATTGCATTGGTTATTTGGGCTCTTTCTGGTTCCATATGAACTTTGGGTTGTTTTTTCTGTTTCCATGGAAAATATTATTGGAATTTTGATAGGAATTGCATTGAATCTGTAGATTGCTTTGGGTAGTAGAATCTGTAGATTGCTTTAATGATTTTAACAATATTGATTCTTCCAGTCCATAAGTATTGGATGTTTTCCAGTTTGTTATCATTTACAATTTTTTCATCAGTGTTTTTTGCAGTTTTTCTTCTAGAGATCTTTCATCTTTTGTTAAATGTATTCCTGGGTATTTTATTTTATTTTTATAGCTATTATAAATGGATATGATCATCTTCAATATATGCAGAAAAAGAATTTAATAAAATTCAGGATCCCCTCATGATAAAAAGCCTCAACAAAGTAGGCATAGAAGGAATAATAAAAGCCATATATGATAAACCCCAAACCAACATCAGACTGAATTGGGAAAATTTGAAAGTATTCTCCCTATGAACTGGAACAAGAAAAGGATGCCCATTTTCACCACTCCTATTTAGCATAGTACTGGAAGTCCTAGCCAGAATAATCAGACAAGAGGAAGAAATAAAGGACATCCATTTTGTAAAAGAGGAAGTCAAATTATCTCTGTTTGCTGATGATATGATCATATACCAAGGAACCCCTAAAAACTCCTCCAAAAGAATCTTGGATTTGATAATAGAATTCAGCAAAGTTTCAGGATACAAAATCGACATACAAAAATCAATAGCATTTCTATACATCAATAACAACCAAGCTGAGAACCAAATAAAGAACTCAAATGTTTTTATACTCAGTTTTACATCCTCTTGTGCTTATCTCTAATTCCAGCCACAGCTGTGGAAAATAGTTCACTATGTACTTTGACTCTAAATAAATATGCTTCCAGATTTTTGACTGAAGTTTTCACAGCGTATCTTTGTTGATCATCCAAGAGCTTCTCTGAGACAATGATTTAGGACATTGGAACCCATATAACATATCTTATGTGCAGCCAGAAAGTGCTGGAAAGATTATTTCCCTAAGAGGGAAATAATGGGGAACCAGATCTGGTAAAAGAATGCTACTTGGCATTGATTCTTTGATTTGGAGGGGCATTCTATATTTTTCTTAGAAATTCTCAGCAATATTGAGCCACAGTTGTCCTCAGTGATGCCCAAATTTTCTGACTCCAACTTTTGCCCTCCCTCATACCTAAGGGATTACCACCCAAATAAACTAACTGCTTATAAGACCTCACCTCAGACTTTGCTTTATAGAAACTCAAGGTAAAGATCCCATCCCTTATAAAATAGTGTTGCCCTCTTCTAGTCTCTGTAACCCCTTTAGCCTGCTTTTTTTTTCCATGGCACTATGCTCATCAGATATAGAATCTAGCGGGGAGACGTGTGTGCGCACACACGCATGTGCACAGTAGATTCTCTGTATCTGCAGGTTCTTCATCCACTGATCCAACCAATTTCAGATGGAAAATACATTATTTTTGAGATGCCAACCCTCTGATATGGGTTCTGCAGGGCTGGCTGAAGGACTTGAGCATCAGCAGATTTTGGTATCCATGGGGTCCTGGAACCAATCTGTAGATACCAAGGAATGACTGTAAATATCCTCAAGCAATACTTTTATAACTAAATTAATTAAAGGCCAATTTTTATGCTTCCAAAGAAGACTAAAGTCATAGGGATAAATATGAAATATGTTCACTGCCTACTTGAGTACTATTTATTAAATCATTTATTGAATGATTTGATACTGAGTGACAATTGTTAGATCTCTGAAAACAGAATTCTATAATAATTGAGTTTTCTTACTTTTCCAGGTTTTTCTCAAGCAAACCAGTTTAACTATGGAGTTGATAACACTGAGTTGGGAAACAGTGTGCAATTAGTTTCTTCTTTCCAGTCAATTACTTGTGATGTAGAAAAAGACGCAAGTCATTCAACTCAAATTACATGCTATACTAGGTTTGTTTTAAAGTAACATTATTAACATCATTTTCATCATCTAAGAAGACATAGTTATGCATATTAGTAATATAATTGTTTTTATCACCCTGGCTATTATAAGTAACATTTTTCTGATTATTAGTTATAATTTTTGATTTCATGATGTTTAGACTATTTTATGCTTTTATTATATTCAATTATAATGCTCTTTCCATATATTTGCATGATAAAATATATTCTATATCTTTTTCCAGGTTATTAGAGCTATTATTTTATCATTATTGAGCTCTTTTGGAAGATAAATAGCTGCTATTAAATTGTAATGATGTGCCTCAAAATACCAAAATTATGCTTTCCTGTCCAGCTTGATTAATTTTATTCAAATCTTCACATAGTCATTAAGATTAAAGATGAACATCTTGTATAGTGACATCTGAAGTTCTTTGCTATCAGCCTAAATTGATGTGTGTTATTAGCAACTTATGCAAAAAATTTAAATCATTTTAAATTGCAACTTTCAATATTGACCTTAGAAACAGGTAACTCATATTCCAGAGGAGTTTTATCTACAGTAGGCTTGTTGGCTATTCTTCAGCAGGAAAAGCTTATTTAGGGGGAAACTTGGTTAACTAATACTTTTTAAGAAATAAAGCATGGGATAACTGAATGTGATATTTTACTATTTTAAATAATTATTATCATTGTTATGTTTGTTGTTATTGCCTTTGTTGTCTTTTTCTGGGGGAAGCAGAGTCTTGTTCTGTCTGTTGTCCTTTTTAATCAGCACCAATGCACATAGTAATAATAGGTATTTGTCTGAATTTCATAAAGTTAGATTTTGCATAAAGGGTTCAGGATAAAGATTATGCTTACATAATGGAATTTAAACATCAAGTAGAATTTTAGACACTTTTTGTGTCTAAAATGTTTGAGTCTGGGGCTGTAGTTTTCATCAATACTATAAGGAGTTATTGCATTCCTCACACATTCTTCATTTACTTTTTAGAGCAATGCCAGAAGATTCCTACACTGTTAGAGTCAGTGTGGATGGGGTTCCCATTGCAGAAAATAACACCTGCAAAGGTCACATCAACAGCTGGGCATGCAGCTTCAATGTATGTAGCAATTTTCTCTTTAATTTATGTATGATTTATCTTGTTTTCTTTCTTCCAAAACTGGGTTTTTATTTTTATAGATTATTATCTATTTCTACATTCAAAAACATATTAGCATGTAACTAAGGATAACTTCCCCCAGTTTTAGTTACATTCCATAGTAATTGAATCTCTTTTATTTCTGATTTGTTTCCCCATCCTTTAAATTCATTTTATTAATGAATTAAAATTATATACTTCCAAATTAGTTTCTTGTTTATATTTGTCCATTTTTATTCATTTCTGTTCTTTTCTTATTTTCATTGTGCTCACTGCTTCCTTTTAAGTAAAAGCATAGCTACTTTTTCTTTCTATATAATTTCTAATGTAAATAGATAAAATGTGTCTGCATGTAGTATAAGTGTTACTCAAAATGCAGTTGCCCTAAATAGAGGTATTTGCAATAATGCATTTTCTTCTAAGCACCATCCCATATATTTTTAAAAATTGTAGTTATGTTTTAAATTGTCCATTACCGAGTACTACAATGTTCCAATGTAAAATGAAATGTTAAAGAAAATAATAATTACTTCTGTCCTCAAGAAGCTTCTGTGATTCTCAAATATATTGCCAAATATGATTCCCAATATCTCTGGTTCCTTTCTCTCTCCCTAGACATGGAGCCATGTTTTGTTTCTTAGTATGTCCCACCTAAATGGCCCCCAAACAACCCAAATTTAGCATATCTCAAACTGAACTTTGTGTATTCCTCCTCAGTCTGACTTTTTCTCTGATTATCTCTCACCATCTAAAACTAGAAACAGTTTATCATCCTTGGTTTCTCCCGCACCTTCACTTTCAGCAAACAGCAGTTGACAATTCACTCTACCTAATTCTCATTTTCCAGAGTCAACCACTTTCAACATCATCAGCTGTGTATTTAACTAATAGCTATGTTTATTATTTGGAAATATACTTATTGCTATTTCTGAATCCTTATAGTTTAGCTATTGTCTATTTATGTCTTACTAGAGAAGATGAGAACTAAGCACCTGTACTCATACATCAGTGCCTCAGTAGTACTGCCTAACACTACTCCAAAACTTAGTGGCTTCATGCAGCAAAAACTTATATTGCTTATGCATCCATGAGTCAGCTGTGTAATTCTGGAGCTGGGTGATTCTAGACAGTTCATCTCTGTTGGCCTTCTCATTTGTCTATGGTCAGCTGTGCCTTGAGTAAGAGGCTTTGCTGATCTTGGATGGGCTCTTTCACATTCTGAGGCCTCAGCTAGAACAACCAAGTTGATTAGGTTTTGTTTTACATGATCTCTTTATCCTCCAGCAGGTAGTCCAGACTTATTCACATGTTGTAGGTAGGGATCTCTAAAGAGAGCAAAAGTATGCAGGTAATCTTGAGATCTAGGCTCAGAAGTGTCACATTACTTCTATCATATTCTAATGGTCAAAGCAATTTGTAAGACTAGTCCAGATTTAACGAGTGAGGAAATAGGCTCCATCTCTGGATGGGAGGAACTACAGATGCATTACAGTGTGAGGATACAGAAGAGGGGAAAAACTACAGCCATGTTTAAAAGGAAATTACTACCCCTCCCACCTCCAACACACAAATGTCCTCCCATCCCTTAATTAGATATGCCCTACTTTTTGATAAAATCAATATTCATAACATTATTTATGTCTATGTAAGTATATTCACAGCTGAGCCATGTAGTATACTATGAGCAAATTTTATTTCTTATACAATATATTGTTTTCCCTGGAGTTAATAATTGGCTCTTTTATATATATTTGTGTAGTTTCCAGTGTATCAAACTCTCCACCAAAAGTGACATTTTTTTAATATATTCAAATCATTGGGTAATTTATGAAATCATTTTTGCCAAGAATACATCAATTGTGAATCCCTCTGTCCTCCTGATCCAATGTGAACAGTTTATTCACTAGATATGCAGTATGACAGTCAATCATTAGGTTTCCTTTCACAAGCTTTCTGGGGACTTCGTCTCCTATTACTATCCCTTTCTAAGTCCTATGTCTTCCTCTTTCTTAATTTACTACTTCATGATGGGGGAGTAAAGTATGCTTAAAAAATAAAATTCTTTCAATACTAAATTGAACTAAAACCCTTCCAATACTAACATTTCCATGCTACCTTTACATTTGGTTGAGTTTAGTTGGGTATTGAATGCTAATTTGGAAATACATTTTACTTAGAATTTTGAAATTTTGTCGTTATTGTTTTCTGGCTCAGTGTGTTTTAAACTATCTATGGTGAAGGATAAACTTTAAAAATTGTTTAATCTGTTGAGGATCAATATCTTGTAACTATAATAAACATCACAGCAATGTCAAATTGATATAAAAGTTTCTAACCGCTTACTCTCACTTTGTGTTCTTAAAACCCTATACAAAATTATGTATTTATAACTTTTAATTCTCATACTATTCTCTGGTTTTATATTTAATAATTTTTATCAATATCCTTGACTGCTGTTATTCATAATCTATAATTATTATTAATTTTCAGAACCTGTTCTCCTCTTTCTTTCTAGATAAAATATTTGCTCCATCATCATCATTTATTCTTGTGATTTTTGCAGATAATTTAAATTCAAAATCTGTTTCTGATCTAGTCCTTCAAGTTATGATAGAAACTAATATATTTTTTAATATGGACTCTTCAATTATTTTGTCACAGATATTACTTAGGTGAGGACACAGTGTCTTAGAGAGATTGATTTGCAGGGATATTGACAATACCTCGATATCCTTTCTGTTATTCTGCCTCTAAAAATGATATTTTGCCCAGAGTCTTCTTGAAAAAATTCTATTACTTTACACAGATTATCCTTTGTTTATCTTCTCCTTTTACCATTTTAAAGTATGAAAGATTAAGTCTGAAGTTGTTGTTAGCCTCACATTTTAAAATTTATCTCTTTTCCTTGGCAATATAAAAAATCTGTCCTGTCACTTATGAAGAAATCTGGGCCTCTTTCTTTCAAGTTGTCCCTTAATGAGATTGGAGGGACAACTGACATTTATTGAGGATACTTTGTGCTAGATTATTTTGCTTGTATTATTTTCATATCCATGTAGAGGCTACCTGTTTCTCTACCATCAACTCCTTCCCTCCACCCCGAAACAAACTTTATTCCTTAAAAATGCTTCCCATGTTTCTGGCTTTTTCTGTTTTTGGTGACACACTTTTGTTTTTGAAGATGAACTCTTTTTGATCAATCTCTAGCCATCTATTTTCTCCTGCATTATTTGTTTTTAAGTGTAAGTTGTGTTCTGGATGCATGTTGATTACTGAGGGTTCTTTATTATGCCCATCAGCTCTGCTCTTTACCCATTTAATATTAATTTTTTTATATTGCATATTTCCCTTTTGTAGTAATTATTTCTCATTTTGTCATGTAAAAAGAGACTAGCTATGTTTATTAATAATTAACATGGTACTGACTGATGTACCAGGCAGTATTCTGAGTATTTTATGATTAACTCTTGACTCTCATAACAATCCTATAACTGGAAATGTTATTATCTCTATTTTATGGATGATAAAACTGAGGCACCAAGATATTACATTACTTACCCACAGTTAACGCAGCTAATGGGTGGTAGATCTAAAATTTGAATTAGGACAGCCTGACACCAGAATCTAGGTCTTATCCCTGATAATCTCCTGCCTCACATATGTACTTGAGGATCTCTAACAGGTATATGTACTAGTTTCTTATTTGCAGCCATAACAAATTACCACAAATTAAGTGGCTTACAACAACACAATTTATTATCTCATAGTTCTGTAGGTTGGAAATTGACATGGGTCTCACTGGGCTAAAATCAAGGTGTCTGGGAGGGGCTATAGTCCTTCTGGAAGCTCTAGGGGAGAATCTGTCTCTTTGCCTTTCCTAGCTTCCGGGGGCTGCCCACATCCATTGGCTCATGATCCCCTTCCTCTATCCTCCAAGCCAGCAATGGCCGTCAAGTCTTTATCACACTGCATCGCTCTCTCTGACTTTATGGCCATCGTCATATCACATTTTCTCACTCTAACTCCTCTCTGCCTCCTTGTAAAGTTTATAAGAACCCTTGTGATTATATTGGGCCCACCAGGATAATCCAGGATAATCTCCCTACTTTAAGGTCAGCTCATTAGCAACCTTAATTCCATTTGCAACCATCTGCCCTGTAGCATAACATATTCACAGATTAGGGCATGAACATCTTTGGTGGAGGTGTTATTCTGTCTAGCATAAGGTATTAGAGTTTCTATCATACAGGCCCTCCTGGACTTCTGCTCTCTTCTAATTCTAATTTGGTATCACAATTTTAAAGAATTATATCGGTATTGCTTTGGAAAATTATCATTAGCCTGGCTACTAAAGCTTACTTATCTGCTTTTTCTATGTTTAGCTTCAGTGTTTTTGAAAAAATGCTTTGTTATTTTTTTCATATTCTTAACCATGGGTAAACTTTCTTTAATTTTATTCCAGTAAATTCCTAAAGATCTTTACCATAGAGCCTTATTACTGTGGTTTGGTTTACACTGCTAACAAAATTATGATTGAATTTTAAAATTCCAGGCTACAAACATTTTGAAATGAAAGACAATTTTTAGGAGATAAGAAAAAGATCTTGTAATCAGAAAATGTTCGAAACTTTATTTCTTATATGTAAAAGGAAATATTTTGACAGTTATATTATGGATGTTGTTACAATATAAATAATATAAAAAATAGACCTATTTCACAAAACTAGGAAAAAATACACACAAGACTGCTTATTGACATTATTATTTTACAGGCAAAAAGTTTCAGAACTCCAACAATAAGGAGCATCACACCTTTATCTGGAACTCCAGGTCTGTTATATGACAGCTGAAATATCTTTTGGTTTTGTAGTAAATCATTTATTTAGTTTTTAGTATGTAAAATTATTGTAACAGCTGAAAATTTATAAATATAATTTTTCTGATTATAAAAATAACTACCAATTAAAAAATATTGGCTGCATATTATTGCAGCATGTCTGCATCTTAATCAACTGTAATGTATTTAACTTTCCCCTCATGTTGAACATTGAGTTGGCTTCCAGTGTTCATTATAATAACTATATTATAGCAGTTTATAATTCCAATGGGCAATATGTGAGAATGCCCTTTTCTGTAGCCTGGACAATTCTAGGTGCTAATTTTTTTTCAAATATTTTATATAAAAATTTAGTAGGTTTAAAAATTCTAATTTCTAATTCCTTAATTTATGTAATTAAATTTATTTTATGCTTATTTCTCAATTGTATTTTTCTTTGGATACATTACCTGTTCATCTCTTTGGCTTGATTTAAAGCTAGCAATCTTTTTTCATATTTAGTTGTAAGAATTTATATTTTAAGGATATTAACCATTTATATGTCACATATGTAGAAAATATTTTTTGAGGTTATCATTTGCTTTTAAAATTTAATATTTCTGTCATTTATACTTTTAATTTTTGTCATCAAATTTATAGATCTTTACTTTTGTCAGTTATTTCTTTAGTTTCATGTTATAAAAGACCCCACCATCGTGATCATGTAGATATATAAATTTTCACCCATTTTTCAAGTTTTCATTGTTTTATTTTATTTTATTTGACTTTTAGAGACAGTTTGTCACTTTGTTATGGTTTTATTTTTCATATTTAATTTTTATTTCACCTAGAATTTATTTTATTTTTCAGTATAAAGTAGGGATTTTTTTTCAAAGAAATCACCCATTGACATAAGTGATATTTATTGATATTTATTGAATCCATTTTTCCATGATGGACTTCTTTAATCTGTAAATTCTTACAAATACTCATTCATGTTTTATTGTATTGCTAGGACTTTCAGAACAATGCTAAACAATACTAGTGTACATAGGATATAAGCATCTGAATGCTGGTTATATTGGGAAAACCTCTAATGTTTTGGTGTTAAGTGCATGAAGAGATATTCTTATACTGAACCTTTTTGGAATTTTTGGTTTTTAGGTACACTAATAACAATCCAAGGCAGACTCTTCACTGATGTCTACGGAAGTAACACTGCACTAAGCTCAAATGGGAAAAATGTTAGGATTTTGAGGTAATTTTCATGCAGAAATATATTTCTATAACTTATAGCTGTGATATAATATTCTAAAATCAATTGGCCCAATGACATTAAAACCCATTACAATGGGATGGGACTAATCATGTATTTTCAGTCATATTATAGAAAGAAAAATAGACATTTGGATGACACATTGATGTGGAAGCAATGGTCAAAATGCCTTTTTTCTTTTTAAGATCCGACATAATTCCTTATTTTTCTGTGACAGATTTTATTAACAGAAGACACATGGAGGCAAATCCAATAGAAACTGAGTTATAGTAATGATATTTTATTACCGGAGGACTTTATTACTTAATCTAACTGCCTCACTTTGCATATAAAAAATACCTAAGTCCTGGAGGTTACACAGTTAGTCAAGGTCAGGAGTAGAACACAAGTCTTGTAACATACAATTTGTACTTTCTCTACTGCACCATGGTACACAGCATAGTGCTGAAACTAAAAATGGCCAATAACTCATTGAGGCCAACGTTTGAATCCTGGTTCCTTAATTTACCAGGCAAGGTTACTTTGCAGGGAATTCAATTCAATTCAATTCAATTCAATTCAATTCAATTCAATTCAATTCAATTGTTGACCAGATAGTAACATTGGCTAGTTAACTACCATCAAAATATAATTGTCTGCATTTTGGATTGGGAACTAATATTATCATGAGAGTTATCTTCCTGGAGCATAGATGGTGTTATTTCAGTCCTGCCTTGAAAGACTGAAAGTCCTGTTCATTTCCTGCCAGAATGAAGTATAGATTCAGGACTATGTCTTTCAAGATGCTTCATGTTTATTGAATACATAAATAAAACAGATAAATGGATAAATTAAATAAACAATTAGATAGAAATTAGAGATATTTTGGAATACTAAAAAGGTGAGATATATATGTACACACACATACATATGCATATATAATGTGAAACAAGCAATTCAAAAGGTTTTAATAAATGAAATAAAAGTGGTTTATCTGACATTCTGTATATAAAGTAGAATTCTCAATCAAATCACATTTGTATGTATCAGTAATGTTCTGGAAATGTTCATATCTATTCCTTATATGTAATAAAAAGAACTACTAAGTAGAGGAATAATTATCATCTTATATACACAATTTAGCTTAAGATTTCATCTGCCTTAGTGTTATTGAGTGTTGTGAATGGTTAATATTGTAATTATTAGGGTCTTCTAAGTCATCTTTTCCCATAATGAGGACAGGAAATAGAAAATTTAACTTCCAAAAAGATTTTTTTTTCACCCACTGTAAGTGGAATTTATTTATGTTTAATACAAGGGACTGGATGGAAATTATTTTATGGAATCATAGAATCACAATCAGAAGGGAACTTTGAGGTCAGGCTACCTTGCCTTGTACTCTGGAAATCCTGAGTTATTACATATATATAGTACATTTTTTCACACATTTATTACTGGATAGTGAGAAGGTCTTAGAGCTACATTTCCTCCATGTTAACTATGATACTAGGGCTCTCACGGCATTTCATTGTGCATGGATTCCGTTAGCCATGGGGGAAGTTGAGAGCAATGGCTGTATTCTGGGCAGGAAGTCAGGAGACCTGCTTCTCACAAATCTTGTCCATTCAGCCAAATCTCCAAATTCAGAGCAGGTACAAATTATAGAGGACATGCAAATGAGTAGAGGGGCTTAGTGTTTACTAAGGAGCTTTTGGTCTGAAACATCAGGTGAGAAAAAATTATTAAAATATGTTTTTCAGGCCAAATAGGGTAGTATTACCATAAACATACCCAGACCACTGGGGGATGGGGATGGGGGTATGGGGATCATCAGCTGTGGTTAAGAGCGTAGACTGGAGCCAGAATGTCTGGGTGTGAATTCCTGCTTTATCCTTTATTGGCTGCAGGCTGGGCAAGCTCCTTAACCTATCTGCTTCTGTTTCTTCATTTGTAAATTTGAAGGATAATATAATAGCTACTAACTCATAAGCTGGCTGCAAAGATTAAACGTAGTAGGAGCTTATAGTGTTAGCTGCTAAATTTATTTAGTTGGAATAAGGCAGGAGGTTAGAAGGAGAATTTGAATATATGAATCTCTATAATGAGTGCAATACAGTTTACTTGCTTTACAAACCTAATGTAATGATCAAATGAGCAGACTTAGGTGTACAGGGATGTTATCAAGCTTAAAATTTTCTGCAAACAAAAGTTTTTTTGTGTTTTTTTTTTATAGTTCAGGTTTGTATCTGGCCCTATTTTGATTCTGGAATTTGCTGTCACAAAAGCTGGTGGTTGATTCCGGTGTTGCAAAGAATACAAAACCAGTCAGTCACCTGCTAGTCTCCAATAGCCTCGGGTTTTGTCAGCCTCAAAGTGATAGATTAGACCTGATCAGCTGGGGAAATATGAGGACAGATGTTTTCCCTGCAACCTAACCTTGCCTCTTCTCAGCTTCTTACCTTCGTTTATATGTCACTGATGTTGTTAGATGTTCTCTTCATCCTGATAACTTTGTGGTACCTCTACTGATTAATTCCTATAGTGTAAAACTTACTACAAATTATGTTTTTAATTGAATTCATTGAACTTTTCAATGGATGAGTTCGTTATCTGTTTCTGGTTTCTTTTCCCATAGTACTTAATACCTTCTAACATAAAAAATATTTTATAATTATGTTGTTTTAGTCTTTCACAGTTAAAATGTCAGTCTCGCAAGGGCAGGGATCTTTATTTTGTTCAGTGATGTGTTCCAGTACCTACAACAGGAACGGCCACATAATAGATGTTCAACAGATGTTTGTTGAATGAATGAGTGATGGATACTAATAAGTAATTAAGAGAAAAAATATGAAGTGGCCAGTAAGCTTGGTGGGAGGAGTGCATTTTGAAGAAATTTATTAAAGCATAACTTGGTCTTTTCTAATAAAAATATTTATACAGAGTTTATATTGGAGGAATGCCCTGTGAGCTTCTCATACCACAATCTGATAATTTGTAAGTAATTTAAATCATTTCCTTATGAAATAAATATACTAAGTTTATATAGTAATTGCTACCAATACTGCATAGCTAAATGATTTATAATACAGTATAAATTATGTTTCATATTATAAATTAGCAATCATTTTTATAGTTAGTTGCTACCTTATATCTTATCCTCCTCTGTCTCTAATAGTTTGGTATCAACTGTTATTAGATTATGAGAAAAGATGTTTTGAGAAATATCTTTATCAAATATTTTACTTCATAGTATAATACTTTAAACCCTTTAAAAGGTATATTAATAGGCATAACCAAATTAATTATAAAATATTTCATTGTTAAATGAAATTTTATTCAAATATTTTCAATGAAGTTTGGGAAGTATTTTTATTTTATAGAAATTTTGGTTGTAGCAACAATTTCTGTCCTGTGGCATATTCAGAAACTAATGAGATATTTTGAAGGGAAATACAGCATTTTAAAATTTTAGTGTCAATATAAACTTTGAGAGTGGCATATATTTTTTATTAGGTATGGTCTAAAATTAGATCATCCAAATGGTGACATGGGTTCTATGATTTGTAAGACTACTGGAACTTATATTGGTAAGTATCAGTGATCTTTTTTCATAATTGTCATAAATGTCTTATTTTATTTCCCTGTTTTGTATTCTCCTAGACCTCCCTGCCTTATTTTGGATCAGTTTTGTGTTCATTCGTATTTCCTCTTTTCCTTTGCTTCCTTTTACTCTCGTGCAAGCATGTATGATTTCGTTTTTTTCTTAAGGTTTAGGTAAACTTCTTCAGTTTCTTTTTTTTTTTTCCTTCTCTCTTCCTACAGAAGATTTCATGACCAATTTAGCTGTTTTACCTGTTGCCTTAACTTCGCTCTAGTTTTTTCTCCTTGATCTATATATTCCAGGCACATAGATTTTTTTTAATTCTCTAATGCATTTTCCTCCCTTCTATCTCAGGCCCTCTGCAAATTCTATCCTGGAAATTTCAGATAAAATGTCACCTCCTCAAAAAAGCCTCCATCACTTACTGTCTTACATTCTAAAAACTCACTCTACTTTTCTTAGATAGGCTTATCATAATTTCAAGTTCTCCGTTTGTGTCATTGCTGTTGACTGATTGTACTCTCCACTAGAGAACACGTTCTGTTAGGAGAAGGACAAGCTGTGTAGTCACCCTGCATCTGCATCTCCCAACCCTTAGCAGAGTATCTGAATAATTAAAAAGCTGTTGAATGAGTAAAAGAAATTTCAAGGCAACATGGTTACATATTTGATCTTTTATGATTCTTAATGCATGGTCATGTTTTATCAGGTTTTTCTAGTTATAACCTGGAGACATTTTCCTATGTATATTTTTAAGTTGTGAATACTGCTTTAAGATAGTTCAGTTTTCATTTCTTTGACAATAGATGATTGCATAAGTACAGTTTTGATTTTATGTTTTTTACTCTGCTTTTAGATCAGCTTTATAATATAGAGTTATTGTTCTCCTGTGATTGGGAACTTAATTGATTGTGTATTTTAATTAATTTCAGGTCATCACAATGTCAGCTTCATCTTAGACAGTGATTATGGAAGGTAGGCCATTTGGTAAATAATAATTTTCATAATTGATTCAATTGGGCAAATAAAATAAAGTACATATTTACTTTGTGCTATAGATGCAGAGATTAAAAGACTAATCGCTTTCTACCCCCAAATTAACCTTTAAAGAGTCTGCAATTCCCTTTCACTCATAATTTATGCTTCATACATAACCTTTCAATTGTTGGGAAATCTAGCATTAACTAAGACAATGAATTTAAACAATCGTTGATTGTGATATGAAAATGTATTATTTTATGTCTTGCACCTCTTCTGATATAATTATAATTTATTGATAACTGAAGTAATTAAATTTTGACCTGAACTAATGTTAAGAATAAATAAAACCTCATGGTTAGTACTACCTGATAAGGGTTTTATTTTAAGATATAGAGAGTTGTGAAAGATGGTAGTTATAGCTTTCAACTGTGCATCTTAATACCAGTGCTAATAATTCATATTTATGACTTTAAATGAAACTAGAATTCATTTCTAGATATTCTTCATCTTGATTGCAGTAGGAAAGAACATCATACTTTTCTAGAAGTATCAGAATATGCAAATAACGCATGTTGCAAACCTCATATTATGAGAATAACAGTGGACATTTAGTGGCAGGCATGATGTTAAGCATTTTACATACATTATATAGTTTAATCCTCCCAAAGATAAATTGAGTACTATCATCCACTCCATTTTACCCCATGGGAAAATGAGACTTAGGTTAAATAATTTGCCCAAGGATATTCAGCTAGTAAGAGATCCATGCTGTCTAACTCCAGGACCTCAGCATTTCATTCCAGGGTTCTGCCATGACTGGTGGGCGGTTTCAGCAATCAGTACCACATCTCATCACTACTTAACATCACGTTCCAGATTTTCTACCATGGCAGAGTCCCCCTCTCTTGGGAGCATTAGCAAATGTGTGGAAGAATTTCTGTCACAATAACTGGGTATATTAATGGCCTTTAGTGGGCAGAACTATGATGTGCCAAGCCTAAATGAATTGTTCTGCCCAAAATGACATAGCGTCTCTCATTGAGAAAATGAGCCAGTAGATGAAAATCCAAATAAATTACATTTAGCATCTATTAATAATATTAATATATATATAGCTATAGTAGATAAACAGTAGATAGATCTGTTAATTTCTTTTTTGTCTGTGAAGAGAGATGCAATGATCAGAAGTTTGGAAACAATGACAATACTACAATCAACGTAGGTGTTATTCCTGGTCAGTACTGACAGACTACAAGAGAAGAATGAGATGTGGTTCCTCCATGCATAGCACTGCAACTGGAGTAGTGAGACAAATACACTATCATTGTATTGAGAGACCATCTACTTCTAGACAACTAGAGGCAATAGTTTTATAACAAAGTGAGGCCAGGGCTGGACACTTTATTACAGACCAATACGTACTAGACCAAAACCATAAAGAACAGTGCAATTCAAGACCAAATCAGAGTGGAAGATATCTAAATGGCAGATATGTGATTTACATGGAGCAAATGACTTAAGAGTCCCATGACTTACCAGTTACTCTCTGCAAAGATATGACCTACTTACATATAACTTGATAAGAAAGGACAATAGGGAGGAAGAAAAATGGTGGAGTAAAGGTGACCTCCTAACTCCCTGCTCCCAGAGAACAAGGCGAAGAACTTGGTCTGCTATGCACGAGTGGATCACTTGCTCTCAAGAACAGCATTGTGAAACTGCAGAGAAACAGTGTGGGACACACAACACGGGAATACAAAAAGGTGAATGGGAGACAGGATCAGGAAGTCTGGAGAATGCATGATCAACAATAGAGAATAGAGCGTGGGATGAATGCGCCCACCTGGCCAGAGAATGGAGTGGGATCAGACCCACAGGAGAATGTTCTGCTTCCCCACTGACCTCCACACCCACTCAGACAGGGACCTGCCTGAAGTCGGTGCAAAATCATGGCAGGAGATGTTGGGCTCTTTGGAGAGCAGACCATAATGGAAGCATTCTGAACTCCCCGGACCTCTGTGCTAGGACTGCACTGGGTGGGGGAGGGACTGGCCTTAGCTACCACTCGAGGGAGTTAGAAGACAGGCACCTCACCTCTGATGGTCAGTGGGACCAGAACAACGGAGGTGAACACTGAAAAGGGGACTCTACCCTGGAAATCCATGCAGGTGATTAGGCCAGCTCAGGGCGGGTCAGAAAGAGCAAGACCTCCTGTCAGGCAGCCCTGAGATAGCGGGCAGGGTGACACTCAAGACACAACAGGGTGTCCTATTGACTCAGCTCCCCAATCTGGCATCTGCCAACTCCTGAATAGTCACCCCAAGCACTGCTGCTCTGCAGGTGGGCGGTCGTTATTCCGGGGATCCACAACCCAGATGCTGTGGTGTGCCACAGTTTTGGGCAGCACCCCTCCTCCAGCCCAGGGACTCTCGTGACCAGCTCTGCCCTTCCATGACCTATTGTCAACTAGCAAGGCCTGTTTGGATGGGCAAATTTTGAGTGCTTCCCCAGTCGTGGGAGGCTAACACCTGCAGGATTCACAGGCACTGGGCGCTGGGTGGACTCAGACATCACCCCTCCCCCTAGCACAGAGACTTTTGCACTGTAAGTAGTAGGTTCCACCCCTGGAGGTAGGGAGAGGCAAGAAAAGCCACTTTACTTATGAGACTGGTGAGAATTTGTGGTGCTTTGAGGCAGATCAGTAGTTGACAGCCCAGTGACTTGGCCTGTCAGACCAGCTTAGATCAAAACTCTGGGGCCTGATCTATGTGTCCAGGAGGCTGTCAACAGTAGGATTTATGGTCAGGGAAGGAAAATCCAGAGGCCATAGTAGGTACAGCAAGTAACCCCTCCCATCAGGAGAAGCCTCCCAAGTGTGGGGGAAGAACCCTGGATAACATATTAGTGGCTCCCCCTAGTGGCAAATCAAGCAACCATAGAAGCACACACACATCCAGGGTGGTAGACACCAGCTGTGATCTGCCTTGATCCTACCACCACTTTAAAGGGGAATAGGGTCCAAATAACCTTTGGGAGTGGCAAGATCCTTCCTAAAGATTGGGGCACTAGTATTCCTCACCTGGGGACCAGAAAGCAACATAGAGGCATCAGAATACCTCTATAACTGGCTCCTCCACACAATCTACAACCAATGAGAGAGAGGGTAACCCTATAGCTCAACACAGTGCCCTCTATTTCAAGCTATTAGAGGGCAGTGGAGTTATACACACAGGTGCAATTCACCACATGGGAGCTTAAGCCCAGGGACCAAACTCTCTAATCTCCACTGGCAAGAGGTGAAGTCAACAGGTCAGAGGTAACCCAACTTGCCAAAATACCTCTAAGGCAATACAAGATCAGCATGCCTCCTCCCACCACTGTTAAGGAACGTCCCTTGGGAACTTGAAGTTAAAGGCACAAACCAGTTCTAGCACTCCCAGTTCTCAAGTCAGTTATCCTAAGAGAAAGAACTAGAGAAAGAACACAGGAAACACGAGAGAGCAGAGAGAAAAGTCATTTCCAAAAGAAATCATGAGAACCTCAAAATTGGTACTAATTTAAATGAAATGATTAAATTGACAGAGGAAAAATTCTGAATATGGTTATAAGGAAACTCAATGGAATTGAAGAGAAAATAGAAACCCAATACAAAGAAACCACTAGAATATAGGAAATGAATGGAAAAATCTCTAAAGAAATTGAAATATTATGAAAAAACTAAACAGAAATCTTGGAAATAAAGGAGGTATTCAAGGAACTTCAAAACACAGTGGAAAGCCTTAAAAGTAGAATGGATCATGCAGAGGAGAGAATCTCAGAGCTTCAAGATAATGCCTACGTGCTAAACAAATCAGATGAAGAAAAAGAACACAGAAGCAAGAGACAAGAGCAGAACATACAAGAAACGTAAAGAAACTAAATGTAGAATTATAGGCCTCCTGGAGAGAGAAGAAAATGCATAAGGGCTGTAAAGTCTATTGCTTGGAATACTGGAGCAAAATATGCCTGGCCTGGCCAGAAACCTAGATATCTAGATAAAAGAAACACACAGAACTCCTGGGAGACTCAACGTGAAGAGGCAAACACCATGTCACATAATTATCAGACTGGCCAAAGTAAACACCAAAGAGGAAATCCTTCACACAGTAAGATGAAAACAACAGATAACCTACAAAGAAAACCTATCAGACTAACTGCTGACTTCTCAAATGAAACCCTACAAGCCAGAAGGGATGGGGGACCCACCCTCAATCTTCTTAAACAGAACAATGGCCAACCTAGAATTCCCTACCCAGAAAAACTGAGCTTCATCTATGTGGGAGAAATAAAGACTGTCCCAGACAAGCAATCACTGATGGAATTTGTGAAGACCAGACCTGCTCTGCAGGAAGTACTCAGACCTGCATTGCACACTGAACAGCATAATAGACACCCACAAAATTAAAAACACTCAAGTGTTAAAGCTCAGAACCCAGATTCTACAATGGCTCAAGAGGTAAAACAAAACAATAAGAACTTACCCAACAACATGAACAGAGATCTACCCCAAATATCAACCTTCTCAATAAATGTGATTGGCTTGAATTGTCATTTGAAGAGACATAGACTGGCTGAGTGGATAAAACATTATAAGACAATTATCTGCTGTCTCCAGGAAATGCATCTAACCCACAAAGACTTAAGATCAAGACTTAAGGTCAAGGGTTGGAAAACAAACTTTCAGGCAAATGGAAAACAAAAAAGAGCGGGGGTAATGATTTTGATTTCAGACAGCATAAAGTTTAAAATAGCAAAAGTAAAGAAAGACAAAGATGGTCACTATATAATGGTGAAAGGAAAAATCCAACAAGAAGACTTAACAAAAATTCTTAATATCTATGCACTCAACACTAGAGCACCCAGATATATAAAGCAAACCCTGTATGAACATGATAAACAGTATGATAAATAGCATGATAAACAGTAATGCCACAGTAGCAGGGGATTTCAACACCTCACTGTCTGAAATGGACCATCCTCCAAACGAAAAAAAGCAAAGAAATAATGGACATAAACAGAGCTCTAGAACAGACATCTACGGAACATTCCACCCAAATAAAGCCGAATATATATTCTTCTCATCAGCTCATGGAACTTTCTCCAAAATTGACCACATCCTAGGCCATAAATCAGACCTGAAAACAAATTTAAAAAAATAGAATTGTACCATGTATCTTCTCAGACCATAGTGGTATAAAACTGGAGATCAATTCCAATAGAAATGCTCACTGTTTCACAAAGTCATGGAAATTAAACAATCTATTGCTAAATGACTGCTGGGTGAAGGAAGAGATTCAGATGGAGATCAAAAAATTCTTTGAATTAAATAATGGGGACACAAGCTACCAAAACCTGTGGGATACAGCAGGATATTAGAAACACACACACACACACACACACACACACACACACACACACATACACACAAAGATAGGACAATAGCATTTTATTGAACATATTACAAAGCCATGTTAGAAGCAACAATTATTGAGTTTTAAATAATTTTCTGAATTATAATAACTTCTTTTATACTCATAGTAGCACTCTTCCTAAGGTGAAAAGAATGGATTATTAGTTCTGAGGCTATATGAAAGGTGTTAATTGCTAAATCCATCATAAGTCTCTCAGAGAAATAATTATCCAAAAATAGAAGGTTTGAGTGATCAAGGTTGAATGTGATTGATAAGTATACATAAATTAATCTGCTATATTACCATGCCCAGAAACTTCCAATTTAAAAATGCCAGCAAATTCACAGGTTATATAGGCAAAAATGCTGCATTACATTGTTGGTTCTATGATCTTGATTTATAATTCCTTTTTTTTTTTCTTTTTTAAGCCACTGGTTCTCCTTTTGTATTAATGTCTCAGAATTGAGGAAATTGCATTTCTATGTGAAATAGTCATACAAATTTAAGATAACTATTAGAAATATGACATTTACTATTTAAAAGCATGATTTTAAGATTAGTTGGCATTTTAAAATGTTGAATCACTTTATAGATTATAAAATTCATGTTGTAGACATTTCAGGAGCATTGCTGAATATCAAATGAACCAATTAAAGACCACTGTGGCACCTACTCTGTATTTCTTTTAATAGTCAACCTTCTCTCCTCTATTACCCCAAGTTCAGACAACAGCTGTTCCAAACTGATAAGGTTCAGATGAAGCTGCCTTAATTGAGAAATGCCTAGTCATTATCAATGAATTAGGGAAAATAACCTCAGTGTCATCCAAAATATAATTACATTCAAATTTTATTTCAGGAGGCAATTTTCCTACTAACTTAAGAAGCAGAGTTAATTTTTGAGATGCGGACTCTGACCAGACACAATATTGTTGGAGCTAGCCTGGTTTCAGATCTTTGGGAAATCAAGTGAAAGGCTTATGACATCAAAATATAAAATCCAGTATGAACTTATTAAAAAACTAATTTAGCATAAAATATTTCAGAAACTCTTTAGTCTTACAAATGCACATTGCAAGTAATGCCTGGGTTAAATTTACAGGAAAATTCATTGTTGGTCTCAACTATAAGATTTGCATTATCCTTTTAGACTCCAGCCCAGTGTATTATAATTCTGATATATGGGTTTTGAGTCTTAATATTGAATTTCTTAATTTTTCTAATTGTGAATTTCTTTGAGGTAATTAAGGAAGCAGCATTTAATTTCTAGGATTCTTTCCCTCCCTAATTCTCCAGTTTATGGAAGTGCAAATGTGTTATCTCTCCAAAAATATGAACAGGCTCTGTGTTTATTAAGGATAATTTAAACCTGATGGGTTCTTGTTCCCTTGTTGCCATGCCCCTGTACACTCACACGAGTTAGTAAGCAGGGCAGGAGTGCTGTGTAGTGAGTGCGCAGGTTGGGAGCCCGGGCTTTGGGCTCAAATTGCCTGGGTTCCAATTCTGTTTCTGCTTCTTACTTGTTTTATGATCTTGAGTAAGTTAAGTAAATTCTCTGAATTTTACCTACCTCATGTGGTTGATGTAAAGATTAAATGGCATAAAAAACTGAAGGTTCTTAACACAATGCCTTCTCTTAGAATCTAAATAGGTTCTAAGAAAGACAGAAAGGGGTGCTCAGCAGAAGAGCTCAGTTTTTATGAAGGGTAGTCTTCCTGTCTGTTTTTTAAATATAAATAGAATTTCTTAAAATCAATTGTATTGAGGTATAGTTTGCATATAATAAAATAAACATAAGTGTGCAATTCAGTAAGTTCTAACAAATGTATATGCACGAGTAACCAACAACTAAATCAAAATATAGCTCATTTTATCTTCCTCCAAAAGTTCCATCCTACTCCTTTGCAAATCATGATGTGATTTCTATAGCTAAAGTTAAAAAAGAAATTCCCCAAATAAAGGTCATTTTTAAAGCAGGAAATTTTACTTTTTCTTAAAACAGGAGTCTCCCAGAGAGAATGGCATATTTTGTTTCTTCTCTCAATAAAATTTCAATGTTTCAAACATATGCAGGTATGTGACATTTTTCTCACTGTGTGTGTATGTGGGGGGAAGGTGGTGTGTACTTCATTTCATCAAATCATTTTTTATGTACTGCTATGAAAGCAAAAATGGTTAAGATGGGAAGTCTAACAGGAAGCCCCAACATTAGCTGAGACCCTCCCCCCATGATAATCTTAAAAGAAGATGAATTCAAAAACAAACTCATCACACTAACAGAGAGAGCAGGGAAATTTGCATGTCTCAGCTTTGGCTATTGGTCAACTCAGCTCAAATTGAAAATATCCTTAAGTCAAAAATGCATTTAATACACCTACCAAACATCATAGCTTAGACTTACCTACCTTAAATATGCTCAGAACACTCGCATTAAGCTATGGTTGGGCAAAATTATCTGGCAACACAGTGCACTGTATTCATTGTTTACTCTTATGATTGGCTGGATGGGAGCTTCAGCTCTCTGCCTGCCCAGCATCATAAAAGAGTATGTAACTCATATTGCTAGCCCAGGAACAGATCAAAATCCAAAATTCCAAGTTCTGTATGGTTTCTACTGAATTTATATTTTTGTACCATTTTAAATTTAAAAAAATCCAAAGTTGAACTCAGGGACCATCTGTACTCTCTCAGATTTATGTTTTCAGTGTGGTCCGTAAAAATCCTTAAGCAGATTATATTTTAATTTAATTATTTAATTTAAATCAATCTCAGGCAATAGTATTCCTAGGAGAACATCAGAACAAACACAAATCCTTCTGGAAGAATCATACTTCATTCCAGGTCAGGAGTGACGGAAAGACACATTCAGATTTCAAAGATGTTAAAATTTGAAAAAAATGTGTGTCTTGGGATCAATCACATGTGATATACCTTGTTTCATTCTAGAAATTTATTTAATGTGAAATGTAAGAATACATGCATAGAACTTAGAGTTAATAAGAATAAATTTTACTAATATACCTAAAACTTTATGGATAAAGCCACAAGAAGACCAATGATAGTTAAATGTATTACTATATGAGAAAATGTAGATATAAGATCTAAGGTCATAAACATAGGAAGGATTCATTCTTGAAAAGCAAATGGAAGGAGAAGTGGTTCTGCCTGACTTCTGTACTTTCTTTTGAAGCTAAACATTTGTGCTCAGCTCAGCTTTTCCTTACTCCCTCGATCCTCCTGTTACCAGTATATTTTTAGTACTAGTCACCATTAAAGTCTAGACCCCATGGAATGTAGGTCTCTGTGAATGCCATGTTTATTGTCCTCTTTGAGGGACTGCACCAGAGACAAAATAATGAAATACATAATCATTCATTTGGTAATCCATTACCTACATGGTGTTAGGTGCTATGGCTAGGTGATGGGAATGTTTTAAATAAACAAGCATTTGGGTTTACGTGTAATATTCATGACATTTTGTTTAATGTGTTTCCCTGCAGAGATCACTACGATTTCACCTTCACAGGGAAGCGTTCGAGGTGGCACCACACTAACAATAAGTGGACGGTTCTTCGATCAGACAGATTTCCCAGCCAAAGTTCTGGTGGGAGGTATTTTTCATGATTTTTAATATATTACTTTATAAGAACCAATCCTGCCTGTTCTTTAATAATTTGTAAGAGTAGTAATAGTCTTTTCTCAGTTAATCTCTTAAATCTAAAGCTGGTATTTTCACGTAGGCTTTTGATTGTGGGGCTTGGTGTTCTTCCCACTGCAATTTTCCAGTAAGGGCCACTCCCTGCAGCTTTGTGTGACCCGGACCTGAGCTCTGGGGTTGGCATTGTGTAGAAACATTGTGGCTGCCATCCACAAATTCCTCACCGCAGTTTAAGGCCACACCTACTCTCTCTTTGATAAGCTCTTAAATGTCCTTTTTGAATGATTGTTATTTCTCAATGAGTTAGCGAATTATAAGGAAATTTAAAGCAGTATTTTGGTATACTCTCCTCATACTCTTAGGAAATACTGTGCCTTATGTGCACATAAAGTAATTACTGGTGATATTGGCCTGGAAAGAGCACTAATTAATGTACTTGTTTACAAACACAAATAGGGCTTGTTTCTCTGGTTGTGCATTGCTTCTATGCATGTGGTCTAGGTCTGTTCAGAGACAGGTTGCTATACAGCTCAAAATGGAGGTTGGGATGGATGTAAGAGTGGGACGCTTCCCACTCAGTCCTAATGACATCACTTCCCTTGACAGACAGGGGACAGGACACCTGCCTGTGCAACTGGCACATACATTTCTGCTACAGCCTTTTTGCTTGGGTACTTTCCACATTTTAAGGAATCTGCCCATGAGCCAGCCAAAATGTGATTTCAGAAGAGAAGAGAAATGGATATAAAGCAACCCCATCTAACATTTATATAATCTTTCCTGTCCCCATGAATCCTTGTTGGTCACCTGTATAAATATTAAAACCTGAGTTATAAAATTTTTAAATTTATATAATGTATTTTTTCTGTTATGATTTTCTGTTTTAAATATTAAAACCAGGAACATAAAGCACTTTTAATTGATATGATGTGTCTTATGATCTGATATTATGTTTATTTTGACTGTGATCTAGTTGATCTACAAAAAATACATATAAGTTTTCTATCATATCTCATTGCCATTAATGTGGCAACCAGATTCAAGATGTTGAATCCTCAATAATTTATTGAAAATAATGATTTGTTTGTGTATTTTTCTTTTGCTGTTGATAAAATGGGCTGTTGGCTTAAAATACTGTTCATATTCGCTGTTTTTTAGTTCAATTTTCTTCCATCCACAAGACAGTAAAAGGTGGTGTAAAAGTTTAAATTTATAGGCCACCAAACAAAACAAAGAAAGCTCCCTCCATTTCCATCCTCCTCACATTTCGTGGGCTGCAATGGCCATTTCAGTAAATATTTACTGAGGGCTGACCATACATAAGGTGCTGTGAGGGACACATGGAGGTGGAAAACATAGACTCTTCTCTAATTGTGCTTAGGTAGAAGTTATAATCATTCTCTTTTAGGCTCTTATTTGTTTTGGTCTCAGTCTGCCTGTGAAAATGCCATTTAACAATTATTATCCCTTTTGTTTTCATTTGAAGCACTAGAGCTAAACCACCATTTTTCCTACCCTAAAAGGGCTGGGGTCTGAACATCGTGGGTTAATTCAGCAACTTTTCTCTGAGGAACAAATTATAAGTCTTCATTTTGGACCTGGAAGTAACATCTTTTACAAAGACATAGTTTTAGCAAGATTTTATCTCTGAAATTGTGAAATGTTTTATCTCAGAAAAAATGTTGCCTTGTGGGAAGTATGACAATTGAGTGATAAGTTTGATGGAGAATATGTAAAGGAAATAAAGAGCCCCAGTTTTGCTCCTTGCTTGTGCAACTTTGTTTTAATTGAAAAAGTACATGAAAATCAGCTGATGTGATTTGCATTCTGAAGCTTGAATTGTAATGGTGCTGCATCTTACCTTTCTATAGGTCAAGCTTGTGATATTTTGAATGTCACAGAAAATAGTATACTTTGCAAGACACCCCCCAAACCTCAAATTCTCAAAACTGTCTATCCAGGTATGTTACTGTAAGGCAGAATGGCCATTTCTGTATTTGCATCAAAAGAATAGTATTGTTATATATCATTAGTAAAAAATATTATTTGAACATTTCAGAATTTGTGGTGAGAATTATAATAAATTTTCTTCAAGTTTTTAAATTTACATTTTCTGGATTAGAAAATATTTGTACTAAAATAGCTGCATTAAAGCTGCAACAATAGAGGTAAACTTGGTTTAAATTCTTCAGATACACTACTGAAAACAGCACATCTCTATTGATAGAGTGTAATGATGCTTTTATTTCATATTATTAATAAATCGTGATTACTAAATCTTGGAAAAGCCTACATAGAAAATTTTTAAATGCCTTTTCCTGCTGAAAAAATAAATGGGGGAGGTTAAATCCTTGTTTGTTTAGAACAATTTAGGAGTGAAAACAGGAGATGAATAATATAACTCAAAATTCCTTTTGGACCTTCACCTTGTGGCCTGGTGAAATTGCAGATGATAGCCTTCTTATCTACATTAATACCATTGAAATGCTGCACATATGTTTGAACGTGGTGTGTATCTCATATCTTGTGCCCACAGTAAAATGTTTATATTAATAATTTTGTCATTAAGTAGTATTTGAAGCCAAATAAATTTTGTTTACCAGCCTCTTAAATGTTTTTGGTTTGCAAGATTTTAGAAAAAAATGTCCAATTTAAGAAAACAATTTTGATATTTATAATTGATGACTCTAAAGAAAGTTGTGTATATCAAAGCACAATGCTGCTGTAAAAGGTTGACATGCTCAAGCTTTTCTCCAACCAAACTCAGCTGAAAGGGAGTAGCTATTATTTTACAAATCCAGACAAGCTTAAAGCTGCTGAAGGAAGGCATGAGTCTAATTGTTGTTGCATTTTAAGGAATAAAAAGAAAAAAGAGAGAGACAGCTCTTTTCTGATTAGGAAAAAACTTAATCACAGATTTACACTGGCAAATCTACGTATAATATAGCAACCAGGCAAATAGCATTATTACTCCCAGTTTACATATGTGGAAACTGAGGCTCAGAGAAGTGAAGTAATAATAAATAAATTGTAGACTGCCTTCTGGGTACAGGTACATGTAGGGGAATGTGTAATTATTTTGTCTGCACACATCATCTAAAAATGTGAATTGAAATAGAGCATCTACAGCCATGCAAATAGAAGGCCATTGAGATATCACATCATGACTCTGATGAAAGGCTTCTTTTATTTTATTATGTTTAGGTGGGAGAGGCTTGAAGCTTGAGGTGTGGAATAATAGCCGGCCAGTACATCTTGAAGCAATACTTGAATACAATGAAAAAACACCAGGGTACATGGGTGCCAGTTGGGTAGATTCGGCTTCCTATAGCTGGCCCATGGAACAAGACACATTTGTCGCACGCTTCAGTGGATTTTTGGTGGCTCCAGAATCTGATGTTTATATATTCTACATCAAAGGTGATGACCACTATGCTCTTTATTTCAGCCAGACTGGACTTCCAGAAGATAAGGTAGGGAAGCTGCAGAATAATATTTGATATTTTAAAAACAATTTGGTGATCTTTATGTTTATCTCACCTATTCTAAATCAAAACCAATGAATATATTAAAAATGTATGAAAAGTGATTTCATCTGGTTTGGTTCTTGGCTATTTTAACATATGTGATAAAGTAGTCATAGAAAACCCATAGCATACAAGAAAATTATTTTCCATACCTAAATGTTGTCTACCAAGGGAGAAACACATATATTTCCTTTAAAATTGAAGTTTTTTTTTGTTATGAAAGAATTATAATCACAGCATAGGAAATTTGAAAAAGAATGAAAATATTTCACTATTCTACATTTACTTGGTCATGAGATAAAATTCATCATTTCTTTATATCTCTATTTTGGTTATTACATAAATAGAATCATACATTCAATTTCATATTCATCTTTTGTCACATATCAGCATAAAATACTATTATTAAATGATTTATATATTCACAAATTTTTTTTTTTTTTTTTTTTTTTTTGAGACAGAAGTCTCACTTTTGTTGCCTCAGGGGCTTAGAGCTGAGTTGACCGTGGCGTGCAGCCTAGCTCACAGCAACCTCAAACTTCCTGGGCCCAAGCGACTCCTCCTGCCTCAGGCCGTTCCCAAGTTAGGCCTGGGGACTACAGGCATGCCTGCCCATGCCGGGCTATTTTTTGGTATATATATTTTTAGTGCGTCAATTAATTTCTTTCTATTTTTTTTTTTAGTAGAGACAGGGTCTCGCTCAGGATGGTTTCAACTCCCAACCCTCGACAATCCGCCGCGCCTCGGCCCGTCAGCATCCTTACCCCCCTTCTCCTCCCCACGCCCCCGCCCTCTCCCCTCCCAGAGTGCTAGGATTACAGGCGTGAGCCACCGCGCCCGGCCTATATTCACAAATTTTAGTACAAATTTTAATAATATGTTATTATGTGATTTTACTAAGCTTAGATAACTAACTCCCTACTGATGTCTTTAACTTACTTCTGATATTTTTATGATCACAAATAATACTCCGTTGGATATCTGTGTTCATTAGATTTTTCTGTATTTTAGATTATTTCCTTAGGACAATTTCACATATGTGAAACTAATAGATCAAATCAAAATAACATTTATGACTCAATTTATACGGTAAGATTTCTTCCTGAACTGATTGCACAAGTTTAATTGCTACCTGTAACTTATGAATTCTGATTTTTATCATAGCTTGTCAGCATGCTGACTCCAAAGATGGTATAGTCATTCCAAATTAGAAGCCCAAAGTCCTCTCACTCTGCTATACAGAACCATTTAGCAATCTCTGTCATATTTCAGGGCTACCTCTAATGACCTAAATTGGATTAAATCCTTCAAAGTTCTCTGCAGAGCAAAAGGCTATGTTATTTAATAATAAAATACCTCCTGCCAGTATGTATATTTTTATTTTCTGCTGCAATTCTAATAATGGAAACGCTATGATCTGTCTATTGATAGCATGCTTAGTATAGTGATGTTGATGTTAGCAGTGGCTGGAAGGAATAAAGTGAGCTATGATAATTTTTAAAAATTTAACTTAATCATGGACAACAGATCTTAAAAGAACAATATGAAGTAGTTTCACACTTTCCTATTCATAAAATTTCTAAGACTGCAGAAATAATAAATGATAAATAAATAAACTTTGAAAGCATTTATTAATAAATCCCCCTGTCTGTCTTTCTGAGATTAGGTGAGGATTGCATATCATTCTGCCAATGCCAACAGTTATTTTTCCAGTCCAACACAAAGATCGGATGGCATTCATCTTCAAAAAGGAAAAGAGTAAGATTTTTTCCCTTGTCTTTAAATTATTGTGTGGTATTTAAAAACTGTAAATCTTTATTTAAAAATAGTTTTGATTCATTTTTATTGGTAGAAGTGATATTAGGTTTATTGGCTTAATTTATGATTGGTCATTTTCTATAATTTTATTAAATTTTTTGTCTAAATTTTCAAGAATACTGGCATTCAGCCAACCAGGTAATTTGAAATCTAAATTAATTTCGTTGCATAAATTATAATTTTGTGAAATTTACTTAATCCTGGTTTTAGTTCTTCACAAGAACTTTCAATCAATCCACCTAATTTCTCTGTTCCCACAGCTGAGCTCTTGAATAGTACTAGAGAAAAATTGCAAAATCACAAGGGTTGGTACCACTGTTAATATATATTTATTATTTACTGATTTATTCCAGGCCCTGGGCCAGGTATTGGAAATTTAATACAAAGGATATTAAAATACATTCCCTGCCCTTAAGGAGCACATCATTTAGTGTTGAAAGGTCAAATTCAGAAAGCATATGAAGATATCATCCAAAGAGCAGATAATCCTATTCAAAAAGACATTCAGGATTCTTACAAAACAAGAAGATAAAAGACATTTGATACATTCAAAATAGAGAACATGGAGAAATGAAGTTAAGTGGAGAATATCAAATAAGGCATTGAAATCATATTCCATTTATCATTTGTATCCGTTAGGTTTTACTGCATAACAAACCACTCCAGACTTTAGTACCTTTGAACAACAAATGTCTATTATTTCACATAGGTTTATGGTTGGCTGGGCAGTTCTTTTGTCCTGGCTAGTTTAGTTGGAGATTGAAGGTCTAAAATGGTCTTATATATCTGGAGCCTCAGCTGTCATGGCTGGGACTTAGAAATTTGGGGCATCCCATTTCACATGGGATGTGAAAGCCTCGTCTTCCAGGAGGCTAGCCCAGGCTTGTCACATTGGTGGATGTGTTCCCAGTAGTAAAGAGGGAAATTCATAATGCACACACACTTTTCAATACTCTGCTAGTGTCACATTTGCTAATATCTCATTGCACAAAGCCAATGGCCAAGCCAACATTCAAGGGATGAACAGACTTCACTTCTTGATGGGAGGAGTTTTTTTTTGTTTGTTTGTTTTTAATGTATTACATCACCCTTCCAGATAGTAATGTGATTATGCTCAGAGGCAATATCATGAAGATCTGGTGGAATTGAAAAGAGAAGGTTGGGATCAATGGAACCAGGAGCAATCATGCTTAATATTCTAAATGAAGTCTTAGTAACAGTGACATGGGAAAGGAATTTTATTGTTGTTGTTATTATTTTCTTCCTCTTTTCTACTTCCACCTCTTGATATAATGAAACATTTTCTTTTTTAACCATGATCACTACTGGGCCAGTCAGGAAAAGTGGAGTGCCTGATTAATCCCTACTGCAATTAAGTGTCTTCAGACTTTGGCTTGGTCTTTGAAAATGAGTTTAGTTTATCTGCTTGGCAGGCACAGAGAACTTGAATAAAAGCAACTGCTGATACATCTGCTGCCTGGTATCTGTGCTCCTGCAAAATCAACTTGAAATTTACACACTCTACTTACAATGATGGCTGTAAATTCTTAAACTGAGGCCACTCTAGGTAGTTTATTGCACAGTGATTCTTGAAGCTGTTCCAAATGTATTACTAGTTCATATTGCCAGTTCATTCTACTGAAATAGTGTAGTTTCATCTAGTGCATGTCTTTTTGAATCTTATTCTTAGTTACTTATTCTCCTTTGAATCTTACCTTAGTTACTAATTTTTAGAAAATCTTTAAATTCTTAAAATTCTCTTAATATCCTCTATTCATATGGAGAAAGGGACTACTAGTATCTATTTTCTGGGGCTTTTATGAAGATCAAATATAATGATGTCTGTGAAGTGCTTAGTTTAGTGTCTAGCATATAGTGTCTAGTACCTAATTAATATTTTTAAGTTACAAGTAAAGATGTAAAATTTAATGGTTTTTCTATGAGTTCTGCTCCTTAATTAGTGTTGGCCACCTCAATTCAGCAGAGCTGGTGAACAGGTTCTTAGGGCAGCCAAGAGCCTCATATTATCCTCCAATATCAGTTCTATGTGGGGACTATGCAAAGCCCCACCATCCTAGACATAGAGAGATGATAAACTTCCCTCATTCATAGTCTTCCATGAACTGTGCATACTTATTCTTCATATACAATAATATCTATTGTACAATGTGAGACAATTTAGAGAAGCTTCCAGGTGGCGTCTCCAAAGATGGAAGCGATGGTGACGTTGCTAGAGATTTAGGTGGGGAAGCAATAGTATTGCACTCACCTGTAACAGCTGGTCAGTGAATATCTTATCCTCAATACAGTTAGACAAGGACATGAATGAGAACAACTCTCTTCTAAAACAGATATATTCCATAATTCATTTTATTTTAGCAAACTGCTATGAAATTTTTAATATTTTAAATCAGAGATACTACAATGTAAAGCATTTAACAGACAGGCTTTTTAGATAATGTTGATATTTTGTTCATTGAAAAAATTTCATGACAAGTGTTGTGGAAAAAAAGTTACATTCATTAGTTACTCTATTTTCCAGGTATTATATTGAAATCTTGCTGCAAGAGTATAGATTGAGTGCTTTTGTTGATGTCGGACTGTACCAGTATAGAAATGTTTATTCTGAACAACAAACAGGAGATGCTGTAAATGAAGAACAAGTTATTAAATCCCAGTCAACAATCATCCAGGAAGTGCAGGTTTGCTATGATAGTAGATCCACTTTATAGAAAGTAAATGTCCTAAGTAATATACTGTTTTGGTGGAAAGAGGCCATGGACTATTATTGAACTGTGGCTTTGAGAATCTGTATTATAAACCAAAAAGGCTGTTACTTGATAAGAGAAATTTTTAAATATATTAAAATATTATTTTATCATTATCATAGAGCAATAAAGAGGCATTGAATAGCTGAATTATTTTTAAATGTATTTTTCATATATTAAAGACTTTTTAAATTGGAAAATAGGTTATAACATTGGAAAACTGGGAAACAACTAATGCAATTAATGAAGTTCAGAAGATCAAGGTAACCAGCCCATGTGTGGAAGCTAATTCATGTTCACTTTATCAATATAGATTAATCTATAACATGGAAAAAACTGGTAAGTTATAAAAAATAAGAGATATTATTTCTCTTCAGATGTAGATGTAGCCATGAAGTATTTGTTCTAGCCAAATTCTACTGTCTGGAAAATACAGTTTTAATAATATGGTAGACAGAAAAGCAGAAAAATATATTATGAAGAAAAGCCTTCAAACTGGCATAGAAAATGGCATCAATACAAAGAACTTTCTGGCACATACCATTATTTTCTGTTGTAAGAGTAATGATAAATGTATATGTAAATACATTTACAAATACATTGTACAAATACAAATACATTGTATATGTAAATGTAAATGTATATGTAAATACATATAAATATTGTGCATTTAACTTACACTTATGACTTACAGGTATAAGTTAAGAAAATAAGAATTAAATTCACCATTGCAAAAAAGTAAATGTGTCTTTCAATTTCTCAAATTGATAGACCTATGATCTAATTTATCAGTTAATAAACAACATTGCATTTCTAAATTTTATAATAAATTTTGAGAAATAATTTTTGCTATTTCTGTTAGTTGTTTTAATTAGTAAATATTGATACATGCTTACGTTTTGACAAATACAATGCTTGATACTATGGGAATATTAAAATAATAAACTATGAGCCCTGTCCTTAAAGAGATCACAAATCAATTAAAAAGTCAATGTTATTGAACTTGAATTCATTTCGGAACATAATTTCTCTAAGTGATAACTTAGTACAAAGTATGGGTGCTTAAAAAATTTAAATACAAACCATCAGTGTTGGTTGTGGTAGTCCAAAAAGATTTCAACGTTTTTGTTTTTGTTTTTTCTTTTTTTAAATTCACCCAAAAGTCTTGCTGCCTGCTGATGCTTCTGACTTCCTACTCCAGTCAGCCTTAAATGACCTTTGGTCTATAAAACCAGATGCAGTTCAAGTGACAAGAGCACAGAATCCCCAGAGCTGTATCTACACAATAACCTTTATATCAGCTAGAGGTAAGCATGTGTTTCATTTTGCTCCTCTCTAGAAAACAAATTTGTATCCTGTGAATTCCACTGTAAAAGGTAAAAGTCTCATAAAATGACAGAGGAAAAGAATTGGATTCATAGCCTTGATTAATGTCAGGAGAAATAGAAATTAAATTATTATTTTTCTATGATAATTTAAATTTTAATTATATTTCAAGGAATGTAAAATTCCACATGAAAAATGTACTATATGCATTACAAATGTACTGTCAATATAATAGTAAAAATTAGTGAAAATTGGTGAAAATACTAATTCTGAAAATAAAATTTCAATAAATCAATATTGTCCAGGAGACACCATCTGGCCAAGTCTTGCCTGTTGAAAGGAATCAGTGATCAAATTCACATGGGAAACACTGCACACCACGGTCCTCCTTGAAGACTGACAGAGCTCAGTAGAGTATTAAAATCCCTGAGGAGTCCTGCAGTTAAAAAAAAAAAAAATTTACCTGTGTTTAATGTAAACTTATTTGATTTCCTTATCGTTTTTTTTTCAACAAGATATAACAAAGATATGGTTATCTTTGTTGATCTATTTATAGATCAGACAGAAATTTTAAGGCTAGCAGAGAAATATGGTACACAAGTCATAACTGGTCAAATTCCAAGACTTTACCTGACAGAAAAGGCCAACAGGATTTCCCTATTAAAGCATCTTTCCAAAGAGGACAGGCATCTGAGGACATGGTCTTATTTCTCTCAAAGTGACATTGTATGAACAAGCCTCACAGGCTGGGGGATGTTTCCAGAAACTCAGCTTTGTGCCCTATTCAGATCTAAAGAAAATAACAACATAGAGCCATTTGCACTTAAAAATAATGGTATTGGCACAAAACTAAAACAATTTTTGAAAAATCCTACTGTACATTCATCTTTACTTCATGGTCCCAATATATCCATCCGTTTATCGCATAATACCTTCTTTTAAGCCATAGAAACAACACATTAAACAGATAGCACTTTGTCTGTTTTGCTATTTCTGCTATGTCTAAATCTGCTCGAATTTAAGGATCTGTATTTTCCCCATTCATCCTTCTTTTGTGATAATAGAACTCCATGTAAAACCAATTTGGTTAAACTTAAGTGTTTGTTATAGTGGTATTTTATTAGCTAATTTTTAAGAATTCTGTTTGGTCCTTCATTGCAGGAGACTTTGATCTGCTTGGTTATGAAGTATTTGAAGGGAATAATGTCACACTGGATATTACAGAACAAACCAAAGGAAAACCCAGCTTGGAGACATTCACACTGAATTGGGATGGGATTGTGTCTAAGCCTCTTACTCCACAGTCATCAGAAGCTGAAGTATGCTCTAGGGATGATCCTGCTGTGCATCTTCCCTGCCTCCTTTCACAGCACTCACCAGCCATTTGTAGACAGATGCAAAGAGTCATTACTTCCAAAAATCACTATAAATCTTTTAGCACCTCACCAACTTACCACACCTTATATACCATGACATTTTTGTCTGAAAGAGGACTCAGAGACAGGCTAGCACAGTCACCCCCTTTTCTAGACAAGATATTTTAAAGCACTTAAGCCTTGCTCTGCTTGCAGAAGCTTTGTGTCCCTCTACCTGCCCTAACATTGTTTTCATTCAGAATCCAATTTGTCATCATGTAAAAGCCAGAAATTTCTTGAGAGATGTGTAAGTAAAAGCTTAGCCATAAAGTATTGGTAAGTTTAAATCTTATTATTTTATTAAACAGAAAGTCATGTATATGTCAATCCTTTATAAAGAACACTTGAGAGAGTAGCAATACATTCTCCTGGTTGACATGGTGAGTTGGAGCCAACCCATTGTGAGGAGAGAAGGGAGGAAATACTATGAAGACAGAGAAGGAAAGGGGAATTCTTAGATCTGTGCCAACGGACCTAATGTAGCTCTGTATGGGGCAGCTGTTAACAAAGAAAGAATTGTGAGTTGCTGAATTTTGACAACTACCTGTACAATGAGTTTAAGTTAATATTTATTTGATGATGAAAGATTTTATATTGTCTCAAGCCCTTAATTCTAAAGAATTATTTCTGTGCTTTGCCGGAGAAATAGATAAGGTATAGAAGACTCATGAATGTCTACCAATTTCTGCATAATCCAGAATTATTTATTATTTTTGAAATAATCATAAATACAGATTTACCGCCTATGCATCTTTTCTTTTGAAAAACAGAATACATTGAAGTGTATATTTTTCTCCAGTTAATTTTGAGTTAGTTGAAAAAATTACTTATTTGGAATCTGTTTAATTTGGTACTAATTAATTTAGGTTTGCTTCATTGCTCTCTTTAAAAAACTACTAAGCAAATATGTCTAACTTATATAATGAGTAAGTAAGCTAATATTAGCCAATTGGATATAAATACTGCTGTTCTAAAATAAACCTCTTGAAAGCTCACTTCACACCAAAATTTATCACATGTTAATTAACAATTATTTAGGAAATGATCTCATGATTATGGCTAAAATATGGAAATTATCTTACGAAAAGGTCCTATTAAAACTGATTAGTAGAATTAGTAGTAGAATTAGTACTATTCTAACTCTTCATGAAAAAAAAGTTACTAAAGTTCATATTGTGAATTTAGTTTCAGGTAGCAGTGGAAGAAATGGTTAGCACTAAGTGTCCACCAGAAATTGCAAATTTTGAAGAAGGATTTGTTGTGAAATACTTCAGAGACTATGAAACTGATTTTAACCTGGTATGCAATATTCAATAACCTGTGAAACTGACCTAATAAGAATTCATATAAATATTGGGAAATTTATGATTTCTTTTTTGAACTAGTATTATTTTATCATTTAAAGTCAAATTGCAAAAATAATTTGTTATATGTTTATTGGTAAGGCCTGTTCTAGCATCTTCTTGTAATATAAAAGGATTGATTTGTGAAAGCAATATTTCCACCACACAAGAATTTTCTTGGTCAATAGAAAGTAGGCAGGATAGGTAAATGTAAGATCTACAGGGTGTTTTGTTTTGTTCACATGGACGCAGAGTATATTTTTCTTCATTGGCTTCAGAGAATACAATTTGTATAGAAGCATTACACAATAAATTGCTTCCCTTGCTTTTTGAGATCACCCTGTGGTCAATTAGTGATGCCTCGTCATTCTTTTTCTTAATGGGATATAAAAATTTTCCCTATATTGATACACAATATAGGGAAAAAACATTAAATACACACTTTCTAATTCTCATTTTGAAGACTTGAGAAAGCCAGATATTTACCATTTTCAAGTGAATATTGTAAGAATAAGAAATGTATAGTCTGGTTATCTAATTTAGGTCAATGACTTAGAAATAAATATAAATCTGTAAAAATATATATCTCATGATACTTAACATGAGCAGATTTATTAGTGAGAAAAAAAATATTTCCATTTAATGGGGGACCTTTCCAACTTAATTTCATAAATATATGTGTATCTGGGTTCTCCTATTCTGAACTTGGTAGTAGCAGCCATGAGGATTGAACAAGTAATTCACATCCTACTCCTTTCCTACTTCATTTCTCATCATCACCTCAACATGCATTTCTAAACTCCACCTAGCCTTACTATTTGCCTTTCCCAGTACCAGGCTTTCTCACTCCTCTGCTTTTTTGCACATATTTTATCCTCTCTCTGAAGTCCTTTGGCCCTTTTTTTTCAAACCCTTTGAACAACTCATGTTTATCTAGAAAGACTTTAAAGACAGTTGTCACTTCCTCTGAGTTACCTTTCTTGGTGCTTTTATGTGAGTTAGATGCCTCCTGTCAGCTTTACTGTTATAATCATCAGTTTCTTTGTCCCAGCTGGGCCCTTGTGTATATGGATAGAGTTCTTCACCCCTTGGAATCCTGAAGATTAAATAAAAAGCAAACACACGAAAACCTGGTATGTGGTAAACACAGAATGAATATTTAGGGAAGGAATGAATAAATATCCTTAAGGCGTTTATAATGTAAGGAGAAACATAAGACTTTGAAAATATTAATAGTTAAGAACATGTATATAGGATTATTAAATAATAATATTATAAATCTGAATAAGAGCTTTAGAATTTCAGAGGAAGGAGAAAATATTTTAAGTTAAAGTAGTTTGGGAAACAATGGGATCCGTGCTAGACCTTGAATGACTTGGGTGGAGACGCTGGTGAAAAAGCAGGACATCAAATCGTGTTTTCATTTGAAATATTATTGTTTCTCTAGGAGCATATTAATCGAGGGCAGAAGACAGCTGAAACTGATGCTTACTGTGGTCGTTACTCCCTGAAAAACCCAGCTGTTCTTTTTGATTCAGCAGATGTTAAGCCAAACAGACTACCATATGGAGACATTTTATTATTTCCTTATAATCAGGTAAACTCAACAAAATGATATGCTAATTGAATCTGGAAAATACCTTGGTAATAAAATTTCATGAAATTGTAAGACAAGGAAAAGTACTTGCCATGTGAAATCATATCATGTTGGACAGGTCTTGCAGTTTACCTTCTGATTGTTTGTGATTTCCTCTTCTGGTGATTCTCAAAAAAAAAAAGAGAGAGAGAGAAATAAAATATATAAATATAGCACCATATATCATGCATTCTGTTTATCTCATAATTTCAGAAAAAAATTATTTGCACACACGTTTAAATACCAAGACAATTAAAAATGTATAAGCTCCTCCATTTTTCTTTACTAATTAAAAAGAAACAAAAATGGATAGCCATCATAGAGTCATATGAGAAAAGTGAAACAAAATTATGAGGAGGAAATGGCAGTTTTAGTATGGTATGTAAGACTAGCTAGATTCACCATTTCTGTGGTTTTAGAATTCTCAACTTGTATTTGTTCTAAGGTTTGAGTTCTTAATATATTTGCATGCTTAAGGAGGTGTGGACCATTAAAATTGGTATTTAATTGCTATTTTACAGTGACATTCATCTCTATCTCTAAATGCTCAACTGCATTCACATCCCAATTAATCTGCCTGAATGTTTACTTCTCTTCTTTCCCTACATACAATGGAATTTTAAACTTTAGAGTTAGTACACAGCTTATCCCCACAGGGAGTGAATTGTTTTCATTTTTAAAGGAAATTATATCTAATAAAACAATAAATAATTCATCAGATGTCAGGCAGTGGGAGGGGGCATGATGGGATGGGTATATTCACACCTAATGGGTGCAGTGTGCACTGTATAGGGGATGGACACACTAGAAGCTCTGGCTCAGGTGGGGCAAAGGCAATGTATGTAACCTAAACATTTGTACCCTTGTAATATACTGAAATAAAAAAGAAAAAGGAAAAGAAAAGAATTAATTACTAGTTGTAAGGTCACTTCATTTTCTCCTCTATAATATCTTCCCTTATTCTTTTGCAGCTAACTGGATGAAATTAATCATTCCTTTTTCTGTGATCTGGTACATTTTATATGAAAAATGCTCAATAAATAGTTACTGAATTTGATTGAATTAATTTGAATTGTTATAAAATAATTTAATGATAAGATATTGTTACTGATTTTTTTCATATTTTGTACATAGTTGTGTTTAGCATACAAAGGATTCCTGAAAAATTATATTGGTCTAAAATTCAAGTACCAAGACAATGGCAAGGTTACTAGGAGCACTGATAAACAATTTACATATAACTTTGCTCATGGAAACAAGTAAGTTACACCATAAATTTGAAAACTTAAGTTATACTATAGTATGTAAACTGTAAAGATAAAACACATCTATTTCTTGGGGTTTCTTTCTTTTTTTTTTTTTTTTTGGTTTTGGGGAGGCAGATGAAGGCACATCATTGCCCTTTTCCATCAGTCTGTTTTTATGCCAGTGTAATGCTGTTTTGGTTACTATAGCCTTGTAGTATATTATAAAGTAAGGTAGTGTGATGCCACCAGCTTTGTTCTTTGTGCTCCACATTGCTTTTGCTATCTGGGGTCTTCTGCATTTCCATGTGGATTTTAAGATTGTTTTTACTAATTCTGTGAAGAATTTCATTGGCATTTTGATAGGGATTGCATTGAAGCTATAGTTTGCTTTAGGTAATATGAATATTTTAACAAAAGTAATTCTTTCAATCTATGAACACAGAATATCTTTTCATTTATTGGTGTCAAGAGAGAGATATTTGTATTGAAAAAATTGATTCCCCCAATGCATTAATGTATGCCTTTGAGGCCACTACACAGTTTAATCTAACATATAAAATGTAACTCCTAGAGTTAGCTCCTTGAATAAATAAAATGAGTGGGGATAATTCTGCAATTTCACAGAGTAATTATTGACTCAGAAGAGCCACAACTACCCTCTGTTGGTAGTCACATGGGCAGATGCAATGCCAGGGGTCAAGGCAGCCCTACTCATGTTAGCTGGCAAGGACCATGAAAAGTCTATAAAAAGAATGATTATATACCAATGCTTCGTGCCCAATTGACTTCAAATCATGAGTAATCTTTTTTTTTTTTTTTTTTTTTTTTTGAGACAGAGTCTCGGTTTGTTGTCCAGGCTAGAGTGAGTGCCGTGGCGTCAGCCTAGCTCACAGCAACCTCAATCTCCTGGGCTCGAGCGATCTTTCTGCGTCAGCCTCCCGAGTAGCTGGGACTACAGGCATGCGCCACCATGCCCGGCTAATTTTTTATATATATATCAGTTGGCCAATTAATTTCTTTCTATTTATAGTAGAGACGGTCTCGCTCTTGCTCAGGCTGGTTTTGAACTCCTGACCTTGAGCAATCTGCCCGCCTCGGCCTCCCAAGAGCTAGGATTACAGGCGTGAGCCACCGCGCCCGGCCAAATCATGAGTAATCTTATGGTGGATCATTATGAAGCAGAAGTTCTTCTTGAAGGGACATCTGAATGTAACTTTGCTACAACAGTTCTGCATGTTCACATTGAACGATGAAATCAAAATTTTAGTTTTGATGCCCACCATCCTTGTGTATTTCACTCCTCCACTACTACAGGATTTGGGAATATTTTACAGATCCCAGCTCTTCCATGTTAGTCAAGCCATCACTTACCATGTCATTAAATAGGTCTCTCTTTTTAGCCTATAATTTATCGGCTGTGAAGTAATTTCAACATGTACTACATTTAATGGAGCTGATTGATTTTCTTTATCCGAAATGTTATAAGACCTTTAAACAAGAATAGCACGAATTTTGAAAAACAATAGAGTTCTCTCGTTAAAACCATTACCAGTTAAGGCAAAGTAGACGCTTTTGCTTCTAGCGGGTATTTCTAGATCTGCTTTTATGTAGGTCAGACAGTCCACCTAGATCACATAGATATGTTAGTGTTAGTTTTTCAGAACAATGTTAATTTTAAAAGTGCCATTTTTTTTCTTAAGAATTGTTCTATAACCTTCCCCAAAACAGTGATATTTATAGTTGTAAATCGTGTTTCAAAATCTAAAATGTAGGCTGCTTTTCTTTTCAAAAATGGAATTATCTAGTCACAAAAGGCACAGTGTGCAGTTCAGTTAAGTTTTGATGTCACTCATCATCTCCTTTTTCCTTATAAGGGTCCTGTTCAGCATATCATATTTTCTAAATTGTGACTTTTAAAACTTTAGAATTATATAATTCTACTTAGAGGTCCTAAGTACTTTTTAAATTTAAAGAGTACTTTAACATAATATAGTTCTGTATACAATTATCTGAAACTGATATGTGCAGTCTAAGCTTTGATGAGCTAGAGCTAGATTCCATGAACCAGGAAGAAAATGAGACTAGCAGGTACCCAAACAAACTAGTCAGTTAATAACTATAGTGGTAGCTGATGTAAAGATTATTGTTAAACTATATTTAATTCTTGGATGGCAGTATTTACCTCTTTGTTACTCTCACAGCTGAAATGCTTAATTGTAATTTGTGAGATTCCAATGCAGTTAATATTTAATGGAAAATTTGAATCTAAGTTATTTGAAACTAAGTTATTTGTTTCAAAGGTACTATGCAACCATTTATATTTATATTTATTTATAATATATTATATATAATATTTATAATATAATATATATTATATTTATATTCTTTTGGGCACTTAGAATAAGGGCAATGCTACTCCAGTGAGCTATTCTGGAAATAATATCAAGTTCCAGTTTTGCTTCTTAGCATTGGACTGAATTTACTGTTCTGTCCATGGCATTTTTTACTAAAATATTTGCTTCTCTTCTTGTGTCTCGTTTTTGTTAATGTGCTCTATACCAATGTGCCTACCCCTTAGTTTCCTTACCTGTTATTACAGAATGTTGTTTTACATTCCTATGGCTACTACCGAGGCTATAAATAGAAGAAAAACTATATATGTATGCAGCATTAAATCTCTTACTGCCAATGTAAGTTTTTGCCTGCGGTGCCTTGTTATGGCTGCTTGTGGGAGAAAAAATCCTTTTACTATTTAAATTTTTAATGCTTTTTATAGTACATTTGTTTAAATTAAACATTATAATTGATCTGTGTAACATATTATTCAACCATATTTCAGCTGGACCTATACTTGCATAGATCTTCTGGATCTCATACAAACCAAATACACTGGAACAAATTTTTCTCTTCAAAGAATTAGTCTACAGAAAGCATCAGAATCACAGTCCTTCTACGTGGATATAGTATACATTGGGCAGACATCTACAATCTCAACATTGAATGGTATGCTGTATCATTGTATATCTACTATAATCTAAATTATCTGTAGTAAAATCTTACCATGGAAATTCTTTTTATATTCTATAGTATAGATAGAAAAATTAATCTATAAATATTGAGTCATTCTTTCATCTCAATAATATTATGATTTAACCTTATTTTTAATGAATATGGCAATGTAATTATTGTAAGGATAAATTCGTCCTTAATGTAAACCTTCTCATTGTAACAAGAATGAGCTTTATAATCCTGGATTTTGTTCGTGGAAGAATAAACTGTGGCAAACGTTTTTATTTTGCCTGTTTTTATCTTTGAGAAACCAACTACCAAGAGGGATATCTATTCCTAAAATGCAACTATTGACATTGACATCTGTCTTGTAAGATTGACCTGTAACTTAAGGTGGACTTAAGAGTGATAATCAATAATATCATAAATTAAAACTTTATTTTTGATAGCCTTAGCATTGTTTTTCTAGTCATGTTAATAGACATACATATTTGAGATAATAAAATAATAAAATTAAACTTTATAGTCTTTTAAAAAAATCAACCTACCATAAACAGCCACCTTAAAAAGTGACTTTTCCCATTTTTGAGAGGAACATTGGAATCCTTTCCTTTGGAACTGTTTTCAAGTGCAAGGCAATGAGTCAAGTGATAAAAAAGTACTGTTAATGACTTTATAGTAAGTCACTTCTTTTGAATCTTGCTATCCTCAAATCTCCATTATGATTGGAGGAACACATATATAAGATGGCTAGATTTTGTTGAGATAAATGTGGTAGTTCATTAAACAGTATTCATTTAACATTTACTATGTGTTAAGTACACATCCTACTGAGCACCCCATTCAGGGAACTAAGAACAGAACAAAGCCCACTGACCCACAGATGGCTGCTGGATGGGACCTAGGGCTTGGTGACTTTTAAATATTTGGTTTTGTTTCATGGGCTCATGTGTCAAAAGACATTTAAACCTTATAATCTTTATAGTCTAGAAGTAAAGATTAATCTAGCTTCACAAACTACTTAAGGTCCTATTTCTAAAATTTAAATTTGAACACTTTATTACATGACATGTTGATATTATTTGATGATTTTATTTTTAGCAGCAGAGGCTATGCAATTTTATCTCCCCTGTACTTTATTTATATTCTTTAGGAATGCCAAAGAGAAGACTTCCTGCATTAGCAAATAAGGGAATATTTTTAAAGCACTTTCAGGTGAATCAGACCAAAACAAATGGATCAACTGTGACAAACCAATATTCTGTTACCATGACTTCATATAATTGCAGTTATAATATACCCATGATTGCTGTGAGCTTTGGGCAGGTAAGCCAAGATTTTGCAAGTTATTATTTTCAACTTAATGAGCATTAGTTTTGATGTACTAAAGTTTCTTTAAAATTTTTAAAAACAGCTACCATACAGATTGAATCTTTTAATAGGACAAGAAAATTATTCTAAGAATACATGAAAATTTAGAGGCTTATTGAACTTGAGCATGAAAATTGACTTTAAGCATTAAAAACTTCTTCAATAAATATATCTATGGGGAAAAATAAAAGGAGAAATACCCTTAAAAACCAAAGTTAGTCAGAGTTAAGTAGAGTTTTCTTTGTTGACTTTAAAGAAAAAGTTGTGTGCTCTTCCAATAAAGATTTTTGAACAGCAATTATTGAAAGAAAAGTTGAGATTCTGCATTGTCTTAAAATTGTTTCTGTTATAAAAATCATTTATTTTTACTTGTATCAAAATTTATACAAGGAAGAAACAGGTGTTTTTTCATAACTCCATAAGGATCTGAACAATTTTTTATACTTTTATAATATTAGTATTAAATATCACAAATATAATAAACACTTTTAAATTTTTATGAAAATATTCAATGAGTTAATACAATTTCTTACCACAAATCAAAAACAAGTATAATAAATTGAAAATTAAAGGTTAAATAATAATTAACCATTATAATTAGAGTCCCACAGAGAAGTTTTTACTAACTAAATAATTTTATGATTAAAAATACTAGCTGATGTGCTTGTTTGGGCAGCACATATACTAAAATTGGAACAATACAGAGAAGATTAGCATGTCCCCTCAGTGCTTTGGGAGGCTGAGATAGGAGGATCACTAGAGTCCAGGGGTTCAAGACTAGCCTAAACAACATAGTGAGACCCCTGTCTCTACAAAAAATTTCTAAAAATTTGGCAGATGTGGTAGTAGGCACCTGTAGTCCCAACTACTCAGAAGTTTGAGACAAGAGGATCACTTGAGCCCAGGAGTTTGAGGTTGCAGTGAGCTATGATGAAGCCCCTGAACTCTAGCCGAGGCAGCAGAGTGAGATTGTGTCAAAAAAAAAAAAAAAAAAAAAAAAAACCCTGAAAAACTACAAATATTATAAAAGAAATATGCCTATATCCTGGCCCAATATTTTAGTCTTAGATAAAGACCCTGTAAATGTTTTCTACTCTTTTAGCTCTATCACAAAATATAATAACTAACTCAGGGCTTTTGGTTCTCAAAGCATCGATGTCAATGATCTCCCATTTTTTGAGATTCCTCACTAAACTAGTAATTGGTAATTTTAGCTTATATTTTTAATTGTTTATTCAAGGTTAAATTGGAGAATATGCAACTTATATTTTTGTGACCTTTTAAAAAAATCAAATGAAAGATACATGCAATAATGTGCATATACATGTCAATGAATTGTTTTATTTTTATTTTATTTTTTCCAAAGTGGCTGTGCATTGCCATTTTTTTTATTTTAGCGTATTATGGGGGTACAAGTGTTAAGGTTACATATATTGTTCATGCCCCTCCTCCCCCCTCAAGTAAGAGCTTCAAGCGTGACCATCCCCCAAACGTAGCACATCTTACTTGTTATCACTTTATGAAAAAGACACCTGCATTTGAATGTTTATAGCAGCACAATTTACAATTGCAAAGCTGTGGAAACAACCTAAGTGCCCATCAATTCATGAGTGGATTAATAAAATGTGGTATATGTATACCATGGAGTACTACTCAGCTTTAAGAAACAATGGTAATATAGCACCTCTTGTATTTCCCTGGATAGAGCTGGAACCCATTCTACTAAGTGAAGTATCTCAAGAATGGAAAAACCAGCACTACATGTACTCACCAGCAAATTGGTATTAATGGATCAATACCTAAGCGGACATATAGGAGTAACATTTATCGGGTGTCGGGAGGGCGGGAGGGGGAAGGAGGAGATGGATATATACAATCTCAATGAATTGTTTTAAAAAGTAACTTTGAGATTATTGTAGATTCACATGCAGTTGTAAGAAATAATACAGAGATATTCCTATATCTTTCACCCATTTTCCCTCAAGGGTAACTTCTTGTATATTATAGCATAATAGCATAACCAGGAAATTGACTTTGATAAAATCCACTAACTTTATTCAGATTTTACCAGTGTGACATGCAGTCGTTTGCATGTGTGTATGTATGTGTAGTTCTTATATAATTTTATCACATATGTAGATTCATTTGGTCACTATCAGGACAGTTCCATCACAAGCATCTTTTGTGCTATCCCTTTATAGCTACAGCAGCCACAACCATCTCCTTCATTCCCTTCCTCCCAAACACCTTCATATATGATAACCACTAATCTATTCTGTCTCTATAATTTTGTAATGTCAACAATGTTATATACATGGAATCAGACTTTATATACTCATACCAGTATGTAGCCTTTTGAGATTGTCTCTTCACTCAGCGTGATTCCCTTGAGATCCATCCAAGTTGTTGTATGCATCAAGAGTTTCATTTTGATGGCTGAGTAGTGTTCAATGTTATGGATGTACCACAGTTTTTTAACCACTTACCCATTGAAGGATATTTGAGTGATTTCTTGCTTTTGGTTGTTATGAATAAAGCTGCTCTAATATTCATCTGTAGGTTTTTGCATGGTGTAAGTTTTCATTTTTCCTGATCAAATGCCCAACAGTGCAATTATAGGATCATATGGTAAATACATGTATAGTTTTTAAAGAACCTCCATATTTTTTCCCAAAGTGGTTGCACTATTTTACCTTCCACCAGGAATGTAAGAGTGATCCAGCTTCTGCACAATCTTGCTCCCATTTGGTGATATCCCTATTTTTAATTTTAGCCCTTCTGACTGGGTGTGTAGTGACAGCTTATTTTCATTTTAATTTGCATCCCCTAATGGCTAATAATGTTGAACATCTTTTCATTAGGCTAATTTGCCACCCATGTATCTTTTTCTGTGAAATGTCTAGATATGAGTCTTATGTCACCTATGTACTTTGCAAGCATGTCCTCTCAGACTGTGCCTTGCCTTTTCATTATTTTTGTAAGGTCTTTCACAGAGCAAAAAATTTTAATTTTGATGAGACTCAATTTATCAATTTTTTTCTTTTATGAATGGTGCTTTTGGTTTCAAGTCTAAGAACTCAGCCCTCAGTCCTGAGAATTTTTCTATCTTTTTTTCTAAAATTCTGATAGATTTACATTTTACATTTAAGGCTATGATCCATTTTGAGTCAATTTTTACATAAGGTGTGGTTTTAGATTGAGGTTCATTTGCTTGCTCATGGCTCCAATTGCTCCAGGACAATTTACTGAAAAGGCTATCTTTCCTCTGTTACTTACCTACTCATTTTTGTCAAATATCAGTTGGACATATTTGTGTGGGTATATTTCTGGGCCCCCTATTCTTGCCCATAGCTCCATGTGTAGTCCTTCCACTGATACCACACTCTCTTGACTACTGTAGCTGTACAATGAACCTTAACATTGGCCAGAGTCATTCCTCTCACTTTAGCTTTCCTGTGTAAAACCGTTTTAGCTATTCTAGGTCCTGTGTCTTTCCATGTAAATTTTAGAATAAGCTTGTTTATGTCTACAATAAACCTCACTGGTATTTTGAGAAGAATTACATTAAAACTCTAGATTGTTTTAGAAAGAGTTGACACCATTATTGTATTGAATTTTCCAGTCTATGCACACAACACTTCTCTCCATTTATTTGTCTTCTTGTGCTTTCTTTTATCAGTATAGTTAGTCTTCTTTGATTACTTTGATCAACATTTTGTAATTTTCAGGTCAGATATGGCTCATTTTTTGTTAGAGTTGTACATAAAGATTTTATTTTCTTTGAAGTAGTTGTATATGATCTTGTGTTTTTAATTTCAGTTTCTGCATGCTCATTATTTGTATGTTGGAATGTGATTGGTTTTTGAGTGCTGATTTTGTATCCTCCAGCCTTACTGAACTCAACGAATTTTTACAAAGTAAAGATGTTCATGCAATCACTACCCAGATCAAGATAAAGGAAATCTTTAGCTCAAGAGCCTTCCTCATGACTCCTCCTTGTCATCACACTATTTGCTCCTCACCCCCAAATAACTGCTATTTTGACTTCTACCACCATTAATTACTTTTGCCTGTTCTTAAACTTTATGTCAATGAAATCATACATTAAGCACTTTTTTTGTATCTAGCTTCTTTTATTCAACATTGTGAGATTCATATGGCATGCGATATAGTCTGTTCTTTTTCATTGCTGTACAATTTTCTGTAGTATGCATACACCATAATTTATTCATTCTCTTGATAGATTTTTCATTATTTACAATTCAGAGCTATTATGAATAAAGCTACTATTCATTCTTGCATATGTTTGCTTATCTTGCTCTTATCTTTGCTCATTTCTGTGGGCTAGATGGCTTATCATTTTAAATTCTAGAAGATTAACAGATAACTATGAGGGATCAGAAGCAGAAGAATATAATTTTCACTAATAGAGTTACAATCTATAAGTTTATAAAGCACATGTTACTTTGGTCAATTCATTGGGACTGGACATTAAAATATTCTGAAATAAAATATAAATAAATTTAAAAAACATCAAACAAGTGTATTTTTTGAGTATAGATCATTGTATTGACTATACACTTTCTTAAATTGTTGCTTAAGTTTTCAAGTCTCTATATAGCATTTTCCTTAAAAACTTTTTAGTTTTTTGATAGCCAAGACTACATCTCTTGCTCCCTATAGTGATTAGCACTGTACCTCGAACAGAATGTCTGCTCAATAAATATTTGTTCCTTGAGTGATGGAGGGTGCATTCTGAATTAATGAGGTATTACTGCAGTTCCAGCTGATTGCTGCACAGATGACTGAATTGACTTTGGCCTCATTATTGCAGCTATGTAGGTATGGCTTGTGTTGATTTATGTGACTCTCTTTAATGTTCTGAAGAATCCTGAATACATGAGGCTCATTTATGTCATGTCACAGATTGTACCATGGTGAAATGAAAGTCATGCTAACCATTGTTAAGTTTAACCATTTTATCAATATTTATTTTGGAAACTAGATAATTGCACACAAGACTGAGAATGAGTCTGTTTACAGAGGAAGCAATTGGCCAGGGGAGTCAAAAATTCGTATTCAAAGAATTCAAGCAGCATCACCACCTCTAAGTGGCAGCTTTGACATTCAAGCTTATGGACATAATCTCATAGGTATATGAAAAAAGTTTAAAACGTTCGTGTATATATACACACACACTCTCACACACGTATGTATAATGTTGTAAAATGTTAAATGTTATTTCACTTGACAGTTACTACTTTTATTGTTATTTTTACATCCAAATATAGTCACACAGGTGCATGATATTAATATATATCAATAATAGGCAGTTAATAGCCAACCACAATGTTGTTCTTTCAATTCTTTTTTTAATAGATTAGAAAACAACTCACCCATCCAACGCTAACATTATTAGTAATACTTGTTTTTATTTAAAAATAATCTAAGAAAAAGTCTTCAAAAATATATAACAAATTTTTAATAGTCATTTTTCAAAGGTATGGAAATCATGACTTTCATAAGTCCTACCTTTCTATAATACATACTTTTTAAAAAATAATCATTCATTACTGTGGTGGAAACAGTAATGATAATATTCAAATATAAAAATTGAGAGTTGGAATGTGATTTTTTAAGACATCTATAATCAAATTATCTAATCCTGTGCTGTCTAACATGGAGGCCATGCGCCACACAAAGCTACTGAGCACTTGAAATGTGACTAGTGCCACATGTTGAAATATAACATTTGAATATATGGAATCACACAAAATTTATTATTAAAATATTTTACCCATTTTTAAAATTTTTAAACTATAGCTACTAGAAAATGTAAAATTATATATATGGCTGGCATTATTTATCAGTTGTACAGTGCTGGTCTAGACAGCCATAATAAACATTTTTGTGTACTTCTTTCTAGTAGTATTTCCCTATATAATTTATATAATTGAGATTATGTTAGTCATGTAAAGCTAAATTATTCAGAACAAATGATGTTTTCATGTTTTTTCTTCACTGCCTCACCAGATATACCAGGTTACATTCCAAAATAATTGTTTTTCTTTCATATCTGTGACTTATAGGTTATCAATATTTTCAAAGGTATCTTAATTTGACATTAAGTTAATTAATTTAATTCTATTAAAATTGAATTTAAAATAAAAATATTTTTATATTAAATACTTTTATGTTAAAAATCATTTTAATACTTTCATAATATACTCTTTGATATTAAAAGTATCTTACTTTTTAGCTATTTAGCTATTAGCTATTGAAAGGGTATTTAATTATAATTACTAAAAGTATTTTATACTCTTTTAATACATTCTTTAATATTAAAAATATTTATTTTAATATCAAAATAAGTTCATATTAAAATGCAAATTGATATTTGATATTTGTGAATTGATATTAAAAATGAGAATATTTGTGTCAATACCCACAGTTTGAGGTACAATACCCTTAATTTTTAAAACTTTTAAACATTTTTTATTTTTTTTAAATTGACAGATAAAATTATATGCATTTATTTTCTTTCCAAGAAATATCTAAATTCTTGGCATAAGTAGGATGCAAATTTCATTTTTACTATATTGGAGGGGAACATGTGGTTTATAAGCATTGTATACATTTCATCTACTTTAGAGATGAAATTGGTTTGTGAATTCTAACTCCTGCTGTTTGCCATCCCTCTGTGAGTGCAGGCCTCCCTGCTGCTGTGTCAGCCGCAGATCTACAGTTTGCTCTCCAGAGTCTGAAAGAAGTGGGAAGAGTCTCAGTTACACGAGAGGGAACTTGTGCTGGGTACTCATGGAACATCCAATGGAGAAGCACATGTGGAAAGCAGAATCTTCTACAGGTTCCTTCATTTGGTTTGGATTCTCTTTTCTTTCTATATGTTGTTTTCTTATTTGCTCCCTGCCTCATTCAAAAAAAAAAAAAAATTAGAGACTGTGTATATTTTAAAAATGCAAAGTATAGACTAAAAACTTTATAAAGGAAATTGAAGAGAAGAAGATTGTTCTAAATTAAGTTGACCAGATTGTCTCTTTTATGGATAATAGCTGTTGCTACTTTATTCCCTGTCCCATATGGGAAAAGTGAAGTGCAGGAATCTGTGTTGGAAGATCCTTGACAAGGTCAGTAGGAGTACAGGTGGAACCAGTCTAAGAACTCAGTCCACATGTACTTTAAGGAAAGGCAAAAAGAATCAGCTTCACTGTCTATAATTCTACCACTAGAGCTATATACTGGGGCCTTGGACACTTTTGCGGTTATTAAGATGACCTTTTCAAGTTCAGAGGCAAGTAACAGCTTAAGTGCTCATCCAATCACCTTTGCTGAGAGTGTGGAAGGGGATGGGGAGAGCCATTGGAGAGGAGTCTAGAAGGGACTGGGGACTTGGACTGTTGAATATCAAAAAGATGATGCCTTCTAGTGATTATGGAAGTAGTGAGAAAATAGTCTTTTCTATGCAATGTTGGTGAGAACATAAATTAGGACAACCTTTTGGGAAGGCAATTTAATATCATCTGAATATAGATACCCTATGATACAGCAATATCATTTATGTAACTATCTTACTGAAATGACGATACAAATGTGAAATGGCATCGCCACAAAGGTAGTCACTACAGTATTATTTGTAATAGTTAAATCCTAGAATGCTAGGAAAATGATTGTTTAAATGACATAACTTTCACATGAATACTGTGCAGCCATAGTAGACCCACATATATTCATCTGGGAAAAATCCACGACACAAGGTGGGAAAAAATGGAGAACTCTATGTATGAAACCATTCAGGAGAGCGGAGGGAAGAGGAGGAGATGGGGAAGTAGGAGAAACACAAAAATGTATGTAGAACATGTTTCTAGAACACAAGTCTATATGAATGTGCAACTAGTAGCAGCCATAAAGATGGGGTTATTTTAGGAAAACACATGGCCTGGAACTGGAATTAGAAAATTCCACAACCGAGACAGCTCTGGTGACTGGCCTCCCTCTTGGTATCTCTGCTTGTGTCTATTCATCTACTCTTCTCTCTTTTCTAACCAGTCTCTTCCTCTTATTCATTATTTCTGTTCTGTATCATGTTGGCTCACGCATGGCCTGGAATGAAGACCCCTATCTCTTTGCTAGTCCCTGAATACATCAGAAGGCTGCCATCTGGGATTTTGTAAGGACCAAAAGTACTTATTGATTTGGTTTGATTTGGTTTCATTTTCAGCTTTGAAAGAAAAATATAATTCTAGGAATGTGGATGGAAAACCAGAGTAGTTAAAGATGCAAAATGTTAAAGGGGAAAGTTAACTGTCAAGCAGAAATAGAATAATTTTTCAATTTTTCAATAATAATTTATCAAATTGATAATATTTAGAAGAAGCATAGAATATTTTGAGAAAATTAAAGTAAATTCATTTTCTTTAGATTTATTTTTTTAATCTTAAAAATTCAAGTTAATTTTAATCATTTAACTCAACTTGTAATTGATGCAATGTATGATAATACAGTGGCCTTAGCAGTTATTTCTTAAATAGATTATGTTCATTTTTTAAATTTATTTTTAATTCAAGATATCATTTTTGAAAAGGTTCCTTTTTAAAAAGTGACTAAAATGTTTTTGAAATTTCTTTTACATCCTTTGCCTTTTATTTCATTTTTTCACCATGCTTAACTTTCAAAATAAAAACTAGTGTGGTCATATTTATTATAGCCTTTCTAACAAAATCACTTTGTATGAAAATAGATTAATGATTCCAACATTATTGGAGAAAAGGCTAATATGACAGTTACAAAGATAAAGGAAGGTGGCTTGTTCAGACAACACATACTTGGAGACCTACTTCGTACACCCAGTCAACATCCACAGGTATTTTTGAAACTTTTCTTATGATGTTTAATATAACTTTAAATGTATAACTATTAATAGTTTGCAATATATGAAAGTCCTGGCAAAACAGGAGAGTGGACTCTATTTTAATGTGAATATTTGTGTTAACAATTGATCAACGCAATAATATTATTTTATGAGTTTGGAGAAAAATACCTTCCTTTATATTAAAATCGAGTTTTAATCTCTACTACTGCCAGAATTGGAAAATATTCTTTCATTTAATCTGTGTAGTAACTCTGTGAAGTAATTATTAATGTTGCCTTTTAAATGATGACAAAATTAAAGTGTAAAGAATTTAGGTGACTTTCCCCAAGAGCAACCTTTATTTTTCTCCATAGCATTAATCAACTCCAGGCATAATATGCATTTACTATTTTTAACGCATTGTTTCATGCAACTCTCTATCCCACCCCTACTAGAATATGAATTGGGTGACAATAGGGCTGTCATCTGTTTAGTTTAATAGTATATTCCATATTCCTAACATTTATAATGGTGCCCGAAACATAAGGCACATTTGCTAGATGACTGAATGAAATGTCATAGTGGAAAAAATATAAGTAGACTAATTTATATAAAAAAACAAGCAAACCAATAAAATATTATCATTTGTTTTAAATCCGATGCATATTCTACTGAACCACGCTGTCCCTTTACCCCTGTGCAGTAGCTCTGTGTTTCTTTATTTGAAGGTTGAAGTCTATATCAATGAAATTCCAGCTAAATGTTCAGGCGATTGCGCATTTACGTGGGATTCCAGGATTACTCCCTCAGTCTTGGCCACAAGCCCTCATCAAGGTAACCTCCTGCTTTTTAACTTATACCCTGGGGTAGAAGACAGCTAGCAAAATGTAAACTCTGGTAAAGATTTTTCAAAATATACTAGTGTCACCAGCTAAGGCAAGGAGACAGTGCTACATGGTGGAAAAAAATCTATCTGATCAGAAAGGTATGGAAAGAGCATTAATTATTTTTTTAAAAAAATATTACTTTTAAAGCTGAACTATTGCCTTTGAAGCAGAGGACTCATTAATCCTTTATTACTCCAGTTTTACCAGTTAGAATTAGCTTCTAAAATTTCGCTGTGACATCGAGGTATTTTTGTTCTACTGTACTAACTAGTGTATTAAGTGGACTCTTTCATCACGTGAGACCACTTCTTCTAGGAGAATTAGTATTAAAAGGCTAGTCACAAGACACCTGCTACTTAATAAATGAAAATAATTAGGTTCTAGATTTGAGAATAAGGCATGGAAAAATTATTGCCAAAAACTCAGTCTGGGGGGTACATTATACCATTTCTTCATAGTATGTTCCTGCTTTAAAAAAAAAAGTGATGATGCTTTGTATCTGAGCATCCAATATTGAAATAAGCAGCAGAAACAGAGATTATAAAGGTGGCTTATTTTTCAACCAGAAAGATAAGTTCAGATACTATAATCACATATATAGTCTTGGTGCATAGTAGGAAAATTCATCAGCTAATTTTATATCACCCTTCCACCTCAAAAAAGCATTAAAATCTCTATGTCTGCTTAACGTCTTTGTCACAAGCATGCTTTTTTCCCTAACCTCATTCCATACTTTTAGTCGGATGATTTTTTTCACTAATCCCTGTCAACACAGAGATACAAAATATGAATCAATGTAGAGTCATTCAATGAAAAAAAATACCATTGTGAAATAAATGTATTTTCCCCCTAACTTGCATATGGGCTTATTGTTTATATCTTTTAGAAGATAGGCTTATTTTTATCTCAGAAATACTTGATTTCATAATAACAGGCTCTATTTTTATTTTAATATTGTTATTTAAATTTATCATTTTCAGGGTCCTATGAAGAAAGCACGATTTTAACCATAGTAGGTTCTGGATTTTCTCCTAGTCCAGCTGTGTCAGTCTCAGTTGGCCCAATAGGTTGCCCTCTTCTTTCTGTGGATGGTAGGTGCTTTTTAAAATTGTTAAGTCTAATAGTTCTTCTCTAAGAGAAAGTAGAATCAAAGAGCTGTGTTAGAATTATGATTATCCTGTGGCGTACCCTATTGGGTCATGAAATTAGTAACCTCATCTGGATGTCTTATCTTTTTAATCTTTGATTATGATCACAGACTAATTATTTCCCTGTTGTGCAGTGTCTTTATCCCATAACAGTTGATTTTTCGTTTGGTTTTTTTTTTTCATAAAGTGGTTACATGAAATCTTCCTTGTCTTGTGTGTCTCTGGGACACACAAAATGTATGAAGTGCTATTATAGTGTTTCATGGTCCCCTCTGCCCATGTTTTGGCAATGCCACGTAGTCATGTTAGTCATGCAGCAAGAGGACGTGGCCATCTTTCCTGACTTCTAGTCTGTCAGAACCTCTCTCCATGACTTTAAAGATCATTTATATTTGCTACCTCTTGAAATAGCGAGGGACACAGTCTATTTCTCTAAAAGTTGTCTTTCTTAAGCCTAGGTATTTTTCTTAACTTAAATGGGTTGGAATTACATAAGCAAATACACTTACCAAATTCTTTCTGTTGTTTTAAATTTAGATCTTTTAAGCATTCTTGAGATCTTATAGTCAGTATCCCACCTGTATCAGTGCACATAGACTGTTCTAAATACAGTGAAGAAAAATGTTTTCATTTAGTTTTTGATCATATTTCTTGATAAAACCTACTGTTTTACTCAATTTTGAACATAATATATTGGACCAGAATTTTAGAATTATTAATATAAATGAGCTTATAAAGTAGAATTTTAAAAAATTATGACAGTAGCCTTTTGGGGGCATGGTAGCATCAGAACCAAATCATGTACTTTGCCTTCATTATTGGTTTACTTAACTGTTTTCTGAGTGTCTGATTCGTAGCATCAGATAAATTTTTCCTCCCAAGATTCTCATACCCATTAATACATGATTAGTTTTCTTTGGATATATTTCTTGGGTTCTAAAAATGAAAGCCAGTGTTAATATGGGCAAACATAAATTTTCAGTAATATTATCTCAAAAAATTTTGCTTTATTCTTTTCTTCTTCTTTTTTTATCACAAGAAAATGAGATCAAGTGCCAGATTCTGAATGGAAGTGCTGGCCGTGCTCTGATTGCTGTGTCTGTAGCTGGTTTTGGCCTGGCACAGAGTGTAGGGGTTGAGAACTTCCACTTTGTTTATCAGAGTAAGATCTCACACATCTGGCCTGATTCTGGAAGCCTAGCAGGTAAGAGTGAATAGTTCCAAACAAGAAAGAAGATTGTGTACATTTCCATCATTTCGCTGTGCTGTTTCTAGTACAGGGTGAAGGGAGAGGAACCCAATCCTTCTTCCTAAGAGAACAAAGGAAGGTCTCCTTTGAGAAGGCACAGTGATTAAATGGCTGACTAATTCTTTTGTTTCTTATGAAGCACAAGTCAGCGAGCTGTTTATACTTACATCTTAGGTTATTGAATTAATATCATCAATTATTACATGTTTCTATAACAAGCTCATCAATTATGTCAAGATAAGATTTATTAGTTATTATTCTGCTTACCAGCTGCTTCATTTGTAACCACAGTCTCAGTGGAGCCACTTGACCCAGAAAAAGTTGTGGGAACAAATTGGGGAAAGAAAGGCTGACACAGAGGATGAAAAGAAAATAACACACTTTTTGTCCTGTTTCATTTCCTTTGTGTTTTTTACTTGTTTCCAGGCTTAGTTTTGGGTTTTGTACTTTGGTTTTGATCTTTTTAGTGTGATTTATTTTATTTTATTGGGTTTTTTCTTAGTTTTTCTTTTACTTAGAAGTATTAAAATTTGAGATTTGATGAAAGTCCTAATTCACTCACCTTTTCCACTCATGGAATGGTTGAGTGAATGGAAATAGCATTTTTTTTTCTTATGGTGAGGAAGGCACTGTGGAAAATAGAAGTCACTTATAACAATGCCCCAAAGCAAATGTGAGTTGCGAATCCATGTTATTTTATTAACTCCTTTATAGTTCCAGGCTTTAAAGCTTAGGTTCAGATGCATGGTGGTGATAGGACATGTCTCCAGTCTGATCTTTGATCTATTTGCCAGTCCGTCTCTTGGATGATTAGACAATTCTCAAATGATCAGAAGTTTCTTTTTGCTATAGTTATCTGGGATTTTGTTTGTTTGTTTGGTTTTTTTTTTGTTTTTATAAAGGTGGTACTCTGCTGACTCTATCTGGATTTGGCTTTAATGAAAATTCCATGGTATTAGTTGGAAATGAAACCTGCAATGTAATTGAAGGGGATTGGAATGGGATAACCTGCAGGACACCAAAAGTAAGCCCTCTGATTTCCATCATTTCTTCTCCAAAGTCTGAAATATTATGAATTAGGGAACATCTCAGTGGAGGGTTTAACAAGTGGTATATTTGCTTAGGAACTGCAGAGTTTCTGTTATGCTCTTTAAAAATTATTTCTTCAATATCTTTCTGCTAAGTGTCAAAGACAAAATATTATCTCCACATTCTAGATACTTAAAATCATGAAAAAATACAGACATATAAACTAATATTAAACAATGTATTCCATTTGAATTAATAGAGGTAAGTCCAAAGATAAAATACAGTGGAGAGAGTGTCAGAAACAGTTTCACAGAATAGTTGATGTCCTATCAATGCTTGAGGGTAAATGAGAGTTTACCAGGTAAATCAAAGGATAAAAAAGATTCAGTACTAATAAACAGTCTAAAAACATCAGGGAAGCAAATCTAGAAATTTTTAGTTTCCCAAAATGAATATATATTTTTAAATGTATTAAAGTTTCACAAAAAGTGTCAAGTTCTCAATGGAATATTGTATTTTAGGACCAAGCATAATTCTTTATTTTTAAACAATAATCTTTAAATTTAAACCAAGGCTCTGGTTTCCTTATTATGTGCAAAAGGATGATAAATCTGGTCACTGACATTTTTTAAAAGGTAGCAGAATAAGTAGGGCTATTAAGTAGTTGCAATCTGCAGGAAAAAGAAATTTATGTGTTGGGTTGAATGACAGAGATGAGAATCTAGGGGATATTGTCAATTAAAACTTACTTTTTAAAAATTGTCATTCAAATACCATGACAGTGTATAGGAAATTTTAAAAACAAGGAGTAAAATTGTCATTTGGTTAAACATTGAGCGTGCATTAAATAAATATTAGATGATGGAAGATGTTTTTTCTATACTAATTTGGAAATGTATAGGTTCTCTATCAGTGAAAGTACCAAATATTTTTCATAGGGGATTCAAGTACTTAGTCATGGATTCTGGAACTAAGTCAGCAAAAGTATAATAACATGATTTATCAGTGAAAAGGAATAAAAATTACATTTAAATCTTATCTTAAGAGCAAAAAGTTAAAACTTTTAGATATCTTATGTTTTATCAATTAGAGAATCACTTGTTCAAACCATCACAACTATATTGTGGAGTCCTCAAAAATCCAATAATATAAATGCATTTAAATTGAACATAAAACCCTTAAAACCACTATATCAAATACCTTTATTTTGAGAACTCAAACATGTAACCTATGTTTGACACCACAACTTTCTAAATATCTGATAATTGATTCTAATTCAGGACTTTGAAACAAAACATCTTCAGGGGTTTATTTTGAATAATTCTATTTTCAGCCATTGGACTTGTGTATCTTTTGGGGGGGTGATTTGTGAATCTTAACATTTAATGTTTTCTAATTTTTCCCTCTTATTTTAGAGAATTGAGGGTACAGTTGATATTTCAGTCATTACCAATGGATTTCAAGCCACAGCAAAGGATGCTTTTAGTTATAATTGTTTACAGACACCAGTTATAACTGACTTTAGTCCAAAAGTACAGACAATATTAGGTAAGATATTCTTCAATAAGATCAATTATTAGACATATATATATATAGAAACCACTTCTAGAAAGGCTTTTGAAACATAGCTTCTCTTGAACTTTTGTTTTTAAAAATAAAACGTCATAAGTTGTATGTTTTTATGTGTTTTACCATAGACTAGTCTATTTATTATTTCACTTTGAACATGTGCAATGAGAAGTGTTTAGGTTTTATTTTCTAAAAGTACTTTGCTATCTTTTGTTCCTTTATAAACAATTGAACATAAACTTTATCTTGACATGGCCACCATTAACTCTTTCATTGTTTTTCCTTTTGGCTCTGAAAGTGTTAGGATTTCCTAAATTCAATGAAAGATGAATTATGAATTTGTTTATTTAATACGCAAATTTCACACTGGATAATAAGTTGAACCTTTTTGCAAACTTTTTTTTCTTTTAAAATAATAGAAGAAGTTAATTTAACAATTAAGGGTTATAACTTTGGAAATGAACTCACACAAGATATGGTGGTGTATGTTGGAGGAAAAACCTGCCAAATTCTTCACTGGAACTTCACAGATATTAGATGCCTTTCGCCCAAATTGTCTCCTGGAAAACATGATATCTATGTAGAAGTCAGAAACTGGGGTTTTGCATCAACAAGGTATGATAATGAACACAAACTTGATGGAGTTGTAAAACACAGGGTGCTAATGGAATTGGGAATAGGAAAAGAAATAGGCATTAACCTATAATATGTCAATTGCTTTCCTTACCTTTCTGTATTTTCTATCGTTACCTTTCCTTTTGCAAAAGATTCTGAGCATATCTCATAAAATGCAATATGACAGTTAGTTTTGAGACCAATATCACTCAGATCAGGTTGTAAAATTCTCTGTGCAACTAGGCTGGTGTATATATCCGATGATTTTTATTCATTTAGAAAATATTTCTCAAGGAGTTTTTAGGGGGCAGGTATTTACTCAGTTTTGCCAGTTGGATTTATGGCCATGTCTCCCGCATTAATGGTGCTTGCAGTTTTCTTGGAGAGATAGATTCAGAGGATTAAATCAATAACTTAATTATAAATGTAATAAATACTATGAATAGGAGGTATGAAGTTCTGTAAGTATATGATAGAGAAAGATAACATCCAGAGAAACAGGGAAGAATTTTCAGTAAAGGTGACAATTAAACCATGAAATGGGTAGGAGTTGGCTATCTGAAGGAGAAGATAGAGGCAATCCTTCTCCAACTCCTATTTTCTGTAAGTATTTAAAAAATTTTCCCCCTGAAACTGTTTATTAACTGGTAAAATTTTAGTTCTGGTATGAAAAAGTTATTGGTTTAGAATACTTAGAAAAGGAAGAAATTGAAATTTAGGGACTAAAAAAAGCCAAGTAAAGCTGATGTCAAAGTGGAAGGAGAGATGATTGCAGTGAAATCTTGGAGGAGGTGAAGGAAGATGAGTAACAAATAAATGTAAACCTCAGGACCCTTCTTAGATTCACAGGGTGGAGCTCACATGGGTTCTAGAAGAGTTGTTAGCTTGTGCTGTGGCTTGACAATATAACGGGCAGAATTGACACCATTCACACCTGAATACAGGTTGTGGTTCAAGAAATACCACTTCAGTTACATGTGGAAGTTAAATAAAAATTAACACAACCACTCACCTGAGTTTCTCTGCCCTCTACAGTTAGGAAGGGAGCTGGGATATGGGAGTCAGGTCAGAAAAGCGCTTACATTTTCATGGCCTCCTAGCAGATACATTGTAACAAAGCCAAATAAATTGACACCCCTCTCATTGAAATACTGGGAAATGAAATCCTGACAAATTTCCAACAAACATTGAATGATAAATTCAAAGTAATTACCCAAAATTGTTATTTGTGTAACTTTAACAAAAATAAAAAAATATTTTAAAGGATTAAATGTATTTGTTGTGACCTCAGTTCTCATAACCGATTTTTCCATAACATTTTAAGATCTTTTATCTCAAATTCTTATGTGATTAGAGTTTTCCAGAAATCTAATTTTCACAGTTAGGGAAAAATTATGAAATATATCATCTGACCAAATTGATGTTATGCTAATTACCAGATTGTCTAGCTTAAAAAATTAATATGTAATTAAATTTTCAATTATTTCCTCTTTCTAAAGGAGTAATATCCTAGCAAGAGTTTAGCAATATGAACAGTAGGAAGCCCACTGAAAAATCTATCCATTTTTCTTTTGCAGAGACAAGTTAAATGCTTCAATACAATATGTTTTGGAAGTGACCAACATGTTTCCACAGAGAGGATCCTTGTATGGTGGAACTGAAATCACTGTAATGGGTTTTGGATTTAGCCCGATACCAACTGAGAATACTGTGCTCTTAGGTAAAAGCTTCATCCCACAGGAGGGCTGCTATCGTTTTTCTCAGCTTAAAGGATATGCTATAGACAATTAGTACTCACACATGGTTACTATCAGAAAAAATATACCAAAGATACTACTGTATAAGACAGAGCTTTTGAAGGGCCTTGGCTGTTTATTATACTTCGTGTGTATAGTCTACAAAAATATTTGAGAAAGTGTTTTTTTTTCTTTTTTTCCCATCTTTATTCTTTGTAGGGTCCTTCCCTTGCAATGTTATATCATCATCTGAAAAGGTCATAAAATGTACACTTCAGTCAACAGGGAATGTATTCAGGATTACCAACAACGGGGAAGATTCAGGTATCAACCAAAATTTATATATTGTGAATACTGGAAGCACTTTATCTGAGAATTAATTTGATTTTTATTTATTTTATATTTCAAATTATTCAGAGAATAAGTATTGCTCTTTCTTTTATAATTTGTCAGTGGTATTCGCTTGACATAGGGAGTGAATCAGTGGTAGGCTTGAGTCTAGATGGCTACACTTTACAATTTCTAACTTCAGGAATTGCCATTTGGTTTTGTGGCAGTACAGAACCTCATGAATTACTGTAATTTTTTATCAGTCATAGATTTCCAAATGAATCTTCAAATCAAAATTATATTGATTTTTGCATGCCTCTATGCCTCAGAAAATTCTTATGCTTAAATAGTTGATTATAGCTTTAAAAATATTCCATGGAACATTTCTAAATAACTTATTTCTTGAGTTTTAGACTTTTTTTCCAAATTGTCTCTTGAGCATCACTTTGGGAGTTGTGCGACTTATTTTTTCTTTATCTTCTCATTATCTTACTTGCCATTATTTCTGTTTATTTTTGTTAAGTGTTTAAATTATGTACATAATAAAGTTTTACAATGTTAACTAAACAGTTGTTTTCACTAATGACTGTACAACAAAATGCAATGTTTTCAAGGATAATTACTAAGAAATTTACTCCTTTTTCTTTTTTTCTTTTAAAATATGATTCAATTCTTGCTCCCAGTACATGGATTAGGTTATGCCTGGTCACCTTCAGTCTTAAACATATCTGTGGGGGACACAGTGACATGGCACTGGCAAACACATCCATTTCTTAGGGGGATAGGATACAGAGTTTTCTCTGTCTCCACTCCTGGAAGTGTAATTTACGATGGCAAAGGATTTATGAATGGAAGACAGAAATCTAAGTCAGGTATGTTTCTGCTTTATTGAATTTTGCAGCATGCCTTTTTTCCCTAGATATAATAAAATGACATTTCGTTTAGATTTAATATATAGTACTTTTGCACAAATAATGTATACAAATATACAAGGCAGTTTAGTTGGTATTTTATTGCTGTCACACAAATGTTAATGAGCGTAAGCAAGTTATTTTGTACATATGAAGATGAGCTCCGATATTAAAAATATCTTTATTGATTCTGTGATAACTGACTAATTGAAAAACATTAAAACAACAAAATACAATGCGAATATATATTTTAATCAAATCCATCTGGTAGCAAGCAATAACTTTTTGTTGATTGGAATCAGTTTTAAAATGAATGTTTCTTATAGGACAGTTCAGTGTAAAGTGTGTCTTTTAGATTTCCTGTTTGGTTCTGTACACATAACAGTTTGAACTTTTTGCTCATAAACAAAAACTAAGCTGTTGGGTTTTTTTTAATTTGTCATTTCACATTGAGGTTTTCTTTAAATTTTGGAGAATTATGCCAGACTTCCTGTGGTTTTCTAGAAAATTAATGCTGGATCTTGTCTTCATGGAATGTAATTTCATTACACAAGATAGCTTTTTTATAGCCAGTGAATCATTGCCTTACTACTTCCTATTGAAATATCATACACATGAAAAATAAGAAACCTGTCATCTGCATGTGCATTTAAATGATCATTTCAAATTTCCTCACCCGCTTTACCAAGATGCATTAATTGCTTTTATTTATTATGTACAATCTCATTTTATGGCAGGTTCATTTTCTTACCAATTTACTTCACCTGGAATCCATTATTATAGCAGCGGGTATGTTGATGAAGCTAACTCCATTTTTCTCCAAGGAGTTATTAACGTTTTGCCAGCTGAATCCAGGCACATTCCCCTGCACCTGTTTGTGGGTAGCACAGAAGCCACATATGCTCAGGGTAAGATGGTTTAAGATGGAAAATCTGTCACACAGGTGATCTGAGGTTTATGTGATCTTTCTGGAGTAGGAGGCAGATGACTGGGTCTAACTGTGCTTCACTCTGACTAGCCACATGAGCTTGAATGAATTTGAATTTGGGCTTCTCTAAGGCTGGAATTTATTCCATAAAATAAGGATTATGTTAATGTCTTCCTACCAGTCTCCCAGAATCCTCCTGTGCCTCAAATAAGATATAATGTGAAAGAGTTCTGACATTCTCTATGTGCCTGAAAACATATTAAAATGTGAGGTGATGTTCTTGGTTTATTTGCCCTATGGGATCTGGCCTTGGACAAATTGAAAAATAAATACATTTTATATTCACTCTTCTCTCTTTACTGTACCATCTTTGTCCAGGTTTTTAATACTTTTGTACTTCCTGGGACCCTCTTGTCATTTATAAAATATATATATTTACCAGAATTTAACCACAATCATCAAAAGAAAGAATAACACAGTTTGAAAACAATTTTCGTTTAGAATATTATTCCTGACTTATAGACAGTTCTTTTGTCTAAAGGAGGACCTGAGATTTTGCACTTGGGAAGCTCTGTGGCAGGCTGCCTAGCAACAGAACCCGTGTGTGGCCTGAATAATACCGGGGTTAAAAATTCAAAAAGATTGCTATTTGAGCTTTCAAGTTGTTTTTCACCATCTATAAGCAACATTACTCCATCCACTGGAACAGTAAATGAATTGATAACAATTACTGGACATGGCTTCAGTAATCTCACATGTGCTAATAAGGTAAGCATATAACAATCTCCTTTGTATTACTACATTCCCAATAAAAACATTTTGACCATAACCTTGTAATTTAATTTTTACTAGCTTCATTAAGGTATAAGTCACATGGCATATAATTCACCCATTTCAACTGCACAATTCAATAACTTTTAGGATATTCACAGAGCTGTGCATCTATCACTGAAATTTTGTCAATTTTAGAACATTTTCATTACCCTGCAAATAAACCCCCAAACCCTTAGGTATCACACCCAACTCCTCTTTTCATCCCAGCCCACTCTAATCTACTTTCTGTCTCTATAGACTGCCTATTCTGGACATTTCTTATAAATAGAATCATATAATATGTGATCCTTTGTAACTATCGTTTTTACATCTAGTATAATGTTTTCAGAGTTCACCTAATTGGTATCATGTATCATTTCTTTTTATGACCTAATAATATTCTATTATATGGAAGACCACATTTTATTTATCCATTCTTTGATTGATAGCCAATTGGGTTGTTTTCACCTTTTGGCTATCATGAAAACTGTAGTGGTGAATGTTCATGTACAGTCATAATTTAGTCTTAAGGTTAATCCAAGATATACCTTAATCAGCCCCCAAAATTAATTTTATGAATTAAAAATGTTTGCACATGATTAGCTTTCTAAATATATAGTTGTTGCTAGTATAAAATTTAAGTGTATACTTGAGTAATATATTGACTTGTTCTATTTCATATTCATTTTACTTTCAGGTTACAATTGGTGGCTACCCCTGTGTTGTAGAAGAAAGTAATGACAGTTCTATTATGTGTCATATTGACCCTCAAAACTCAATGGATGTTGGTATCAGAGAAATTGTCACTGTGACAGTCTACAACTTTGGCACTGCTATCAATATACTGTCCAATGAATTTTATAGACGATTTGTACTTTTGCCAAACATTGACATGGTGTTGCCAAATGCAGGATCAACTACAGGAATGACAAGAGTGACCATAAAAGGCTCTGGATTTGCAGTCTCTTCTGCAGGTGTAGAAGTCCTTATGGGTCATCTCCCATGTAAAGTTCTATCAGTGAATTATACAGCCATTGAATGTGAAACATCCCCTGCTCCGCAACATCTCGTGATTGTAGATCTTCTCATACATGGAGTGCCTGCCCAGTGTCAGGGGAACTGCAGCTTTTCATATTTAGAAAGCATCACTCCTTATATAACCAGAGTATTCCCAGACTCTATCCAAGGATCTGAGAGAGTTCTTATTGAAGGAGAAGGTTTTGGAACTGACTTGGAGGAGATTACTGTTTTCATTGGAAATCAACAGTTCAGAGCAATAGATGTTAATGAAAGTAATATCACTATTCTCGTGCCTCCTCTCCCAGCTGGACTTCATTCTATTATTGTTGTGGTGGGAACTAAAGGCTTGGCTCTGGGAAACCTGACTGTCAGCAGCCCTGCAGTAGCATCTGTCTCACCAACTTCTGGAAGCATTGGTGGTGGAACCGTTTTGGTGATCACAGGAAACGGCTTCTATCCAGGCAATACCACAGTCACTATTGGGGATGACCCCTGTCAAATTATTTCTGTAAACTCCAGTGAAATCTACTGCCACACTCCAGCCGGGACAGCTGGAATGGTCAGTGTTAAAATCTTGGTTAATGCAATTGCTTATCCACCTTTACCATTTACATATACCCTAGAAGATACTCCGTTTCTCAGAGGAATTGTCCCAAGCAGAGGTACGTCAATATCTGCCTTTTTATTATCTTGATATCATATTATCAGCAATATTCATTAGTATAGAATTGGAATAACAGTAAATACTTATTAAGATGTATTTTTAGACAATCTCACTTCACCCAATTAATACATGAGATTCAAGTTATGTGCAGTCTCTATTTTATGATTATCTTTCATGTATTTATGAGATAACATTTTTGGCCAAATTTCAACTTCCATTTAGGAACAAAATTCCCATTAAATTGACCTAAATTTCAAATGAGGAAGAAATAGGTGAATATGGACCCAAACTGGTAATTCACTTATGTCATGGATGTTGATGTGGCACTAGAAACACTTGTTAAAATTCACAAGTTGTGATCTTACTAACATTGAGAGTTTTTCAGAGTACCTTATTTCCATGAAACTGTAATTGCTTATTAACTTATTAGCACACAAGAGTTCTTTTTGTAAGAGGTAATTGGCACATTCAATGGAGAAAACGTTATGAAAAAAGATGTGCTTAATTATCAAGTATGACTCGTTTTTCTAATCTAATAATAGATTGAAATGTTTTCTTTGTTCTTTGTTAATATGCTATGCTGCTTCTGATAATCTTCAAATTATTGGAATGCTTATCGTTTATGTAATGAATTCTGAAGAGGCAGCTGTTGTGTAATGGTTGACAGCATGGATCTCAAATGGTTCAAAACTTGATTCTTTTAATTTTCAGTATAAAACTTTGGACACGTTTCTTTAAACATGAATTTCATTATACATTCAGGTATCCACCCTGTAAAGTTAAAGAAGTTCATTCATGTAATATAACTTAGAATAGTACATTCATTTAATGAAGAACTCATGAATGTTAGCCTTTTAGAAAAGTCTGTTTTACTTTACATCACACGGAAATGTATCAGGTTTGGATCAGATGTATTCTCTGCCTTCAAGAAGTTTCCTGTTGAAATTTTCTTTAATATATCAAGCTTGTTCATTTGGAAACAAATGTTAACAATAGCAAGGGCACACTCTTCTCCCCATATATTTGTAATCTTTGCAAATAATAGCATCTGTTCCTATTTCCATATCATTTCACATCTCTCTCAGAATGTCTCTTTCAAAACAATGTGTTTGAAGATATATGAGACTTATAGACAAGTCAGAAGTGAGCTGTTTCATTTACTGAAGAGACAGGCAAAAGATCACATAGAACAACACTGTTCCATTTGAAAGGTGAAATGTCAAACACAATTAAAATTTTAAGACCTATAAAACAGTTTTTAGGTTGTATTTTAAAGCTATTCCTGACATGAATTATCTCATTAGTATTTGTGGTCTTCAATGATTTATATTTAAGTAATCCTCACTGTGATCAATTATATGGTAATTTTTACTATTAGTACTTGAATTAAAATCAAACTACTACTTGAGGACTCTGCATTTGTAACAAGTTATATTGATTAATTTTTATTTAAAACTTAGGTATTTGGATATTCATTAGAATGACCTATGAAAAATCCCATATGTTTAATGCCCTCTATGTACAATCTGTCAAAAGAAGGAGACAAGAGAATAGACATTGAAATATTTTGCTCTATGTACACTCATTCAAGGCATTAACATCAACATTCACCTATACATCTTTAAATTAATTCCTTTTTCCTGTGTTTACTATCTTACATTTATTTTTTTACATGTCATAATTTATCAAGTTTTATTTATTAAAAATATTTGAATTAAGGAAAAATGCGGTCTATCCTCAAAAGAGTTGCTAATGGTAGGATAGAAAGTACCAAAAATAAAAAATAGTAAACCTCATCTTTAAAATATACTCTAATCCACATTCATATTTCCTCACTCTAGCTCTGCTCTCCTTTCACCTGTCTTTTCTTCTAGCCTAACTTAGTAACTTAGCAACTCAGTAGAATGGACAGAAGGACTGGAAAACAATAAATTTTGAGATAAATCACTTATTGTTAATATACAGTAGACTATAGTATATATTATAGTCAAAATGTTTTATGTGACACAATATATGTTATTTATATTGGTTTTAAAACACTTGGATATTCTTTATTTATAGAAGTTAAGAAGTATATCTTTAAATTTTTACATGCATGTGTAAGGATTGAAATTTAGATATATTGATATTGTTTGTTTGTTTTTTTTTAAGGTCCTCCAGGAACTATAATTGAGATCACTGGGTCTAACTTTGGTGTTGAGATCTTGGAAATTTCCGTGATGATAAATAATATCCAGTGTAATGTAACCATGGTTAATGACAGTGTGTTGCAGTGCCTCACTGGCGATCATGCTGGTGGCATTTTCCCTGTTATGATGCATCATAAGACAAAAGGCTCTGCTGTATCCACAGTTGTATTTGAGTATCCACTTAATATTCAAAATATTCATCCAAGCCAAGGTAGTCATGAATATGCAGGAACCTACAAATATTCTATTGTTTCAGTTAAACACTTATTTAGAAAAAAATATGTTCCTCAGCCACTGATAACATGCTGCAAATATTTTTATCTGTGTGCATTTAACAAACAAACATGCAAGAGTAGTAATCATTTCAAAACATCAAATTTCAAAGTATAATGCTTTATATTTCACTTAGTGCTGTATAATTGATTTAAAATTTAGTCCTACTTAAAGTGACTAATCATACATGGAAATTTTTTTTAAAAATCATATTTAGACATCACTGGTTTGAAATTATTTCTACATAAATTAGTATCTTTTCTCTATTTGAAAATAATTTTAATAGTTAAAAACCTTAAGAAAATATAATGAATGTACTCAATTAAAATAGTAATTTTCCATGTATGTTTTGACTACATTGAAATTCTTTGTGACATCTTTTTAAAATAAAATTTTAGTTCCTAGAAATACTTTAAATAAATTACCAGATATGACATTTACCAGTGAAAATTTTAAAACACTGCAATCAAAAGAGATTCTGTTTCATTAATATAATAATATAATATAATTTCAGTTCTAAGAACCTTTTTATGTAATGTAACTTCTGTTTTAAGGAAGTAAGTTAGATTTTAAGATAATGTTAAACAAATATGTATGCAGAAAAGGTTTTCTTTTAATTAGCTTTGTTTTCCCCTTTTATTTGTCTTCACTAGGGAGCTTTGGTGGTGGTCAAATCTTGACTGTGACAGGCACTGGGTTTAATCCACAAAATTCAATTATATTAGTTTGTGGCTCAGAATGTGCAATTGACAGGCTTAGATCTGATTACAGAACTTTATTATGTGAAATTCCACCTAATCATGGTAAGTTGTCAGAAAAAAGAATAGCAACGTTTGAGAAATGGTTATTAATTTCATAAAGATCACAGTGTGAATTTCTTTGTCAAGTTGTTGGGTTCTTTGGGGTAATCAATAAATCACTTTATGACTGTGCTAATTTTCAGCAATTTCTTCAGAACTTTATTTTCTAGGTTTAAAAGTCTTTCAAGAGTCGTAAAATTTGGGTTATCAATTTGATAATTGATCTCTGGATCTGAATTTTTTATAATAAATTACAGTGTTTCAGTTTATGACATAAACTGATGGCTCTTAGTTTGTTGAGCACGTCAAATGGTGAACATGTTTTTAGTTCCTATTGGCATACTAGGCTTCCCTAAAAGATAGGATAATGTAATAGTCATGAGCATGAACCCTGGTAGTATATTGCCAAGATTCGAACCCCAGCTGTGTGTCTTTGGACAAGTTATTTAAGCTCTCTCTGTCTCAGTTTCTTCATCTATAAAGTAAGATTAATCACAGTCACCTACTTTATAGGATTATTATGAGGTTTAAGAAGTTCATGTATATAAAGTAGATGGAATGATATCTAGAACTTATGTTATTTGCTATTATTATTACTCTTATTTATTTTTAGTTATTAGCTAAGAGCCTGGGCTCTGAGGAGTCTCTGAATCTCAATTTTGCCGTTTACTGCCTAACTTGAGCTACACTTAACTTCTCTATGCTTCAGTTTCTTCATCTACTAAATGGAGATATTATTAACTCCAACTCAAGAGGTTGTGAGGTTTAAATATCTGGGAATTTAGATAACAAATATTAGTTATTATTTAACAACATTTAAGAAATGATTTAAACAACGTGACTATTCTAGGTGAATAAAGGATATGTTTTATTTGCAAATATTTTTAATATTTAATGATATTAAAATCATTAACAATACTTGTGAAGCTCTTCTAAGCATTTTTGCTTCTTTCCTCTGACTTCTTAAAGAATAATGAAGAAAACGACTGGGCTGACTTATCATGTCAACACCAGAGTTTGTATCGTAATAAAAAAATATGTGGCAATGATTTCAAAATTTGCTGAGATTTGGGGGTGTTTGAACACAGGCTCTGTGTCATCTTGTTATGTTCTCGTATCAGGTTTCTGTAGGTCTCTCTCCTCTCCCTCGGCTATCACCCTTGCTGTTGTCAGTGTGCCTGCTTTTAGCAATTCTTCCCTCCTTCCTGCTCTAATTTGCAATGTTGGATCCTCTAGAATTGGAAAAGTAAGGGGACAGGTTTGTAACATTTTCTACTATAAGAGTCTCTGAGGAAGGAAGGGCTTCTTCCCTGTCAGTAATGTACATGAACTTTGTGATGTTTTTGGCTATTGCTAGAGGTCTCTATTATTAATACTTCACATATAGCCTGTGTATATCAGAAAGTGATTGTGGGAAAAGGAAGATGTTATTGAAAATGTTGGTGGGGGAGGGGGAAGGGAGGAGGTTGGAAATGAATGAATGAGGGCCTGATGGCCAGAACTGCACTCAGTTTGATCCTCTTCTTACAGGCAGGGGACCTGAGCAAGCCTGTGAAGTGAGTGTGGTCAATGGGAATGACATGTCACAGTCCACCACGCCGTTTACCTACATGGAGTCACTGACTCCATTTATCACTGCAGTATCTCCCAAGAGTGGCAGTACAGCAGGGGGCACCAGACTGACCGTCGTGGGATCAAGATTCAGGTACTCTCTTCATGCACACGTGCATCAGCCTTGTGTTGAAATGGGGATGCTTCCGTCCCAATCTGCAAGAGATGTCACAAATGTCATTCAGAAGATTAAAACTCAATATACACAATTTTAGTCATGCAAAAGTAATTCTTTTTTATTCTCTCTTCTCTTGTGAGAATTAATTGCTCAGCTGTTCATATCTTTTTTCCAAAAGATAAATTTTCTAGTCAGCCAAATACACTATGCCAGACCTCTGGAAAGCATACTGACTGACTTTAGCCAGACTCAAGCCATTACGCCTGCCTTCTCCTATGCCGGCACAGCGCTAACACAGAGTCATGTCATATGTCCCTGTCTGCTCATAAGTCACACTTGAGGCACAAAGTAGTACCAATAGCTAACATTTATTGAGTACTTACTCTGTACCGGGCACCTCACTACTCACAGAAACCTCCTGCCTTAGTTTATGAGATGTTTTTTAACCTAATTTTATGCTTAGAAGACTGAGATTAGGTTAAATAACTTGCCCCAAATCCTAGTAAGTAACATCACAAATATAAATCAAAATCACCTTGTTATGCTTTTTCCAGCCTCTTATCTCCAACTAAGCTTTACTTCACTGGGTCAAAGAAACATCTTTCCATACATTAAGTCCATTTCACTATAATTGGTCAGGTTCCTTTGTCGTAAACATACTCATTATTTGGCTCAAATTTGTGTACTGTCGTGTCATCATTATTCAAGTGGATTAAACTGACTTCAAAATACCAGATCACATAAACCATAGAAGGCCATTTTAACTCCTCACATAGTTATAATTACTTTGGCCTTATATTTTTATGAACAAGTTAAGTTCTAAGGTCTGTGAATGTGGTGAGAATATCACATGGGCAAAATGATCCTCGTAAGTCTCTCATGAAAGTACCTGTTTGGAGACCAACATAGAATCTCTCAATAAATTGAATGCAGGTAGTTTTTCTACGAACACTGGAGCACCTCCTAGTTTGTACAGTTCTATTTCCTGGCCTCTTAATGTCTTTGTTTGCTTTTTTTCAATGAATATTTTGAAGGCTTAATACTAGGAAAAATGTGTCAGTCTATACTTTGATGGCTCATACGATATGATCATTACTTTTGCAATAATGCATATGAAGAAAGGGGTTTGACAGTTTAAGCTAGAAATCTGAGAAAAACAGATGTTTTCTTTTTCCCCTTTTTTTCTTTACAGTGAAAACATGGAGGATGTTAACATCACTATAGCTGAAGCCAAATGTGATGTTGAGTATTCCAACAAGACACACATCATCTGCATGACGAATGCCCATACTCCTTCAGGGTGGGCTCTAGTTCATGTCCACATCAGAAGCATTGGCATGGCCCAGCTGGTAATAGTGCTGTTTGGTATAGTGATCACAGAAATAGAAAAACTAGCATTATGGGAGGTGGACTCATTGGTACTGGCTGTTTTACTTGAATGTCTCCAAAAAATAACTCAGCTGGAACTATAATAAATTTAAAGTAGCTTACATGTTTGTTGCTTATTACTAAAATGTGTATTATTTTAGATTTTTAGTTATTTTGGGTTATAGGGTAATGGACTTTTTGCTTGATTATTATTGTGAAATAAACCAAGAGGCAGCTATAACATATTTAAAGAAAGTTGTATTTTATTATCAATAAAAATGATTATCATTTAGATTTCCTTTATTTGACAAATGGAATAAAATATTCTGACAAAAATCTCAAAATTTAAAAGTCTCTCCTGTTTTATTACAGGATAACGCTGACTTTCTATATATTGATGCGTGGTCCTCCAATTTCTCCTGGGGAGGGAAATCTCCCCCAGAAGAAGGATCCCTTGTTGTTATTACAAAAGGACAGACGATTCTACTGGATCAAAGCACCCCTATTCTGAAAATGTTGCTTATTCAGGGTAAATTTCTAAAAATATGTTTATTAGACTCTGCCCATGGAGTATGCCTGTGAAATTAATTTAATCAAAATTTGTGATTATGAACATCCATAGCTGCATCATGTTTTTAATACAGAGCATAGTACTGAGTTTTCTAAACTGAGATTGATACTGCATTTATAGTTACGGCATTATTTAGTATGTTGCACCCAGAATTTTTTAAATGAAATAAAATAGGAAATATTAGGATGGATTGCATGCATATTGTTATCTTTTAAAGTTAAATGTTATTTTATGAAAATTTTGTTTCAATTAACAGTGAGGATGTATGTGAGCATGCCTAGGCACTTTCACTAGATCACAATAGTAAGGTGTATTTTCCACTTCAAAAAATATTGATGTAGGTGGTCTCAAGTGTCATAAAAATCACAGAGATTTGTTAAATTCTAACCTGAACAACCTCCCTAACTCTCCTTGGAAGACAGGTTGTGATTCTCACCTTTGCCTGTGAACCTGCTTTTTTGGTTATTACCTGGGGTTCTCCTTGCTCCTTGATATTCTGTTTTTACTATAGAAAATTAAATAACCACAACTGTTACAATTGCATGTAAAAGAATCATTAACTGATGAGAGTAAAGCGCTTGGAGCTTTAGTGCATAAACTTTGCCATAATGGTTTTAGCTGCTGGAAAACTTTTGCATTGTTACTATTTTTTTAACTTCTGGGATAATAGCAATGTTTTAGTTATTTGTAGTTATTAAATCTTGGACCTTTGGACAAGAATAGTTTTACTACTTACAAAATTACATCATTCTCATAAAAATGTATCTCTGTGCATTCTTTAATAATGCCATAGCTGCTGGGAGTGCAAATCAGTGGATAAAAGTTTGGAGCTAATGTTGGTGTTATAACGGCTTCTATAAACATGCTTTTCTTTAATTGCTTTGTTCTTAATTTATATTTTGAGGTCCTGTGCTTATAGAACTAATTTGTCTAGCTGTGCTATTTAATAGCATTTAAAATAACAAATGGTCAAGGGAAAATAATCTTCCCTGGGATTTGATTTTAGGGGACAGGGATGAGAAATTACATTTTAATTTATAGTTTAATATGTAACTTTTAATAAGACCTTGTGAAATATTTCAAAATTATATGGTTCATAGGTGGAACTCTAATATTTGATGAAGCTGACATTGAACTCCAGGCAGAAAATATTCTAATTACAGATGGAGGCATTCTTCAGGTATACACAGGAACGTAAAATATATTCATTTCTAACCTCTATTTCTTTTTGAAATATTATGTATAAAATGGATAGTTAATTATATCAACCTGTCCTAAGTTTATTTTTGTTTAGGTTTCTGTTATGAATATAAAATCCTTTTTCTGGGGAGAAGTTTCCCAGAGTATTCTTGTACTTTTAATGGGACGATAATAGTGTATTCTCATAGAGCAGAATTTAAAACTCTTGAGATATGGCTAAAGTCAGTCAGTATACTTTCCAGAGGTCTGGCATAGTGTATTTGGCTGACTAGAAAATTTATCTTTTGGAAAAAAGATATGAACAGCTGAGCAATTAATTCTCACAAGAGAAGAGAGAATAAAAAAGAATTACTTTTGCATGATTAAAATTGTGTATATTGAGTTTTAATTTTCTGAATGACGTTTGTGACATCTCTTGCAGATTGGGACGGAAGCATCCCCATTTCAACACAAGGCTGTCATTACTTTGCACGGGCATCTGCGATCTCCTGAGCTCCCTGTGTATGGTGCCAAAACACTGGCTGTGAGAGAGGGAATCCTGGATCTGCATGGTACAGGGGCCAAAGGGCTCAGAGTTGGTAGAGGAGAGACTCAGGGATGATCGTCCTCATAACACTCTCTAAGCAAAAACTTGCCAGTTTCTCATGTCTTTAGATATCCTGTCTTTATCCCCTTTTACCTCTTCCCTCCCTGTACCCAGGCCAGTCAAGACCCAGAACCCAGGTTACACTTTGCAAGCTGTTCTGTTCTATATTCTTCTCTATTCTTCAATTCTATTCTGCTCTATATTCTTCCTCTAACTGCTTTCCAAGTGCTTCTCAATGCGTTTTGTCTCATTTTGCACGTATCGTAGTACCTAGTGACTCTGTTTACTTCATTTATCTGCATAACAAGGCACTAACTCTGGAAGCAGAAGATTGTCATTTCCTACATTTGTATCTGGAAACAGGCTGTTTCTAAAATATTAGGTCATTAAATATGAAAAGTCCAATTTCAAATCAAAAGTGTAGCTTATTATATCTTAAACAAGATGCCATAAAATTAATCAAAGTATGCCCCTAAACTATCTACACAGTGTTGCCATCTTAATAATGGTAGCTTGCTTATGCCATCAATTAAAAAGCCTGGAGAACAAGTGGTGATGAGATTGTGAAAGGTGTTTTCCACAGCTGGTTGAGAATTGAATATTTTTCCTTGAAAGAAGTGGTCCAAAGCCTGGAAGAAATGGTAGTCAGTTGGTGCGAGGTCTATAAACACAGAGGATGACAGAGAGTTTCCAAATCCAGTCTCTGTAGTTTGAGCAGCGTTGTTTGCGCAACATGTGGTCAAGTGTTGTCTTACAAGAGGATTGGCCTGTCTATATTGACCAGTCTTGGCTGCTTAATCACAAGCATCCTCATTATTTCATCCAGCTGGTCGCAGTAGACATACACTGTAATCGACTGACCAGGTTTCATGAAGCTCTAGTAGATAATACCAGTGCTGGACCACCAGATACTATTAAGCTTTTTTTGATGAATATTCAGTTTTCAACTGTGTTTCAGCATTTCATCTTTATCCAACCATTGTGCTGAATGCTTGCAATTATAAAAAATAATCCATTTTTCATCACACATAACTATAGGGTATGAAAATGGTTTGCCTTTATGTCATGACAGCAAAGAAAGTCAAGCTTCAAGATGATTTCTCTTCTGATGTTTGTTTAATTCATGCAGAATCCATCCATCCAGCTTCTTTACCTTGCAAATTTGTTTCAAGTGGTCCAATATTATTGGAATAGTAACATCAAACCTTGCTACTAATTCACATGTAGATGGAGATGGATTTGCTTCCACTACAGCTTTCAGCTCATCATTATCTACCTTGGTCTCAGGATGGCCACGTGGGTCATTTTAAAGATTAAAATCACCAGAATGGAATATTTCAAATCATTGACATACTGTGCATTCATTAGCCACATCCTTCCCAAACACGTTGTTGATATTTCAAGCTGTCTGTGCAGCATTGGTTCCGATGACAGAACTCATAATTGAAAATAACATGAATTTTTGACTTACCCATTGTTTCACAAAAATTGCTCTAAAAAATTTGAAAGATAATCACAAGCCAAAACATGCATTGGAAAGATTAATAATGTACCTTCACAATAAAAATAAAACAAGAATTGTCAAATAGAAATGTCAGAGATATCAACTGTCAAACAGTACTTAAAGAAATCGGACATTTGATACTTAATAACTTAATACAATAACTTTATAGTTGTGCATTTCTATAACTATATCCTGGAAAATTGCTAGGAAGTAAAAATGATTTTGATCATGTTTAAGGTACCAGGGTAGTTTATTATTTAAAGGAAGCATGGTGTGAGTCTTTTTTATATTGAATTCTTCTGTATTGCAATAATCTGTCTATCTTACAAATTTAGAATACCATAAGTATGATACCTTATGATCATTGTGATCATAAATGTCTTACATTGTGATAAATATATATACTGCTGTAATTTCTTAGTAATTTATACATTTGTCTCTAGATTATCAGTTTAAGCATTACTTACCAATAATGACAAAGGTAATAGACCTCTACCCATTTTGTCAATATTATCATACCACATTCATGTTGTGTCCCTTAAAAGAAGATTGTCATAAATAGAATATATCATTGCAGAAGAATGTTTTTTAACTTTATAGACTCAAACATGCTATTGCAAACCTAACTATTCCTTTGTAAAGCAATCATTCTGAATATTTCTTTTTTGAGAAAGGTATGAAATGCTATGGTAAAATGAACCTTCCCAAAGTTGATTTAATCCAGGGAAAGATTTAATTGTGTAAAGGTCTCAATAACCAGTCAGATACATCTGAAGAAATACTGTTTGATTGTTGGCTCCAGGTCTGCCTGTTCCTGTGATCTGGACTCATTTGGCTCATACTGCAAAGGCAGGGGAAAGAACTTTGATTTTACAAGAAGCAGTTACATGGAAAGCAGGAGATAACATTGTAATTGCAAGCACAGGACACAGGTATGATATTTTCTGGGCTTAATGATTTCTATTTAGAAAAGAAATTTCTAAGCTGTGTAAAAATCCAAAGTTCATTGGATTCAATGTTATATGACTTATATTCCGATTCTAGTTTTTCTGCATCTGTATAAAAAATTCAGATGATCCATGAATATTTGATTTAAATTTGAAACTTCTAATAAAGAAAACAAACATGAACAGCCAAATAAATACTTGCCAAATGTCAACATTTTGTTAATCATTGCATTGCATTATCATTGATTAAATTTATGGTAAGATAAAGTGTAAGTTTGAACCTATAAAATAAATATGACTTAGTAAAATATTTTGTTTAAGACGTAGTTAGGTTCCCATATCAGACTCCATTTGAAAAAATCATTCTACTATTAAAAGTCATTTGAAAGTATCCACTTGGAGCTTTAACTAAATATGTTAATGAATGCAAAAAATGCAAATAAGCTTCTTTGTTTAGTGTCACCAAAGAACATGGTTGCAAGCAGCTAATTAACTCTTTCTTATCTTACAGTCTTGGCAGTGGTTCCCAAGGAGCAAAATTGTTGATAATGATTGAATAAAAGGGAAGAAATCATTATATAAAAAATAATGATTAACATGACCTTTTAGAGGCCAACATTTTAAAATTGAAATTGCTTATGACCCTTAATTTCTGTTTAATTATATATTTCACCAAATACGAAATAAAAGGAAAATAATTAATATAACAACACCAAATATATTGAGGGTAGGGACAAGAGCCTTATTTTTCCTTTATTCAAATTATAGATAACTGTAAAATTGGATATGGCTGTGCTTTTCAGGGAACAAATACTAATTTATGACAAGAAACTACTAAATTATGTTAAGGTAATGATTAAATTTAAAATTAAAATTCAAGATGGCATTTTGAGTTTGACATTTTCCAAGTTAAAAATAGACTTGCAGATGTTAAGAAGAGTTAAATATATACTTAGCTTTATAAGTGCTCATTTTTTTTGCTCTCAGAAGAAATTTTAATTATACAATGGCAAATAAATAAATAATAGTGGCAAAAATGCAAAAGAAAAATGATAGGGCTTATTAACAGAATAGAAAATCTTCATCGATAGCTTTTCTCTGTGGAATAAAAGGGTAAATTTAGAATTTAGCATAGGGCTTTTTAGTTTTAAGAAATAAGAATTAAGGAGATTTCTCTCCAAATTTAATTCTCTGTTCATTATTTTATTGGAAAATTTTATTTGAGAGTTTGTAAAGCCTGTGGTTCAAAAGTCAGTCAACCTTACCACTTACTAGATTGTGGCTATATTATTTCACCTTTGTGTGCTTCAGTAAAATTGGAATACTGTTACTATCGGCCTCATAGAATTATTTTAAGAATTAAGTGAGTTAATACGTGTAAGTGTAAAGTAAATATAGCAGAACTCTGCTAAAAGTATTACGTAAATGTTAGGTATTACTACAAAGGAAAGAAAGATGTGTTTACGTGCACGCAACATTCAAAATGCTTTTCACATCCTTCTTTTCTAAAGAAATCATTGTGTCATCTGAATTCAAGGGAATTAAAGAAAGGCTGCTGGCCCAAACCCCTTTTCCATCCCACCTGTGAGCTCTTGTACCATTGATTCTCCTTACCTCCAAACATTCTTAATCTCCACCTCTCCCTGTCTTTCCCTGGGTTCTTTGGAATTATTGGTTTCCTCATTCACCCATCATCTCGATAAACAACTTTGTTCTCCTATCTCTTCTAGCATCTTTCTTTTTCTTATCATTTATTTTTAAAAAATTATTAAACTCCTTAAATATGATATGCCCATTTCTTCTATTTCATCCTTATTATTCTTTTTTTTCCCTTCAAATCCCTACAGCCTGAATTTTTTTTTCACAAAAACTTTTCCAGTGATCTTCTAATTATTGTCATTCTTAACTTCCTTCTTATCACTGGTTCCTTTGGTTCTTCCCTTGAGCTGTCTCTTCCATCAGCTTTTCCTGCTGTCAGTTTAATTTAGACTCTCTGTTCCTCACACCTGCAATATTACATCCTCTTCCTATTTGGGCTCCATTCCACTTTCTTCCCCACATGAATTTATTATGCATTAATTTGTTCCATCAATAAAAACTGTTATTGAATTGTGACAGATACTGTACTAGGTGCTCAGCAAATAAAATGATTCAATAGGTCTCCTGCCTAGAGGAGCAGACAGGCCAGTGGAAGGGACCAAGAAGTAGATACTTCATAGGACTGCAATGTGTTTGCTCTGAATACTAACCATGCATTATACAGGGTGTATTGGAAACCCAAAAGAAGGGCTGGGAAAGTTGACAAAGGTGACTTTTAATCTACTTCACATGTGGCACTGTTATTTAACCTGGTATTTAAAGGAGGAAAAGGATTTGCTAAGAGGGAAGAGTCAAAGGGAAGGTCAGGAAGACATAGAGGTAATTCCCCTAAGCTTACCTCTGTTAACAGCACCAATCTCAATTTAGTAGATAAAGTACAATCAGGTATTGACACATTTAGCACTGACACCTTAAAATTAGGGGTATTTTCTATGTAGTATCCCCCATCCTTGGCTCTTTGCCTAGAAAACAGGCTAGATGCTCAATAAATGTTTGTTGAATGACTAAATATGTGAATATATGTATTATAGAATTGGCAAGTCCTTTCTGCTGTGGCTGGAATTTGGAGTACATTGGAGGAATGGTAAAAATGAGGTCTCTTAAACTTCAACTCAGTCATTTCTTTTCCCTGTTCAGGAACCTCCAATGACTTCCCTTTGTAAGAGTTTCTTAACTATGTCATGACTGACGTCTTAGACCAGATAATCTTGATTGTATGGGGCCATCCTGCATATTATAGGATGCTTAGAAACATCCCTGGCCTCTACCCACTGGAAGCCAGTAGCAACCCCTAATTGTAACAGCCAAAAATGTCTGCAGACATTGCCACATGCCACATAGGGGGATACAATTATTTTCAGTTGCAAACCATTGAATATGATTCTCAAAGGTATAGATAAATAGTTCTTTTTAATGCTTTTTAGAAGCTAATACAGTTCTAGGAACAAATGTAGAACTTGGAAAATATTAAATTTAATTGAATGCACCCATAAAACTTCCTCTAAGAGATAATAAAATACTGTATTCCAATTCCTTTTCAGAATATTACATGACATAAAAATATTTGCCTACTTTGCAAACAAATTGTTTAAGAGTATAAAACAAATATATCAAAACAATGTTATGTCAATTTATATTAATTTTGAAAATTTTTTGTTAAAACTTTTACAGACATAGTCAACGAGAGAATGAGAAAAGGACCATTGCATCTGTATCTGTTGATGGCATAAACATAACACTAACTAATCCACTGAATTACACACACTTAGGAATTACTGTCACACTCCCTGATGGAACTCTGTTTGAAGCAAGGGCAGAAGTTGGAATTCTTACAAGAAATATTTTAATAAGAGGATCTGATAATGTAGAGTGGAATAACAAAATCCCACCATGTCCTGATGGATTTGACACAGGTAATTTTAGCAGTTATCATGTGGCTGTATAGTCAAGCTACAGATTTTCAAAGTTTAATTGGTTTATATTGAAATATAGTATTTTAGTTTCAACTTGCAAGTCTGCCTTATAAATATCATTAAATGTGGAAAATTAGAAATGCCAATAGCATTTTTAAGTAACATTATGAAAGCATTTGAATATATTTAAGAAAAATGATTCACACTGACACTGTAATGGGAGAAATAACTGTGCTTATATTTTGTTGATAAAGACCTTCTATATTTATGATTCTTTATTATATGTTTAAATAAGACTTTCATGATTGCAGTTTTACATATTGTCATCAAGAAGCTGCCTCATTTAGATTTACCCAGAAAATGTAGAAAACCACATTTGATGATATAAAGATTTTGTTTAGCAAATCTTTGATTCATCAATGCTTTTTGTATTTTCCAGAATCTGCCGTTCATCAAAACAGCGTATGTTAAAGTGGATTCATTGTAGGCAGATATTTTGCCTAGTAATCCTTAGATAGATGATGGCTAGATGGACAAACAGATGGATGGAATGATAAAGAGACAGATAGACATATAGATCTGAACCAGCTAGAGTAGGCTATATCAGAGGTTTTCAACCTCAGCAACTATTGACATTTTGGCCCAAATAATTCTTTGTTTTGGGGCACTGTTCTGTGTCATTGTAGGATGTTTAGCAGCTTACCTGGTCTCTACCAACTGAAATCTAGTAACACTTCCCACAACTGTGACAACCAAAAATGTTTCCAGATATTGCAAAAATGTTTCCTGGGAACCACTGGACTAGGTTATAAATATGCTCTAAACTCAGTGATTTAAAATGACAAAAGTTTATTTCTCATTCATGCTACATGTGTCAATATGAGTCAAAAGGGAGCTCTGCTCATTATAATCACTCCAAGATCCAGGCCAGTGGAGGCTTCATCTCAACATGGGTTTGCATGATCTTAGAGCAGATGAGATGGCTGGAGACTCAAGCACCAACAAGCAATTGCTTTGGTCCTGAAGTGACACATGTCTCTTCTACTTGGGTGTCATTGGTCAGAACTTATTCCATGGCTATGCTTAACTTGAAGGGAGTGAGTCTTTGCAAGCCCCTTGCAAAAGAATAGAAAAGAACTGGATACTGGTGAACCTTAATGATATTTACCACAGTTTTCATTTGTATAGTAGGAAGCACAATGCATTCTATGAGTCTCTTTTACATATTTTATGTAATAATTAGTATTGCCTCAATCCAATAAGTAGTTGAATAATAACAGGTACTGCTTAGATAATAACCTTTTCTTCAAAGAGAAGTATAAAACGAAGTTCATTGGATTCAATGTTCTATGACTTATATTCCGATTCCAGTTCTTCTGCATCAAGTTTCACAATGTACATGGAACCTAGTTTAAAATAAGAATACTTCCTATTCTGCCTTCTCACTGTGGTTTTGAGAATCAAGTGATGTCATTAATATTCTTACGCTGTACAAGTGTAAGATTGCATTAATTATATTAATCCCAAAATCTTGGAGGAAAGATCTAGAAATAATAAAGTAACCCCTATCAGTATTCCCTTGAATTTTCAAATATATACTTAGTATCTTCTCTGAAAAATACTGTAGTAAGTTCTTTTAGGAGTGCCAAGATGAACAAGACAAGGTACTTACTTTTTTTTACTATTTAGAAAAAGAGATGATGTGAATGCAAATAATTATGTTCCTGGATGAGATTGAAATTATATGTGAATAAAAAGATACAATTAGGTATGAGAAAAAAAATCCCTAATATAATAATAAGAATGGTTTTTCTTTTATATATTTAAAACTATTTTTAAAGGTGAATTTGCTACACAGACATGTCTCCAAGGAAAGTTTGGAGAAGAAATAGGAAGTGACCAGTTTGGAGGCTGCATTATGTTTCATGCTCCTGTACCTGGTACTAATATGGTAACTGGAAGAATAGAATATGTAGAGGTAAGAGGCATTATTATTAAATCACAGTGGTTTGCCCAAGGTTATTTACACAACGAACAGGTATTGAGCTCCTGCTGTTTGCCACATGCTACTTATAATCTGGTAGAGGAAACAAATACATAAATGGACAATTTTAACAACCAATTATTCACCCTTTTTGTCGTGCCAAAATTTCATTTCTCTATTTTTCTCGCATCTATATCAAATTCATCAGCAAATTCTATCTTCTCTACCCACACAATACTGTATCCACAATCCACTTTTTCCCACCCCCCACCCCAATCCTAAACCCAAGACACCATCCTCTCCCACCTAGACTACTCTGATTTTCTCTTGCCTGGTCTTCCTGCTTCCACTCTTGTTCCAAGAGAGCTTCACACAGAAGCCAAAGTAAAACAAAATCAAATCTTGTTATATCCTTATTCAAAACCCTTCAATCTCTTTGTATTATACCTAAAACAAAAGTCCAAGTCCTTCCCATAGGACCCACATGATCTGACCCCAGCTACCTTCTAACTTTGTCTCCCATGACTCTGCTTCTTGCTCATGCCATGCTAGCCACATAGGCCTCCTGATGTGACCATATCAAGCACATTCCTATCCCTAGTTCTTTGTGCTTGCTCTTCATTTTGCTTGGAATCCTCTTACACCAAATGCTTGCATGGTTCACATCTTTATTTCAGTCAAATGTCTTCTCAAATGTTCTCTCTCCAGAGAGGCCTTTCCTCATCGCTTTTATTTAAAATTGCTGCCCAGATCTGTATTTTAACTATTTACTTACAACTCCTAATATAGTATCTACTGTTTGTTTATTTTCAACCGCTCCCTCTAGAACATATGCTAAATCATTTCAGAGATTTCGTCTTTTTGGTTCTCTACTGTTCCCCCTGTGGTTGGAACAATGCATGGTGTGTAGTTGAGTCTCAATTGATTATTAATTGAACAAACAAATAAATATGCATATTATCCCTAAGAATTAGGAACTTTTGTGCATCTTATTCATATTCACTTTGTATAATCAGGGTTTGGCATAATTCTTACCAAGTATTCAGTAGAAGAAAGGAAGGAAGGAGGAGAGGAAGGAAAAAATGAGAGTAAAATCCATAAATCTTTTAAACTTGGCTTTAAACAGTTAAACTGTGTTGATGGTGACAGAGTCAGCGCTTCCATTTTCTGTAGCTTCCCTTCTCCTAAGATATGTTACATACACACATGTGACGTCTGAGATATGGACTGAGTGAGGTTGCCAGGGTCAATCCAGATATTAAATATTAGTAGTAGCTAATTTTTAATTTTTAGATGGAGAGTGAAAATAAATAGATGACCTTATATTTTTCCTTACCCCATGGTATTATATTACACACACACACACACACACAGACACACATTCACATACACTGGCATTCTCTGTATTAGGTTACTAGACTGCAGACCACTCGAAAGAATACACAACAGAATGGTTAATAAGAGCATCAACTCTAGAGTCAGACCAACTTGGGTTTAAATGAAGCCTTGTGACCATGAACAAGATTCTCAGCCTTTCTTAGCTTCCATTTCTTTATCTGTAAAATGATGTTAATGGTAAGTGGCTACTTCATAGGATTATGATAAAGATTGTGATACTGCAAATATCAAATAAAACACTTGGCATATGGCAAATATTCAAGAAATATTTCTTATTAGATAAGAATCAAAGTGAAGGGGGAAAAAGTATTTTAAAAAGTTTTATTTTGTAAAACATGAAAGGTTGTTGATAGATTAAGGTAAAAAGCAGAAGAGTCAAAGATGCCTTTTTTTCGTTCATTTATGCATGTCGTAACAAGTGTGGTCTGTTATGCACTGTATAAAACAAGACTTGTTAGGTGTTGAATAACTTTTTCAAATGACAAATAATTTGGAAGATATGAATACATAATAATAATTAATATAAAATTGGAGATTATTTTGAAACAGGAAAATATGAACCAAACAAACTCTGAGTCCATGTGGATCACTAAATGGCTCTGATTTCTGGGTTTCACAGGTATTTCATGCTGGCCAGGCTTTCCGGTTGGGGCGATATCCAATACATTGGCACCTGCTTGGAGATTTACAGTTTAAATCTTATGTAAGAGGCTGCGCAATTCACCAGACCTATAACAGAGCTGTTACTATCCATAACACACATCACCTTCTAGTTGAGAGGAATATTATATATGACATCAAGGGAGGAGCATTTTTTATAGAAGATGGTATTGAATATGGCAATATCCTGCAATATAACTTGGCAGTATTTGTACAGCAAAGTACTAGCCTTCTGAATGATGATGTGACCCCAGCTGCATTTTGGGTAACCAACCCGAACAATACCATCCGGCACAATGCAGCTGCTGGTGGCACTCACTTTGGCTTTTGGTACCGAATGAACAACCACCCTGACGGGCCATCCTATGACCGAAACATTTGCCAAAAAAGAGTTCCTCTTGGAGAATTCTTTAACAATACTGTTCATTCTCAAGGTTGGTTTGGACTGTGGATCTTTGAAGAATATTTCCCCATGCAAACAGGATCTTGTACTTCCACGGTGCCAGAGCCTGCTGTATTCAACTCACTTACTACTTGGAACTGTCAAAAAGGAGCAGAGTGGGTTAATGGCGGTGCCCTTCAGTTCCATAACTTTGTGATGGTAAATAACAATGAGGCTGGAATCGAGACCAAGAGGATTCTGGCTCCTTATGTTGGAGGGTGGGGTGAAACCAATGGAGCAGTGATTAAAAATGCCAAAATAGTTGGTCATCTTGATGAACTGGGTATGGGATCTGCATTTTGCACAACAAAAGGCCTGGTTCTTCCATTTAGTGCAGGCTTGACTGTGTCTTCTGTGCACTTTATGAACTTTGACCGTCCCAACTGTGCAGCTTTGGGGGTGACATCCATCACTGGAGTTTGTAACGAGAGGTGTGGAGGTTGGAGTGCAAAGTTCGTTGACATCCAGTATTTTGACACACCCAACAAGGCTGGCTTTCGATGGGAACATGAAGTGATGCTGATTGACATTGATGGTTCACTTACAGGTAATGTTATCTTAAATTTTGTGATAAAAATACATTGGGAATATGTTTGGGTTAACACAGTTGAATTTTTATTTTTTTAATCCAGCATATTATGGGGGGACAAATGTTTAGGTTATATATATTGCCTTTGCCCCACCTGAGTCAGAGCTTCAAGCATGTCCACCCACCAGACAGTGCATACCATATCCATTAGGTGTGAATATACCCATCCCCTCCTCCCCCTCCCACCTGCCTGACACCTGATGAATGTTACCATTATATGTTGGATTTTTAAGCAGACTTAACATGAATTTCATATCTTACCCAGCACCAAATTTTACTAATGATTTAAAGGACATAGGCAAGCCCCCAAAATAGATGAGACATTGTTTTCCGAAAGATATCCAGACTGTCAGCTGAAGCCTCCCAATATGTCCGTTTTCTTCTGCATTTTCATGTTGATTTTGAATTAACAGAAAATTTGGGGCAATATTTATAGAAACATTAATCACAAAAGGAAGCCATTTAAGTTTTAGAATGCCTCCATGTATATTCAGTTAATTGCACAGATAAGAAACTGCTTATATGACTGCCCAAGTTCTCCAGCCAATCATGTCCCATAAACATATAAATGGCAGGTTTAGGTTGGGTACAATGGCTCACACCTGCAATTCTCATACTCTGGAAGGCCAAGGCAGGAGGAATGCTTGAGGTCAGGAGTTCGAGACCAGCCTGAGCAAGAGCAAAATCCCATCTCTACTAAAAATAGAAAAAATTAGCCAGGCATGGTGGTGCGCACCTGTATTCCCAGCTACTGAGGAGGCTGAAGCAGGAAGATCACTTGAGCCCAGGAGTTTGAAGTTGCTGTGAGCTAGGCTGATGCCACGGCACTCTAGCCTGGGTGATTGAGCGAGACTTTGTCTCAAAAATAAAAAAGGCATGTTTATTACAAAAGCAATGCAAACAGACTAGGTATGTCCTTGCCAGAATACTTTACAGAGAAGAAATAAGTAACAAGTCTGCTGTTAACCATTTTCTTTTCAATCTAAATTTTAAGTTTGAGATTTATTCAAAGTACCAAAAGAGAACAAAATTCAATATACAAATATATATGATAGGTTAAATTTTAGCATTTCAAGTTCAGGTATGTCAATTTTTAATATTTCATAAATATTCATGTTTTCTAGAATTTAGCATCTTTACAAATTGTTAATGATAAAGACTTGTTTAAATAAGATAGATAACATGGGTGTATATGTTGGGAGTACTGAATAATACTTTATAAGAAATAGCCAGTTGACAGCCAACCATACAAATATGATGATTTACTTTTGAAAGAGTCTCTGAAAGATGAAAGAAGGTTCATCTCAATAGTCAACTGCCCTGAGTTCTCAACCACAGTTGTTGACTTCCGTCTCCTATTCTAATACAGCTTTACAGAGGCAGAACGTTTGGATGCTTTTGATATATAAAGCTTTTTGTAACCTTTATTGATTGCTTAATTCAGCTTAGGTTTTTAATGTTAGTTGATGGTCTATTTGGTACCAGCTTTATGGCCAGACTGCCTGGATTTAAATCTTGTGTGTCCTTGACCAAGTTACTCCCACTTCCCATCTCCTACTTTGACTCTCCTTGGGGCTTCAGATCCTGTGTTTCAGCTACATGCACAATAAGGTCTCTGACTGAAGAGTTACTGCAAAGCTTGTGTATGAGGTCCCCTTGCCTCATGCAAACAAACAAAAAAACATTACCAAGAATTTAGATTTTATTGGTGATAGTATGGGTCATACTACCTGTATATTGTAGACTGTTGTTTTTTAGTTTTTTAACATGAAATAGAAAACATGCTCTTTGTGTTTGTTTCCTAGGATACAAAGGACATACTGTTATTCCACACAGCTCATTGTTAGACCCTTCCCATTGCACTCAAGAAGCCGAGTGGAGCATTGGGTTCGCTGGCTCAGTCTGTGATGCCTCAGTCAGCTTCCACCGTTTGGCCTTCAACAAACCTTCCCCAGTATCTCTGCTTGAAAAGGATGTGGTTCTCTCAGACTCATTTGGTAAGTGGAAAATAATAGTTTAAGCTGCTAATTTAAATATAGCTCCCTAGGCCTTTCTCATCATCTTCTTGGATTTTTACTAGATGGTTTGAAGATTGCAAAAAAGCATTATGTTTATGTTAGAATCCAAGCAGGAAACGAATAGTACACTCAAAGCGAGTGTTTGAGGAGCATTGAATAAATGCATGGGCCAGCATGATATTCTGATGATGAAGAAATCTCTAAGACAACATTATGGGAGAGAGCAAGAAAGTTGGCATAGTCCTTGGAGCAAGATATTAAAAATGTACCAGTGTTCCTTCCATTCAAGGCAAAGGTTTTTGATTATCCTTGCTGATTGAGATGGAATGGAAGGAGCATTTAGTAGGTCAATAGCTGCATACCACGTGCCAGGGACTGTTGATTTACTGATTTGTTCCAGTAAAGATACAATACATGGAACACCAGATATGCTTGACAGCATTACTTGACTAGGTTGTATTAATTTACTGTCATTATTTGTGCTCCATCTGGCCTTTGCACCAGCTAAATAAGCAAGTTAAATGGAGATGTAGTGGTAATCCTGATCTCCATCCCTCAAATTTGTGATCATGGCACTAAGTTCTATGTTTTCTCCCTCTAAGACTTAAAATTGCTTTTAGTTTATCTTGGTAAGGGAGTGAGAGGCACAGTTTTTAGAGCTACCATTTAGTCCTTCCTACCAGATTTGCCCTCACTCCATCAGTCAGGGAACCAGTGTGGGAATTCTTCTAGTTGCTAAGTATATCTATTCCCATTCTACCAGATCTAGCCCACACTGACTGCCTCAGATCTATATATTAATATATATTTCTTTATCATTCCATCTATTCATTTGTCCATGAATCCATCATCTGTCTAAGAATAATTAGTTAAAATATCTATCTACAATGAATCCACTCTTGCATATACTTTTCTGATGAAATGCGTATCTTGGAAAATAGAAAAAGCATTGATGTATCAAAGATTTGCTAAACAAAATCTTTTATCATCATGAAACATAGTTTCTGCATTTTCTGGGTAAATCTAAATGATGTAGCTTCTTGATGACAATACGTAAAACTGTAATCATCAAAGTCTAATCTAAACATATATTAATAATAAGGAACCATAAGTATAGAAAGGGTCTTTATTAGCAAATCTAAACATGTTTCTTTCTCCCATTACATTAACCATTAACCATTTTTCTGCAACACATTCAAATACTTTCATAGTGTTACTTAAAAATGCTACCAATATTTCCAAATTTCCACATTTCATGATATTTACAGGTCAAATTTGCAAGCTGAAGCTAAAACAATATATTTCAATATAAAACAATTAAATTTTGAAAATTTGTAGCATAATTATACTAGCCACATGATAGCTGCTAAAATTACTTGTGTCAAATCCATCAGGACATGGTGGAATTTTGTTATTCCACTCTACATTATCAGATCCTCTTATTAAAATATTTCTTGTAAGAATTCCAACTTCTGCCCTTGCTTCAAAATTCTATCTGTATTCCCACTACACATTGTGGAACTGAAGACATGACCATAAGATGGACCCATAGCCCCACTGGACTTACTGTGACACTAAGCAAAAACTAATTCTATCACCTGCCCTTCATAAGCCCCTGCTCTGAGTGGTGGACCATGTTAGCATGGTGGCATATAGGGTCTTTGAGGATTAGTATCAGTTTATAGCCAAGATCTAATAACTTGGAAGGACTGGATATTTTCCTTTTCCTAGTGTACAGTAGCCTAAGTGGCCACAGGTTTCTCTCACTCAGTGGGGAGGCTCTTCATCTATGAATTGTTTTGGATCTAGTAAATAGATAAGAAGTTAGATTTCTGTCACCCAAGACCTCTATCATTTTTCTTCCCATATATTCACCAAATATCACCTTAGTATGCTACTCACCTATTTACTGTTTGGCATCCTAAGATTAATTGACTATCACCAGAGATTCCCACAGGTCACAGCACTCTGCTTATTCCTCTGTCCAGTAGGTATTGAGCTAATTGAGTCTACCCTTATATATGACAGTTAACTACTGACTCCTGCCACTTTTAGATCCCATTATTCCCCTACAGAGATTCAGGAAGCCAATTTCATTGGCAGCATCCCCTCCCAGCATTCCCAGCATCCAGAAAACAGCCACCATAGAACTCTTCAAAGAACTAGTAAGAGAAAAATGCTGTTACCACTGCTAGGTCTGAAAAGGTAAAGGGAGGCAGCAGTTACAGAATAGATAGAGCTGTATGAAGAAGGCTGCCTGAGAGAAGCTGAGCCCTTTGGTTGAGAGATGCAAGAGCCCACCAAGATGCCCCTATATCCCCACAGAGTGAGAGTCAGGGGAATAAAGACATGACCTTCACCTTCCTCCTTCCCTTTCTTCTCTTCCTTATGCATCCCCCTGTCCAAATCTGGCCATAAGGCAGAAAACAAGGGAGCAGGATGGAGAATAGTGAGCAGTGGATCTGCAGAGAAAACAATAAATATGCAGCACCACGTCCATCAGTTATTAAGATGATATAAGTTATTAGATTTAATTTCTAAAAACTTTTACTAGGATTTTTTCCTCCTATAAATTGAAAGCGTCATACACCTACTATTTGAGTAATAGTTATATCCACTGTCTCAGTGTCTTAATGATATAAACCCAGAGGCCATTACTTTTCTTCCGATAAATAGTTGTCCTGAATGAACAATGTTACTTAACTGTTTAGAGACTATGGTACAATAAACAATATTTTAAGCAGAGTATCTATGAATGTTTTCTTCCAAATAAAAACTACAGGCTAAAACAAAAAGTAACCAATACATCAAAAGCAAATGAAGATATTTTATCTGATAATATTTTAGTGTTTTAATTACTATGTCATAAAATAGTATTTTTAATAATCTTTTAAAATACTTTATGGCATAGATGTAAATAAACTGCAAATAGTATTTTATAAAACATGGTTTAAGATACACTTACCTGGAAAACTTAGAGATGTGCAACATTCCTGAATAAATTATTTCAAATATATAACATGATAAAGTATATATGCATTTATTAATTTTTAAGCAGTAATATTCAAACATCTCACCTCTAATAGTTTTTGTGGTTGTTGTTAGTGGTGGTGATGATTTTAGGAAGGAGTTTTTACTTATTTGTTTGTATTTTGGTTTTTTGATTCATGAAGTCTGGTATTTCTGAATTTATGAGATGATAGCTTTTTTGTGGCCTTTTCCCTTCAAGAATTAAGATTTTTATTTGATTATTAAACTGATAACACCTACAGGGCAAGATATATAAGTTTATATATCTGAGGCCACAAAACTTAGCACTGAGCATTGAAAATTGCAGGTACTCGGCAAGTATTGAATTAGATGAAATTTGTTGCAATACTCAGACCAGATTGCAAAGGAGAGAAAACATTATTCCAGGCACTTTACTTTTTAATGTGACAAAAAAAAAATCAACTTCATAGTAAGGAAAATTTGACTACTTTTATTTTATCTCCATTAAAGTCAAATAAAATTATTCACTACTAAAAATTAAAAACAGAAAAAGATCACTCATTTGGATTATATATGTATATTAAATGATTCAACAGTTTGAAAAGTATACTAGCTTTGTGGGAAGTAAGATTTGGTATAACTTTACATATATTCTTATATATCTTTATCAAAGCATCTCACATATGATGATATATTTTTGTGTAAATATATGTATAAAGTTAGACCAGATGGCAAATTAATTTGAGAAACTTAATGATCCTATTTTTTTAAAAAAAAATATAACTTCAAAAGTTTATGTCTCAGTCCAAGAAGCTTGAAACCAATGTACTTGTAATGAGTGCAGCTGAAAAGTAATTAGGAAAAGCCACAACTAAAGAAAAATGAAAATTGGTTTTACTTATGAAACTGAATTATTAAGAAATGCCAGGTTAAAGTATTGAAATAATCCCATGGATTAGAAAACTTCAGTGGAGTTTAGATCCGTCAAATATATTCTAGAGGTTTTAGATGACTTTTAGTTAGCTCTTGTGTAAATTAACTATTGCTTCACAACAGACTATTCCCAAGCTTAAGCCTACAATTATTTATTTTTACTCGCATGTACGAGAGCTGTGATGGTTGATCTAGGCTGGGATCAGCTGGGAGGCTATTATTCAAGGTGAGGATCTGGTGGGCTTTTTTCTCACCAAGGTTTGAGCTCAAGTGGCTCCACGTGTGCTCAGGTGCAGGGCGAGCAGCTACCTGGGGGAGCTTCTTCTCTTGATGATGGCAGAGGCTGAAGATGTCAAACATCACTCAGCAAGCACTTTCCAAGCCTTAGCTAATGTCAGTTCTGCTGATGTCTCTTTGGACAAAAGAAGTCCCCCAACATCAACAGAGCAGGGAAGTCCACCCTCAAGGAGGCAGACTCAAGGAGGGGAGAGGAGTGGATATTTCCTGAGCAATACCCCCAATAATCACAGTTCCTCTCATACTTTCCAGGGTTTTTAGTAGTATAAGTGCTCTACTCATGTACCTTTTAAAACTAACACTAACTTATAAAGCCTAAGAATTAATGAATTTTTCCCCTTGCTATTGGAAGTAGGTGTTTTTTAGTTTTTTGGGTTTTTTTTTTTTTGCCTTATTCCCAAAATAAAATGAATGATGGTTTATTTTATAACTTGCTTTTAGCTACTTCCTCCTAAATTCTAAGGTGAGAAGTTGCTAATTTAACATAAAATCCAATCCAAGATGAAAAGTAGAAGGGAAGGGATTGAAAAAATAGGGACAATTAACCAAAGATCTTTTCTTTATATTGTAAGAGACCTTTTCAAATATTCTCTTAAAGTTATCAGGCACTCTCTCATGACCAAAGTGTTACTAAATTATATAACTTTTTCCGGTAACAAGTAGCTCAGGTTGCAAGTTTCTCAATCTCAAAATTTACATAGCTTGGCCAATATTAAGTGGTAGGTCTAGCCATAGCCTTGTTCCTTAAGCACTCTAAAGCATAAATTCATTAAAGTCAAATAAAATTTTTTACTACTAAAAATTAGTATTTGTTATACAGATTTTAATTAGCTCAACAGATATAGGAGATTCTAATAAAGAATCAGAGCTTATGTTTGCATACACTATAAATCAAGGATTCTGAGGATTAAGTTCTTAAAATAATTAAATGGAATTATATTTAGATCAATGATATCTGAAGAATTATATTAATATATTTAAGTATTTTTGTCTTAGTAGTCATAATGATCATTATGTTTCAAGTGTATCTTTCCCTCAGGAATAAGGGCTCCATCTCAATTCAAAATTGCAAGTTAGAATGCATTTTACATTCCAGTTAAATGTAATATTAAACATTTGGAGTCTGCAGTTAAATAAAGACCTTTAGAACATTAGTAATAAAATGCTATACTGACCTCTTTAGAGACTTCCATAGACTAGACCAACATTTTACATTTGCACTTGTTTATAAAAGGAGGAATTTTCTAGAGGTAGGGATTACTATTATTTGCTCTTTTTATGTACTTCTGCAGGCACAAGCATTGTTCCCTTTCAGAAGAAACGACTAACTCATATGTCTGGGTGGATGGCTCTGATTCCAAACGCAAATCACATTAACTGGTATTTTAAAGACATGGATCACATAACCAACATATCATATACATCAACATTCTATGGATTTAAGGTAAGCAAAGAGCTATAAAATCCATCTTCTAATAATTGTAATTGCATATTACTCAAATGCAGCCTACATGCTCATACTTATACCCATTCTTATGCCTAGAAGGCCCTTGCCTCACAAATCGACCTGTTAAAAGTCCTGTACATCGTCCACGACCCATTCTAAATATAAGAAATAAGCCAAAAAAACCTCTTTTGAGAATCAGAAGCAATATTCTCCTGCATTCCCATAGTACTAAGCTTGTGCCCCTATTATTATTACCATGATAATAACTTGCATTTACTGAGTGTTTATGAAGTCTCAGGTGCCAGTTAAGGGCTTTATTATGTGTATCATAAAATATATCAAACACACAGAAAATTATTTTTAAAAACCCACACTAATACCTGTATGCCCACCACCTAGCTATCTGAAAGCTATTATTAATAGCATTCTAGGAATATTTACTTTCTATTTTTTTAAAAGAAATTAATTGTGCTAGATAAAGTGGAAGCCCCCTGTATGATTTACCCAGATCTCACTCCCTCTGTACTGGACACTTCTGATGATGACCAGCATTCTGAATTGGGTATTTTCTCCTCATATATATTCTTCCACTTATACCACATATTTGTGCAGCATCATTTTAAATATTTTCAAACTTCATAGAATAAAATATTCTGTACCATTTTATCTGTCAATTAAAAAAAGAAATAAAATATTCTCTAACTACATGCATATACACACTCATACCCATAAATGTACACCACACATACACATAAAAGTATACACTGAAACACACACAGAAGAGAGAATAGAGAGATCTTTTCATTGTCTTAGTGATAGAGCTAGCATTTTTGCTCTAGACATGTAAAATGTTAATAAATAAACTATAGATCCAAGTTAAAAAACAAACTAAAACCAGAACGTTTAAGTCTTAACGTAATATAGGGGCTAATTATGTGTTATTAAAATTAATGTTGTTATGCAGAGTATTAACATATAAAACAAGCCACATTTTCCTGTAAACTTTTATAGGAAGAAGACTATGTAATTATATCGCATAACTTCACCCAAAATCCTGATATGTTTAATGTTATTGATATGAGAAATGGTTCTTTAAATCCATTGAACTGGAATACTAGCAAGAATGGAGACTGGCACCTTGAAGCAAACACCAGTACTCTATATTACTTGGGTATGTATTTGTTAGGCAAACGTGATCTGTGTGTGTGTGTGTGTGTGTGTGTGTGTGTGTGTGTGTGTGTATACACAGTGTATATATGTGTGTATGTGTGTATATATGTATGCATTTAGAGATCAATGCTTTGTCTAAAGGACAAGAAAAATTGATTAATAGACAAATGTGTTATACAGTGTATCATATATAGCAGGATTCAATAAATGTTTGTTAAGTGAAAAGACTGGAGACTAAATTTAGGCTGGAAAAGGCCTTGAATTGAAATAAGTACTTACATTTTATGTTCAGAGATGACATCAACATGCTTACAAATGAACCCAATAATTTTATTTCACAGAATTAGAGAAAAATAAGTACAATGGAAGCTGGCATATATTCATATATTTTGTTTCCATTTTATTATTTAATTATTTTGGAAAATAAAAATATTTAAAAATAAATTTTAATTAAATTCTAAAGTATTTATTTGTATCAAGATATTCCAACTACATGCTTCTTAATAAGATGTACATTTTATCAGAATTTCTCCATGCCTACTCCATACATTTGAATTATTTCAAGTTACATATCTAAAGGGTACTTTCCAAAGTGCAATGATTTTATTTACATTCAAATACTTTGATCATCATATTAATTTGAACCATTTTTACTTTACTTTCAGTGTCAGGAAGGAATGACCTTCATCAGAGTCAGCCCACTTCTGGAACCCTGGATCCTAATGTGAAAGATGTTACCATTAATTTCCAGGCTTACTGTTGTATTCTCCAGGATTGCTTTCCTGTAGATCCCTCATTAAGAAAACCAATTCCCAGGAAGAGACCAGCCACATATAAGTATATAGGCCTCTTATAGTTAATATCTTTCAATATCTCTTGACATAATCCTTTTCATGTGTTACTGCTGGGTGAGATAATAATGCCTTCCTCCTGCACAGAGCTTGGCAGATTACACAGTACTTCCACTCTCATTGCTTTGCTTGAGTCTTCTTACAACCACCTAAATTAAAAAATGGAAAAAATCTCATAAAAATTATGCATGAAAATTACTGGTAACCTAACACTTGCAGAATATTTGATTTGGATTGTTATTCCTGGCCCAACTCCCTAATTATATAGGTGAGAAAGCTGAGCTTTCTCAGTGACCATAAGTAAATTACCTGAGATTACAGAATTTACTGATGGCCCATCCAGTCAAGCATCAGAAACTAGTTCTCCTTATTAGTACAATAAGGTGTCTCTAGAGTAACCATCATGGTCAAATCTCATAATACAACTTATTAATTCAAATATGTGGTCTCCTAAATATATTATAATTCCCCTGGTTAAAAACAATTCATCTATCTTTATAACTTATATACTGTTTACCTTTATCATGTGAAACATCACTTTCTACCTTGTATCATAGTAATTACCATACATGATGGTATTAGTATAATTTGGTACTAATCTTTAAAACCATTAAAGGCATAATCCTGATTTGATGTATATTTGCATCCCTAATGGACAAATAATGATGATTAAAAACTAACATTTAGTGGGCACTTAATAGCCCACTACTGCGTATCAAGTATACCTCAATGATATATTTTAGCTGAATTACATTTCAAAATATATAAATACTGTAGTAGCTATTATATAAAAAATAATAATTGAATTTGTTTATATATTCATTTAACCATTAAAAAATATTTACTGAGCACTTGCTATGTGCCAGGCACTGGGGATTCAATCGTGAACATCCTAGATGTGATCTCTGACCTCATTATGCTCACATTCTATCCAAAGAGACCACAAGACAAACCAATAAACAAACAGAAAAGTAAGCAGAAAATAAAGTACATAAATGTGAGTTATGGTAAATGTTATAAAGGGAATGGAGATGGGGTGGGACAGAGAACAATATAGCAGAGACTGCCTTGGGGTGGGTGGTTAGGAACACTCACCCAGAGGAGAGATCTTTCCAGCTGCAACCCAAAGGATGAGAAAGAGCTCGCCCCATGAGGGATGGAGGAGGAGTGTTCAAGGCCAAGGGAACAACTTGTCCAGAGGTCCTGACATCCAAGAACTGAAAGAAAATCATCATGGCCAGGCCCAACTGAGCAGGGGAGAGTGGCCTGGAGGTGGTATTGGAAACAGACTATTTAGGTCATGCAGGCAGTAGTGAGAAATATGGAAATTCTTTGAATGATTTTAAGTTGAGAAGTGACATACTCAAAATGACATTTCAACATGACCGTGTTTGCTAATCTGCAGAGCACTATTACAAAGGGACAGTGGAAAAAGCCAGAGAGGGGGCTCATAAAAAGGCCTAGAGAACTTTATAAGACATATGAACCATCAAGGTTACTGACCAAAAAGCCCTAAAAATTCTAAGGTAGATATAATTATTAGATATAATTATTAAATATTTAATTAATATTTACTATAACTACCACAACAGATTTAGATTGTTCTAGACTGAATGTGACAAAGGTATATGATGATATGCTACATATATATACTAAGGCTGTCCAGAAAGTGTCCAGCCATGGATACAATGGCTGTATACTTTTCCAGACAGCCCTCATATTTCACAGTATAGTTTTATAGTTTTTCTTTTTTGGGGGGGGTTGGAGAACAGAGTCCTGTTCTGTTGCCTGGAGTAGAGTGCCGTGGCGTTAGCCTAGCTCATAGCAACCTCTAACTCCTGGGCTCAAGCAATCCTTCTGCCTCAGTCTCCCAAGTAGCTGGGACTACAGGCAGACACCACCATGCCCAGACAATTTTTTCTATATATTTTTAGTCGTATGGCGAATTTCTTTCTATTTTTAGTAGAGACGGGGTCTCACTCTTGCTCAGGCTGGTCTTGGACTCCTGAGCTCAAACAATCTTCCTCCCTCGGCCTCCCAAAGTGCTAGGATTACAGGCCTGAGCCATCATGCCCGGCCCATAGTATAGTTTTTCTTTATCCTGCAGTATGAATTTTCCTCACTGGAAATAGCTATAAATGGATTGATTAATTTATATTATTCAGATAGCTATCAGCAAAAACAAATGGAATCTTGATCCAGAACTGGAACCCCAGGATTACAATATAAAGCTCAAGCTATACAACTCAAATGCTTTGTTTAAGAGGGATTGGGCTTTATCAATAATAACAATGGTAAATAAGAGGAATAATATGCATGCTGATAGTGATAGTGTTGGTGAGGATAAGAATGAAGGACTATTAATCTTGAGAAGAGCTAAATAAAATCAATCTTGAATATGTGCCATGCTGGTCAGATTATTTAGTTAAATAGATACAACCCTTTAAAAAAACCTTCATAAAAATTTTTTGAATCTAAATAACCCTTTAACCACTAACCTTATTTTGAAATCCATTAACACAATTTTTTTTTCTTTAGAGACCCTGTCACCCAGGCTAGAGTGCAGTGGCCTAATCATAGCTCATTGTAACCTTAAACTCCTGGACTCAAGCGATCCTTCCATCTTAGCCTTCTGAGTAGCTGGGACTACAGGAATGTACCACCATGTGCAGCTAAATTTTTTCTTTCACATTTAGAGACAGGGTTTCACTAATGTCTCCCAGGCTGGTCTTGAGTTCCTGGCCTCAAACAATCCTCCCGCCTCAGCCTCCCAGGTAGCTGGGATTATGGGCATGAGCTCCAAGACAAAACTTTTTAGGAGGATTTTTGATTGACAGATTCCTTAGTAATGCAATTTAGTCATATAAATATTTAATAAAACTATTAGTATCACAGAATACTAATACAGATACAGGATTTAGTATCACAGAATTTTTAAATTTTTTACTGGGTCAGGAGAGCAGCCTCTGATTGTGAGCCTTTTCCAATAGGGAAATATCATCAACTTTATAATAATATTCTTTACAACAGTTTACATTAAGAGGTAGTTTCTAGGATACATAGTGATGAAAAGTGGAGACTCTGTCCTCCAATGTTCTTTCCATATTTATTGCAATTTAACATCGCCTTCACTCTGGATACAGACACCACCCTTGCCCCCAGCCTGGGGGTTTAACCTCATTGAATCATTCTTGCCAATTCAGAGACCATTCTTCCTGCCTGCCCCTCTCTTCACAGAATCTAGCCAACTATATCCTCCATTTTTTTTCACTTCTCCACCATGGAAAATCTTATAATGAAATTGAAAAATTTACATTCTAGTCAAAAATAGGGTATATATCACAGCAAGTAGATTTAGTCAGAGAAAAAGTGATTTGAATTGTGATGCAAAGACAATTTTCTTCAAAGGAAAAAAACTATGTAATTTGTATGTGTTGAATATTTTACTAACTGCACATATTAGCTTGTCTATTTAGTGAAATTATAAACTATCTAATTTATATTCTGTCATCCCCAAAACATCTATTATAGTGCTACACCCTAAGGAGATGGTCATTAAATATATAGAGATAATAATTCTTGGCAATATTTCTCTTTTCAGTTTATGGTCAAATGATTCTTTTTGGCAATCATCTCGAGAAAATAATTATACTGTACCTCGCCCAGGAGCAAACGTGGTTATTCCTGAAGGTAAATGCATAAACACAAATGAATAAGGTGCATGTGTTTATATAACATCTATGACAGGGAAGATGTCACAGTAGTTAGGTTTCCACCTTTATGCAGCACACCTCGGTGAAAGAGCAAATGTGAAGAAAGGGACTCTATTATTATGTCCTATATACTGAACCCAGACTTCTTGGGTTTATGTGGATTTAAACCTATTAACAATAGCAGATTTTTCTGGAAGACACAGGAATCAATCATGTGGAAAGATGGGCCATAATCTTCAAAACCAGGATTCATTGATGAGTTTGTTAATGTTTTGTTATAGGCTGTAGTCTGTGGATTATATTTCTTGAAGTCTTGTTTTATAGGAACATGGATTGTAGCTGACACAGATATGCCACCAATGGAAAGGCTCATTATTTGGGGAGTTCTAGAACTGGAAGATAACTATAATGTGGGAGCTCCAGAGTCTTCTTACAGAAAAGTTGTTTTGAATGCTACCTACATATCACTTCAGGTAAGAGTGAGGGTCTTGTAATTTATATCCTTATTAATCAAATTCTAAAATGTAGATTTACTGAAATAATACTAAGCATATTCAACCGGTATGAATAAAAAATCCGCAAGCTCTAGCCCATGAATTACATGCCTCACTTAAGTCCAATGTACTTCTGCTGTCCTTTAAATTGTGGACTAACTATTTCTTAGGAGTAATTATCATTGTACTCTTTAATGTGAGGTCTACCCGGTTTCAATTTTACATAGAATATTTGTGCCACTATTAGTTAAGGCCATGCTAACAGCTTGCTCCCACAAAGAATCCCTAGAAGTTCTAGAAAAAGTTAAAAGAATTTAAGCCCTTTTTTATTTTTTTAAGAAAACAATTTTTCTTAAAACAAATTGATGTAGATGAAATTATGAAAGCAAGAGAAGACTAATAAAAATGTTGCAATTATTTGGAATAATCACCACATTCTCTCATAAAACCTCAAATGGTCTTGAACATGTAACAGCTTAATCAGTTTAATTGTCTTGTCAGTCTTGTAATATTTTTCATGAAAAAGGATGGCCCACCAAAAAGCTATTAAGCTATTAAAAAAATAAAAATTATTTAGTAACTTTTCTTTGAGAAAAGAAATAAAGTCCAGAAACATGGGCTTTAATGTTTTTAAAGTGCATAATATTTTGATTAGATATATGGCTTTCAGGTCAATTAAAACTACAATTGCATCTTTACCTTATTGTGTTTTAGTTGGGTAACCTTGAGTAAGTTATTTGACCTCTTTTAGCAACATTTTTGTCACCTGTGAAATAAGAATAATAATACCAATGCATTAATGGTATTAATGGGTTTAATGTAAAGGTTAAATGACATCATATGTGTGAAGCCTTACCCATGATACCTGACACAGAATCAGCAAACATGTAATGATAGCTATCATTATGAACAACGATAGCTTGTAAATGGCATAGCTTGGATGGAAGTGTGAACAGTGTATTCCGTATATGGCATACTACATTCAAATATAGTATAATCTGCTCAAACACCACTACTTCAGGTTTTATGAGATCTCAGTTTTAGATCCAGTTCTGACAGTAAATAGATATTGAATTTGAGCTTGTCATCATTTAAACTGCCTATCCCAAAGTAAATGGGTTAAAGTCACTTCCAATTACAATACTGTTATCTATACAGCAAAAATTATTCCTTTTTACTAGGGGAGGCTGCTATTGACTTCTTAATTCCTTTTTTATGGGGGATTTTCTTTTCTGCTCAATTTTTAAGTATTAACAATTTTCTGTTTCGCTGTAGGGAGGTAGATTAATCGGTGGCTGGGAAGATGACCCTTTTAAAGGAGAATTAAAAATTGTTCTTAGAGGAAATCATTCTACCCCAGAATGGGCTCTTCCAGAAGGACCAAATCAAGGGGCAAAAGTCTTGGGTATGTGTCTCCAGATACCAAAAGTGTCATATCAGTTTTGAGAATCTACTTTAAAATATACAGCACCAAAATACTTATTAGTTCATGATGTTATGGTATCAGTAGCTTTTATAGACATTTATGTATTGTAAAGGGTTATAAAAGTAGCAGAGATTTTGAAAAATTAAATTATGTCACATTATACCAGATAAAAATAGATATAAATGTGTGTATTTTTAGACCAAAATGTAACTTATTACAAAATTAACATTAACAAACTACACATTATATTATGCCATTTACAATATTCATAAATAATCTGTGGATCAGTTGACTCTGCTTTCCATTATTCAAACACAACTATTGCTGAGATTTAATTTCCCATTTGCATGGGCATATTGTGCATATGGCTATTTGAGCCCAGAATGCTAACAACCTGAAAGAGTTTAATTTAGTCACATGTGATAACTGCTTTTATTAATAGTACAGCATATTTATTTAGGAGAAATATATAAACATGTGCCACAATTGCTCCACTGTATAATTTCTAAAACTAACACCCAGTAAATAAGGGGATAAACAAATGATTCCAGCTTGAATTAGTCAGTTCACCACTGGCAAATATCCTGAGGCAAATTCAATCTTAAAAAAAAATGTTTTATGTGTTTGTTTTTTATTTCAAAAGTAACACTTCAAACCACACAGAACAATGTCAAGAAAATATTTCTTAGAGATATACATCTTTTCAGTTGTATCTTTCTTATGGGAACTAGCATTAGATGATAATTTTTTGTGTCTCCCCATGTTTTCTATCTATGCCTGTATTCGTATTATATATACTGATTTGTGGTGATACTATTGTTCCTTTTGTTAAAACATAGTCAAACTAAATACATTATTGTGCAATTTTCTTTTCTTAGCTAACATATTATGAACATCTTTCCAGATCAAAATTTATAGATAAAACTCTTCTTTTTCATAGTGTTATTACTCCTCTGTATTAATATATTAAAATTTATTCCATCCTTTTCCTATTGATGTACATTTGGATTAATTCCAGTTTTCTAATATTTCCAAATCTTGCCATGGTAAACATTGTCATCCATGTACCCTTGTGTACTGGCTTTAATTTCTATGAACCAGAATCCTGGAAGCAGGTCAAAGGGTCAAAGTCTTCTTTCACAGCTAAGAGCAGATAACTCCAACTCATTCCGTTCATCCTCAAATGTTCAATCACTTATTAAAATACATCAATGAAAAGTTTCATTTTATACTAGCACCTAACTCAGTACCGTGAGGTGAATGAATAGGAGTGTGTTTTTCTCTTTCAGGGGTGTTTGGTGAGCTGGATCTTCATGGAATTCCACATTCAATATATAAAACTAAACTATCAGAAACTGCAGAGGCAGGTTCCAAAGTCTTGTCTCTGATGGATGCTGTGGATTGGCAGGTAGAGAAAATATTATGTGGTGGAAAAGGAATACACACAGTGGGTCAGATGAAAAAGATTTCTTGCCTGTTCTCATAGACATTTATTTCTTTATAGGATTAACCAGATGAGAGATGTGCATTTCACAATCGGCTTGCAAAGGATGACCTGATAGCAGGCATTTAACAATTGTGGTCTCAAAGGCCCTTAAAATATATAAAGAACATTATATATATAAGTCATAAAAGAAAAATATGGAAGTTTCTGGTTAAAAATTTTATTATGATTTCTTTGCAAAACAGAAAAAGGAATTATTTTAAATACATTTCATTGTTATGTTGTTTACCTCTTCACTTTTAATTTGTGATTTTACATGTTAAGGATTTAGAAAGAAAACAAATCCTGATGCCCAGTAATATCCAAATAATGCCTGTGTTAAATGAGAGATTTAGGTAAAATATAAATGGTGGCAGTTCCTATCTCTACTATATCCATAAATTATATGCGGATCATAGAGTCCACATATTTTACAAATACTCTTTTTAATGCCAAAGGATCTGAGAAATGAAGGGATTCTGTTTCCAAGCTCTCAGATCTCAGCCAGTTCCCTTCTGGTGAGAATGAGCTTTAGAATTAGAACAAAGAGAGCCTTAGTCTGAGCAAATCAATGCAAATCACCCAAACATATGGGTTTGCTCTCTTAGTGCAGTTTAAAATTAGTAAATAGAAAAAGGGTTTATGGGGAAGTATTATGATCTACTTATAATATATTCTTATCTGCGGTAGTTTCGGTGTGATTACTTTTTAAAGAGAGTAATTACGTGATTTCAATATCCCTATTATTTATCCAATTAATATTTTCTGCAAATTATTTATCCAAGTAATATTTAAACAAGCGTCACATATTTTCTAAGGCATCAAGGATCTAGCAGTGAAGAAATTTGTCCAAGCTATCATGGAACATGCATTGGAGTGGGAGAAGCAGACATTAAATGAACAAATAAATTTACATTAATTTCAGATTATAATGCACATGATAAAGGAAATAGAACCGGTAGTGTGATAAAGACTGTCATGATAGAAGGTGGCAGATAACATTAAATGGGGTGTCCAGAGAAAGTCTTTCTTAAGGGCATATTTGAGCAGAGACTTAGATGACAAGGAGCTTAATATACAGAGTTGTAGGACTTAGCCTTACCCTTTAGTTTTCCCAGCCTTTTCCACCTTTCAGGGATAGCAAATTATAGTTAATTGTGTAAAAAAAAAAAAAAAGGGAAAAAAGCCTAGGGAAATTTTTTTTCAAGTCTTAAGAATATTGTCCTGACCAGTTTTGAATAAAAATGCAAGTATATTTGCTTTGATGCCTTTGATTTTTAAATATATACATATTACTATGATTTCAATAAATTTCCGAATTAAAGTTAAGGAAATGCTAAAATAATTCAAAATTTAGAATTTTTAATATCAAACACAAGGATACTTATTTTTAGAAACCTAAATGTACCATTTTTTTTCTGGTAATACCATGATTGCTAACCAGATATGAATTAAATTTTAATTATTTAATAATGTTTTAAAAAATCTATTTTTTAAATTGTTCTTAAATGTGGCACTTGAATTTTTCTAAGGAGGGAGAAGAGATTGTGATAACAACCACCAGCTATGATTCCCACCAGACAGAAACAAGAAGTATCGTTAAAATCCTGCATAATCACAAAATTCTCATTCTCAATGATAGCCTTTCCTATACTCACCTTGGTAAGTGGCTGCTGTTTAACCAAATAGAAATGTAACTAAAATGTCTTGTAAGATTTTTTATAAAATAATCTGTTCATAATTCATATTTACTATGCAATTATAACTTTTTGATAAAACATCTCACAAATATTTTAGAGGAGCAATTCATTCAGATTGGCATGGATATCCCAGGGGTGTTACTATTCATGTGTTGGCTACCAGTTTTCCTTTCTGTATGCATTCATTCATTCATTCTTTTGGCAAAGGCCTACTGTATGACAGTTTACAGAGTAAGACTTGACATTCTGTTTTGAGCAAGCTTCTAGGTGATTCTTGTGCACACTGAAGTCTGCGAATCCTTGATCCAAAAGCTTTGTTCAATTTGTTTCATGGACATTCCTCACTGTAAATGCATTTTGACAAGCTACAATGAAACAATAAAAGTATAATTCTCAAGGAGAGAAGAACTAAGCATCATCCAAAGATGATTTTTCCATTTGTAAGAGCAAGACCTTCCCAGCACCCCAGCTTTGCCCCATCCAACAGGCTACCTTCATCTGACTCTCAGAAAGTGGGAGCAGACAGGAATGCAAAGTTAGAAAATCCTTTCTGGTTCTTCTGATGCTCATAGAAACTCCAGCTGTCAGGCAGCAGGACAGACTGGCGGACATTTGCCCTGTATGAAAAAGAAACTTAAAAGAACTTTTTAAAGCAGTATTTTGGTAGAAGCACATGTGTTTATAATTCTATATCACATAGTTTTCTTTAAATCAAAAGGAAAAGTTTTATTGGAAAACCTTTAATTGCAATTAGTTGTAAAACAATTGGTTTTTGAAGTTGGACATTATAGATTCTTTCATTTAAAATGTCAAACATTTCTCTCTATTTGAAATGCACTTGTCTTAAAGGTTTGAGTAAGATTTCTGGAAATGTAGAGTGCAATTTAGGTTATGCTGTACAAATTGTTAAGATGCAAATGTACAGATTGTTTTGATATGCTTTTACCTACTTAGAAAGCATTGTGGTTGATACAAAATATGCCACAGGAAAAGTGGAGCACACCGAGGTTTAAGTGTCTGGAGGAGAAATATCTCTATGTTGCTGATTCTCCTTAGGGCCTTGGGCAAATTCTTTTACTCACCTCTACCTCATTTCTTCATCTATTAAAATTACAATATGCTTCTCAATTTGTCTTACAAGTGTTTACATGTATAATTTGAAGTGTTTGTGGGCTACCGTCAAGATTTTTTAAGTAATAACTTTATAATTGCTAATTATCATAAGCTTTTTGGTGTAAATAGATGAAATATTTTTGGTTGTATTTTGGTTTGTAAATAAAAGAGCATCACAATATCAGTCTGCCATCCATATATATTTAAAAATGTAAATCTAATCAATACATGCATTTTTGCTGATTTTTTGGCATATTAAAAAGTTGTTTAGCCTATGAACTGCAAAGAAAGTGTGATAATACAGACAGGTATTTCTCAGAGTTGGCAATAACCTAGCAGTCCTTCCATTGCAGCTGAAAGGTACCACGTCCCTGAAACAGGTCAGAGCTACACATTAGCAGCTGATGTTGGGATACTGACTAGAAACATCAAAATAGTTGGTGAGGATTACCCAGGTTGGGCTGAGGATTCCTTTGGTGCACGAGTCCTGGTTGGCTCTTTCAGTGAAAATATGATAACATTTAAAGGTGGGTATAAATTTGATTTATTTTTCTAAATGAAGTATAACAAGGTCTCTTCCATTTTATAATTGTTTCTTATGTAATTCTCACCTCTTAACAGGATCATATGGAAAAATAAAGCTATAAGAGTGATTATGTAGCCCAAGCAATTCTCTTCCAAAGTAAATTCCCTAAAATTATTGCTATTTATTTTATCTTCATAAACAATAAGAATTATCAAATTAACATGACCTTAGGTAACAGCTAAACCAGGTTTTCACTCAAACAGAAATCATTTTATAACAAGTACAACAGATCATCTGTTGTTCTGCTTTTATTTTAAGGAACATTTCAAATATACACCAAAAATAGAGAAAACAATATAACAACAAATCTCAACATACTTATCACCGGCTTCAACAATAACCAACTTTGGCCAAACTTGTTTCACCTATACCTCCACCCACTCTCTTCAAGTCCAGGATTGTATTGAAGCAACCACATATTACGTCATCTAGAAATATTTTAATATGTAACTCTAAAACTTTTCAGAAAACATCTACAGGTATCAATCCTAAAAAATTCCTTACCATCAAATGATAGTTCAAATTTCTCCAGTTTGTTCATTTCCTTCCTTTCCTCTGCACTCTCTTTGTTCAAATCAGGACATAAATAAGAGCCACATTGCAACGGGTTATGAATCTTAAATCACTTTGAGGCATTTCTCTCTCCTTGCAATTTATTTTTAAAAGAAGCTGGTCATATATCCCATAGAGTTTCTAACTGTCTGGAATTTAGTGATTGCATCCTTGGAATTTAACTTATTCCTGTGTCTCTGTACTTCCTATGAATAGGTAGTTTGTAGCTAGAACCTCGATCAGACTAAGGCTCAATTTTTAGGTAAGAATTCTCCAGTTACTGGTGTATTGTTTCATCAGTAGGTACATAGTATATGATTGTTTCTCTTTTTATTATGTGAGCGGCTATTAATGATCATGATCATTGCCCAGTCCTATTAAATCACTGAGGTTTAAAATGGTGGTATTTTAATTCTACCATTCCCTATTCATCTGTGAACTTAGACTACATCAACAAAGAAAAGCTCCTCTAAACAACCATTTGACTACCCTGAAGGAAAGTTAATGTGGGAAATGCAAGAAAAAAAATACTTGACTCTTTCCCCATATTGACTAGTTTTCAAAATAATGAGTTGGTTCCCAAGCATCCTCCAAAGGTGCCATAGAGTTTTTACTTGTTTTGTTTTATTATTAGTATCATTATGAGCTCATGGATGTAAATATATTTGATATGTTCAAATCCATTGTGATTGTTAATCTAAGTGATACTCAAAATGCTCCGTTTGGCCTGCAGAACCTTTTCGTGTTGATTCCTGCCCTTTTAATTTGACTTGGTTTTTTAAGCCTCTTCACTTCCTGATATGTCAAGCACATATTATAATTTTTTTCTAAGACTGGGAATCAGTCATTCCTCCAAGTAATCCTGTCTTTTTATTGGAAGAAGATATTTTTATCCCGTAAGCTGGGTACCAGGATTTAGATCATCCATTCTTGCTTTGAACTGTTTCTGTAGGCCCTTACTTATTCACAGTATTGCCTGTTCGACTTTGCAACAGTTCTAATTTTAGAACATCTTTGTATTAAGCGAACAGCTATCTAAAGCTGTCTAAAAAGATCCTTTGGTGGGAACAATAAAAAAAGGAGTTGAGAAATACTGCTTTTCTGGATTAAAGAAGCAAAGAAAAACTAATGAAGTTTTCATGAAAAATTTGAACTTTATGTAACTTTTCAAAAATGATTCCAACCATTATAAGAAAAGAAAAATTTAATCTTCTCTTCTCCTAGGAAGTGCAAGAATAAGTAATGTGGAGTTTTATCACAGTGGTCAAGAAGGCTTCAGGGATAGCATAGATCCAAGATATGCTGTAACATTTCTTAACTTAGGGCAGGTTTGTACTTTATTTTTTAATTTTTGTGTTTATTAAAAATATGCAAAATGTTTTTATTTTTATTTTCATTTGACTTAGATAAATAACTACATCTTAAATAGCTAAAACTATAATCTAATATAATAAAACTTTCTTGGGTATATTTCTCATTAACTTTTTTAGCAGCATTAGCTTTTACCTACATTGTGCATTTATTTAAGGTCAGTAAAAACCACAGGAAAAGTAGCATAAAAGGTGAAAGAATTGAAGCTGTAATAGTCGTTCACATTGCTACTGTATTTTACCATGACCAAAAATATATTTTCAAACAGTTTCTATTAAACAAAGTGAATATTATTTAAATTTCCCACATGAAAAGCATGATTGTATCTCTATGCCTCTGTTAAAAGTAGGAAAATAAATATTTGGAGAGGTCTAGTCATTTAAGAAAAATGAGAGAAAACATATTTCTTAGTATAAATGAAAAATAATCTTGTCGGTTTAAAGTTGAAACCCCTAACCTGGTTACTGATTGGTTCTTGTAGACATTTGAATTGTAACCCTTTGCCTACAGTATTATTTTTTGTAATTAAAAAAAATCCCACCTTGTCATATAGTAAACTATTTTGGAAAATAATATTTAGCACCTTAGCATTTTATAGGTGATAATAGAAATATAAATGCATAGAAAAGCACTTGAGAATTTTGTATCAGCATTTAAAGTAAGCATATGTGTTTTATTTAATAATAAATTCAGGATATATGGAAATTTCCCAGGATTAAAAGACCTTTTGGAAAATTAACTTTGCTTAAGGGAAAGTAAATTGAGTATTTTTTTTTTTTTTACCAAAGAGACTCATTTAAAATAAATTGAATATCGATCAAGGTTTATTTACTGAAAATCACCTCCTTCAAATTTTTTTCTTTAAATATATTTTAGTTTTGTTCTATTTTATAAATGTTCACTGAATCCCAATGTTTTATAGATTCAAGAACATGGAGCATCTTATATTCGAGGCTGTGCCTTTCACTATAGCTTCTCCCCAGCAATTGGTGTGTTTGGGACAGATGGATTGGACATAGATGATAACATCGTTTACTTTACAGTAGGGGAAGGTAATATAATAATATTTTGGTCCAAATAACATGTCCTTCTCAGGCAATCTTATCTGTAAACTCTAGAACCATGCTGTCCAATTGATGGAAATGGTTTATATCTGTGCTATCTAATTACTAAGCCACATGTGGCTATTGAGCCCTTAAATTATGGCTAGTGTGACTGAGGAACTGAATTTTTAATTGTAATCGTACTTAATTTACATCTAAATAGCCACAGGTGGTTATGGCTGTCATATTGGACACTATAGCCCTAGAACACGGAAAAATTATTACCAGACCATGTTCTTAAGTGAGTTATCTAATCTCTACTTAAACTATTATGACCTTAAAAATACTCCTCACATATCAATCACAAAGATTAGCTTAAACTTTATTTTATTAAAAATTACATACAATTTTAGGTGTGTTTCATGTCTTTTATATCAGTGTAAAGTGTAAAACAAACATATTTAATGTGTATAAAAGCTATAGATAGGTGTGTTTGTTGAAATCTGAGGGAGACCCTATGAACTCACATATTTAATGAACACCCCAGAAGATCCTAATTCAGGTTGTCTATTAAAGAGGCAGAGTTCACTGTCAAAGAGCTCAGAGGACTCACTTAAATTCTAAGAGGATCATTTGTTAAGCTCAACTAGAAAAATGATTTTATGGAAAAAATGAAAGCCATCACCCATAATATTCATTACAAATTGACATGTATTTGGGGGGATTTTCTTTCTTTATTTTTATTTTTACAGGCATGAGAATATGGGGGGATGCCAACCGGGTCCGAGGAAATTTGGTTGCACTTTCAGTTTGGCCAGGAACCTACCAGAACAGAAAAGATTTAAGTTCAACTCTCTGGCATGCAGCAATTGAGGTTGTGAGGACACATTTATAATTATACAAAATTATAATTTACAGTTATACTTTCTGTAGAAATTGCAAATGTCAAAATATTATTGAAAGCTATATCTTTCTTGGATAGATATTGCTGAATTTTTTTTTTTAAAAAAAGAGCTAAATAAAGGAGTGAATGAACTTTTGAAAAGATGTGAGCTCCAGCAGTAATTGTGTTTTTTTTTTTCTTTTCTTCTTTCTGTTGCTGTGTAATAGTTCTCTTATTACCTTTTTTCTCTAACATTTTTTATCACTTTCAAGTTCTGGTTCAGGGTCTCTGCTCCTAATCGACTGAGTGCTTTGCACATGTTACTACCTAACTCTGGATTCAGTCTCCACCCTCATATGGAAAATTAGAATGATAGATGAAGCTCTAAATCCCTTTCCCATCTAAAATTATTACTATTCAATGTACAAGCTTATTTACACTTGTCCCATATTGCTAATTGGAACCTTTTTGTTTCCCATGAGATTTATTCAATTACTATGGCTGTTTGTTTAGATGTAAAGTACAATTACAAGCAAGAAAATAGAAAGTACAGAGAAAAGACTTGGAGAAGAAAATAGTCAGCTTCCTTTTGTTTTTATTTACCTATACCATAGGATCAAAAAGGAATTAAATGAGGTTCTCTTTGAAAGATGGGATAAGGATTGAGTTTTTGTGTAACCATTAATTATTATCCTAAGATAAAATCTAAAAGCCAAAATTTAGTTTACAATGATGAGGTAAAAATGTTCTCTTGTCATATATTTATAGATATTAGAGTGTAATCAAATGTAAATTCCAAATCTTTAAAGTTATGTATAGCTTTTGAAAGAAAAAGGTACTTAATTTATGTATATGGATTCCATTTGATGGTATTTTTATCAAAATCTTTTAAAATAAAGGTGTTTAATATGATGGAGACTTTTGATCATTTTACTGACACCACAGGCAAGAATTAAACCTGTGCTCTATGCTTCCATTTGTACCACTTTGACTTGAATCATAAAATAAAATTATTTAGTAATTACTTAACATGCTGATCTTGTTTGTGATTATAGGAGATTTTATTTAAACAAGTGAATGTTTCTATTGAATCTTATGGTCTACTCTAATTGCCTTAGTTGTGTTTTCCATAATAAATCAATCAAATTTGTAACAAAAAATAACTAAGAAGAGCGATAAAATCCTTGCAACCTTGCTATAATACTGGAATTTGGTCTATGGCTTGTAAATTTTGAACTACATCCAGTGGATTTTGTGGCAAATAAAAAGCAATCTCCTTAATGCAGTTTTCTAATGAAGTCTAGGGTATAGTATCTAGTGACAGTTTTACACCAAGAGCATGATGTAATTTCAATAGTTCATTCAAAATATAAGTTTGAATGGGATTAAAAATTAAATTAAATTACATTTCCTCCTGAGAATATGGTAATAAATAAAGGTTTTCACAAGTATGTTGTTGTAAACTTGCTTTCAATGTGTAATTTTGTAATAGCCTAACCCAAACTATTTTCTTTAACACTGTACTAGGTCAATAGAGGAACCAATACAGTCTTACAGAAAAACATAGTTGCTGGATTTGGAAGAGCAGGATACCGCATTGATGGTGAACCTTGCTCAAGTAAGTCTTTTAGCATAGAATTAGTAAAATTAGCAAATACCTTGTTCAAATTTGTTAGAAATAAATAATTGTCAATTCAATATGTGATACCTCTTTCTTCTGGACACTGAAAGAACTTACTCAACAAGGTACATCATTTCAAGAAAACACTGGGTCTAAAAAACAGATAGAATTTTAAGGAAAATTTTGTTTTTCCAGATTATTATCCCAAAACTCCAGCAGCAACTTCAGTTCTTGATTTGGTTGGTATTGGAACTGTGGGTACCTCACTCCACTACCACTTTTACAAAAATAATGCTTCTTATCATAAAGATACATGCTGGTAGGGATATGCCACTATTTTGTACTTCTGCTGTAATAGAATAAATGCTCACTATTCATATGTTAAAATCTACATGCATAAAAAAAGTCAAAGTACAGTTCTGAGATACATTTCCCTCTATTAAACTAGTAAAAATTAAGAACTAACTGATCATCTACTCTTTGGGCAAGGCTGTAGGGAAACAGGAACATCTACACACTGCTGACTGAAAGACAAAACAATGAAACCTCTGCATAGGAGAACCTGACAATGTCCTCCAAAATCACAAGTGCATCTATCTTTGACTCAGCACTTCCACTTCTAGTAATGTAGCTAACAGTTGCTTTTACACACTTATTATTTGTGAACAAAGTTATTTATCACAGAATTGTCTGTACTAGCAGAAAACTGAAAGCCTCTCTATGTCCCATGTTAGACTGGTTGTATAAAGCCAGATGTTGGAACACCAGGCTCCTCTAGAAAAGAAGGCAGAAGACCTCTATGTATGGATCTGGAGAAATCTCCAGGATAGTCTTAAGTGATAGGGGAGGGTGAAAAATAGTATATATAATGCTATTTTGTGTATAATATGTTTTGTGGAAGAAAAGGGAAGAAAATAAAAAATCATAGAAGGTGAGTGGAAATAAGAGACTTGATACTTATAATTATATGATTTTTTATAACCTCTTGATTTTTCAACCATGTAAATGAATTATTACCAGATCAAAAAAGTAAAATAAATAATAAAACTGCAGATTTTACCCCTGAAAGCTTAAATAAAGTTAAAGGAAATGGGACTTTCTCTGAAAAATGTATGCTCCTTCTAGAGTTGATTGTTGTAATCTCAATGTAGTTATTTTTTAACAGCTTTGTTCAGTATAATTTATATACCATAAAATTCTTCTGCTTTTTGTAGTGTACTAGTCAGGAAGTTTGGTTATTTTTAAGATTCATTGAATCAATATTTTTTCTTTCAATTCAAAAATTATTGGATTTAAGCTAATTTTATTCTTGTGCAAAATACATGTTGAAGGAATAAAAACAACTTTGTCAACAGATTTAACTGATTCTTTAATATATGCTCTTATTAAATATTTTAGTTCCCAACAGCTTAAAGTAGCTTTTCTTTGACTAAAATTTCAAAATATGTAGTTTCTTTACAATTGCTATAAAGTTGTTCTTATAGGCTTTAAAAATCAAAATATGATCTTTGAATATGTCTATTTACTAGTATGTATATATTAATGCTATGTGGTACATTTTTACCTATGTTGATATTTCTAAATAATTGAGTGTTTATAAGGAGGTTTTGGATTTATAGCAATGGAAGCATGAAACATCACAGAAGAATGGAGGACTTAAGTTCCTGTAATCGTGCATCAATTTATCCAATCTATCTCCCACATGAGACTCTGGGATCCTGGAAAAAGGACTGTGCTGTATTCTGGGTCCAGAAGTGAAGCCATATTTGTCCATGGGGTTTCTCCAGGGAGAGAAATGTAAACATCTTCTTATGGAGGAACAAAATCAAAACTAGACATACTATGTAAAATGTAAAACCCAAAGAACTAGCAAGAAGGGAAAATCAAAACAATATAGAAGAAATCAGATACGATTTCTTAGACAAGAGTGCTGCTGATACAAAGTGCAATTTAGGAGGTGGGGCTGCTCTTTATAGGCAATCCTCCAACTTATGCTTTTGGAAAAGGAGGGATATTAAGTTTATTTAACTGATTTGGACATAAGTAAAACTTCCATTGAAATCTACTTTAATTATGCTATGTATTAATGAGTGTAGTTTCCATTTATTGAGGGCATTTGCAAGGCACTTTACATGGGCTATTTCATTGCATTCTGAAACAATCCTGAATTAGGCATTAAAACTTTTTATGTATAAAGAAATTGAGGTTCTGAAAGGTTAAATAACTTTCCCAAGATCATGCATACATCAATTCAAACAATACTTAAAGAAAACCTTTCAGGCTCCAGGACTGTGATGGTGAATGAGCTAGACACAGTGTCTTCTCTCATGAAGCACATATCCTAGTAGGGGAGGAGAGGTGGATACTTCACAAATAATAATAATAAATCAGGTGAAAGAAATTGTAACTGCAATATAAAGTGACCGAGGCACTATTTTGAATCATAAAGTCAGGGAAGGCCTTTTAAGGAAGTGATGCTTAACTTGAAAATGGGGTGACCAGAAGGAGCCAGCAACAGAGAAGTACCAGGGAAGCATTTCACAGACAGCAAGTTGTATCGTTGCGTTTCAGGTTTAAGCTTCTTTGGATCTATACCCCATGATGGTTCTAATAAAATTCATGTTTACTTTAATCAGATAAAATAATGTAACAGACATCTACACTAGAATATTTATAGCAGCACAATTCACAATTGCAAAGATGTGGAAACAACCAAAGTGACCATAAATACATGAGTGGATTAATAAAATATATGTATACTGTGGAGTTCTACTCAGCCACAAAAAACAATGGTGATGTAGCCCCTCTTGTATTATCCTGGATAGAGCTGGAGCCCATTATACTAAGTGAAGTATTACATAAATGGAAAAACAAGCACCACATGTACTCACCATCAAATGGTATTAACTAACTTAACTGACCAACACTTAAGTGCACATATAGTAGTAACTTTCATTATCTGTTGGGGAGGTGGAAGGGGGGAAGAGGAGATGGATATATACACACACCTAATGTGTGCAGTGCCCACTGTTTGGGGGATGGACACATTTGAAGCTCTGACTCAGGTGGGGCAAAGACAATATATGTAACCTAACATTTGTACCTCCATAATATGCTGAAAGAAAAAAAAAACAAAATAAAAATAAATAAATAAATAAAATAATGTAACACTTTGGCAAATAAGTATTTAATTATTTTAAATAAGAGTGAAGAGACAAACTAGACAAGAATAAATACTAAATAAAGTAAATCATAAATGGCAAAGCCATAAAAAATATTTGATCATCTCATTAAAACTTATATTGGAATTTTATATATATAATTTTTCAAAGAATTTTGTTTACTTTAACTGATACAACTTATTAAAACTCTTATGATATGAATCGTAATATGAATTCTTTGGTTCTATATTTCCTTACAAGGCCAGTCTAATCCCACGGAAAAGTGGTTTGACAATGAAGCCCATGGAGGTTTGTACGGTATCTATATGAACCAAGATGGCCTTCCTGGGTGTTCTCTTATACAGGGATTTACCATTTGGACATGCTGGGATTATGGAATTTATTTTCAGGTAAATGTGACTGAAGATGGCATTTGCTTGTTTTCTTTTATGATTGCCCTTAGTACTGTGTAACCTACAAATTGTATTGCAGACCACGGAGAGTGTGCACATTTATAATGTGACCCTGGTTGACAATGGAATGGCCATTTTTCCTATGATTTACACGCCAGCTGCTATCTCACACAAAATTGCCAGTAAAAAAGTACAAATTAAGGTAATAAATGAATATAGCCACACTATGAAGAAAGAACAACTCAGAGAAGGGTAAAATTATTGAAGGATTAATAAGAGTAATGCTATCTAGTCCAAACCTCCCTGCCTTTGCTTCACTGCTCTCTACCTGAAAATTCTTCATCTGTATTTCTCCTCCCCCTTCCCTCACCTCTTCTGACTGATTATCACCTGATAATCTTGCAACAGTTAGTTAGATATTCACTCCCCTCTATGAAGCTCTTCCTGAACTAGCATAGGTGGTAATGACACTCTCTGCTTTTTGTCCTACCATTTCCATCACAGAAACATAACATGTCATTACATGTCATTATTTATGTGTCCGTCTTCCCCTCCTCACTTTGTGTGCCATTCTAGCTGGGGCAGCAGTCACTCCTGTTTCATATTTGTTTAACAAATGATCTACTTCTCTAGTTTATAGTTTGTGTTTTACTACAGTAGAATTCAGTATTCTCTGTTATTATGTTGTCTTTTAGGAAGAGCTGTTATTAATGCTATGTTACTTGGCTTATTTTTAGAGCTCATTAATTGTTGGAAGTAGCCCTGAATTTAATTGCTCTGATGTCCTGACTGATAATGATCCCAATATTGAACTCACTGTTGCCCATCGGAGTCCTAGACCTCCAACAGGTGAAAAATTTAGAACTTTCATGTTGGTGTTCATATGAATAGATACTCAATTTCCATTAACTTTTTTTTTTTTTGTAAAAGGTGGTAGAAGTGGGATTTGCTGGCCCACCTTTGCTTCAGCTCATAACATGGCACCCCGAAAGCCTCATGCAGGGATCATGAGTTATAACGCCATTTGTGGCCTTTTGGATGTCTCAGGCAAGTTTAAACATAGTATTTGATAAGTCTTCTCAATTAAGTTCTATACAGAATATATACAGTGTAACTAATAATATTTTGTTGTTACTAAAAAATTATTTAAATGAATCTGTATATGTATCTGCTGAACATGACAAAGAAATCAGACATCAGAGTCAATCTCCAAAATGACTCCCTTGGTGGGATTTTTATACTTATATTGAATAAATGATATTTCATTTTCCTTCTAAACAACAAGAGTGGTATAGTAATTTAAATTAATTAATTTATATAATTTGTTAAAGCCATTTCATATATGTAGTATTATATATTACTATCCCCTTTTACAACCGAAGAACTTCAAACTCATGGTGCTTAAGCATCTGGTCAAATTTTCACAGTTATTGGCAGAGCTATGATTAGAATCAAAATCTCCTGATTCAAGCTCCAATGCTCTTTCACTGAACCATGGCTGCTTCCTTAGAAATGTAACATAATTATATGTAAATTAATGTAGTGAACACATCAATTATTTTCATTTTTCCTATTAAATATACTGTGCCATTCTCTATTTTAGCTTAGCCAGTCTCTCTTCCGTGATGATTTTAACCACTGTTTCTTGGAAGAAAGTCGTTCAATAAATTAAACATCTACATTTTAAAATATTCCTCATAACTTTAGCTGCCAGAAATATAAAACAAATAACCATGATTTTTCAGTGTTATTTGTAATTATGATACCCTTGGATAAAATTATGTAACATGCTGTATAAGTTTTAGGTGAACATATGTTGCTTTCAATAAAAAATATGCTCCAGAATATTATAAATATCATGTAGCAATGAAAATATCCTCATAAAAAGGAGCCTTAGATGTGGAATTTCTTAGAAAAACACAAATAACTGTTCTTCTTTCATAAGACGTAGTCTTTAAAGATAACATATAAAAGATGATTAGCTTAGATTGGGTTCCCTAGATGCCGAACCTTAGATGAGAATTTTTGTGTAAGTGGTTTCTTGAAGGAATGGTCTCAGGAGAAAGGGATAGAAGCAGGATAGGGCAAGGGAAATTGCTAAGTAAAGATGTGGTATAAGCTGGAAAAATAGCTTTACTTGATGCCACTGGGTAACTCTGGAATGTAAATTGCCACTAAATTGATCTCACATTTGGCCAGGGGTCGGGGGCGTGGGTGGAGATTTGTATCCCCATGTTAGTCAGTTTGGGGATATAGCTGCCCCTTTAAGGAGGTCCTTAATTTCCTGGGTGATGTGGGTCCTGTTTGGCTAAGCAAATTCTCTGAAAAAAAGGGCAGCCAGAGCTGTTAGCAACCAGTACTCCCAGAGATGGAAGATGGGTGCACCAGCCTGTATACAGTTCAGTCTACTCTTGGGATCACTTGGGTCCACTTGCTTTTTCATGAAGTTAATTATATTAAGATTATTTCATCTGGCCATGATTTCTCCAGGATTCTACATGGTCACAGTTTCTGGGAAAAGTAGTATTAAGAAGGTTCATGATCATACTGCCACAGCTTGTCCCTAGACCATAAATGATACCCATCATTTCACTGGATCTTGGAAAGAAGTGCATGCTGTTAGGTCCATGCATAGCCTCTATTTCTATCACCAAGGCTGCTCAGTTTATAAGCCTATTGTGCAAGCACTGGGTGGCTGAGGACAGAGATTAGCTGACACCTGTTACACAAAGCATCTTGTCCATTTGGTTTTTCAGGGATTCTTCTGTATTGAATTCTCTTTGATAGGCAATAATAACATGCCTTTTATACCCACTTCCACAGATCCATCCACATGCTTTCTACTGAACATCCAATCTAGTTCCTTCCAACCTCCTAACCAACCAGCTATGCCACTGCTACTGCCCATGAGTCCATGTTTATTCTTACCTCAGACCATCTCTCTCTGCACACAAAGTAGATGACCCTTATACTACCAAAATTTCTGTTCATTGGAAGGATCTTTCCACACCGCACTCATTCAAGGCCACCTCAGAATGAGGCTGAAATGCATTAACATTATATAATAGACCCATTCCAATATCCCCATTTTCTGGGCCTTTTGACAGCCCCCCCCCTTTTTTTTTAGAATATGGCATAGAAAATTGAGCAATTCTACTTCGCTTAATGTGGGCTATTACTATTTCAAGCTTCCAAGAGCCATCACAGCAACATATTAGAACTAGCCATACTGGTGTATAATTCCCTGTGGACAGGTTCTGTGGAGGGTGAGATTTGTCTTATAAGGCATCTGCCTCTTTTTAGATCTCTGCATGATTTCAAGTAAGTGAAACAGGAAGTTATTATCTCATAAGTCAGACCATTAATACACATCCAGAGCATTTTAACACATTCTGAGATGGCAAGGTTCAAGTGCATCTTTCCATATATTCCCATCTAATTTAGCATCTCACTCTTTTTCTATTAGGGCCCTGACTTTGATGTAGGAGACTTTCTAGGGCTGAGAACTCAGCCATCTTTTAAGTTAGTGAAGTTCTGCTAACCTTACAATTAGATCCCGAGCTTTGCTTTAAATTTATGATTACCACAGCTTTCATTTTCTTTCTCCAAAGTATCAATGAAGTAGAACCAGAAATGGAATTCTTATGTAAGTGGTTTATTGAAGATGTGCTCTCAGGAAAAAGGGATTGAGGGAAGTAGAACAGGACAGGGGAAGGAGCTAAACAAGATGTCCTCAACTGGAGTCTAGCTTCTGACTGATTCTTCAAGAGCTGTGGAGCATAAATTATACCACTTATTTTCCCCACATTGAGGCAAAGGGGTCTTCCATACCTCCTGTCAGTCAGGCATGCCTACTCATAATGGTGGTTGGGAGTACATAATCTCTCAGGCAAGGGGGCTCTCAAGTAGCTGAGGGCAGTTCTTTAGAGAAGACATCAGCTTTGACTGGCTTTCAGCCAACACTTACAGAAGGAGCTAGGGATTGGGTACGCTGGCCCAGTAAAGGGAATCTGGGCAGGATATAAACAGCATCTGCTAGTAGGGTATTTTATTAATATTTATTTGCAGGTTCATATTTATATATCTAATCTCTTCTTTGGAGAAAATATAATTAAGAAGGGTCATCGGTAATAGATAACTCATTTAAGAATTATGGAGATCATCTTTTGCTTTTCTCTATTTTGAGTTATTGGATTTTAAGTACAATGGAGATTAAGATTTTGGATCCAATAAATTTTATCTTCTGGCCACACAGTATATGTAAGGAAGCCAAGCGAAAAATAGTATTTCAGTTAGCTTTTGCTGCATAATACATCACCCCCTGAATTTAGAAACCTTAAACACTTATGTATTGGCTCATGAGTCTGAAGATTGGCAATTTGGGCTTTGTTCAGCTGAGTGGTTTTTCTGATCTTACCTGGGCTTATTTATTAGGTGTCATCAGTTTATAGGATGGCTATGGGGTGGTTGGTCTAGGATAACCTTATTTCCATGTCTGATGGTTGGTGCTGGCTGATAGTTGGTGCTGGTCATTGGCTGGAGTTATGGGAATGATTGAGCAACATGTATTACAGGCTTACTCACATGTTAGAAGTCATAGAATTCCCAGCAGCACCAAGAGAGAACAAGCTGTAATATGCAAGCACTCTCCAGATCTCCGTTTATGCCATGATTACTTTTGTCCCATTGACCAAAGCAAGTCACATGGCCAACCCCAGAGAAAATGTGGGCGAGGATTCCCCAGTGGTGTGGATATAGGGAGGCAATAGTCTACCACAAACAGTGGGTAGTGGCAAAGGATGTGTTTGGTGGAATGTACATAAAATAAATCTGATTTTACCACTTTCTTCAGAGAAAATAATTACTTTTCTAATATTTACGTTTTAGGTTCAACATTTGTTGGATTTAAGAATGTTTGTTCAGGGGAAACTAATGTGATATTCATTACTAACCCTTTAAATGAGGATTTACAGCACCCAATCCATGTGAAGAATATACAACTCATTGATACTACTGAACAATCAAAAATATTTATACATAGGCCTGATATAAGGTAAAATGTATAAAAACTCAGTTTTTTTCTTTTCTGCCTTTATAGTTTTCCATTCTTCTTTCTCCCTGCTAAGGGTCTGAGGAAGTTACTATATTAAAGTAACTACTAAATTTCTGTAAAACTTTAATCAACCTTATGAAAATTAAGGCCATTTCATAATGTAAATCTGAGTATTCTCAGATGAATTTTAAAAATGGCTTTAATATGTATATTTTCTCCCACTGCTTTATATGTGTGTGTGTGTGTGTGTGTGTGTGCGCATCAATAATATCATTGTTAAATATAAAAGGTACAAATGGGGTCTGAAGTGTGTTCTACAAGTGCCTGTCAATTCATGAGTGGATTATTAAAATTTGGCATATGTTTACAATGGAATATTACTTAATTCTAAGAAACAACAGTGAGCTATCACCACTTATACTATCCTGGATTAAGCTTAAGCCCATTATCCAAAGTGAGGTGTCACAAAATCAGAAAAATGGGCTTCACATGGACTTGCCATCAAATTGGTACTGATTAACACTGTGGTGCTCACAGGGTGGTGGTGTTCACCAGGGATTAGGAGGTTGGGGGGTGGACCCACAGCTGAGGGATGTGGTGAGCATTGTGGAGGGGAAGGGCATACCTCTAACCCTTGCTAGGGAGAGGCAAAGATATAAAATGTAACCAAAATGTTTAAAAAAATAATTTATCAGGTGTTGGGCAGGTGGGAGGGGGGAGGAAGGGATCGGTATTTACATACATAATGAGCGCGATGCGCGCCACCTGGGGGATGGACAGGCTTGAAGCTCTGACTTGAGAGGGGAGGGGAGACAAGGGCAACGTATGTAACCTTAACGTTTGTACCCCCATAATATGCTGAAATATATATATATATGTATATATATGAATAAGAGTCACATGTGGTGACACACGCCTGTAGTCCTAGCTACTTGGGAGGCTGAGATGGGATGATTGCTGCTTAAGCCCAGAATATCAAGACCAGCCTGAGCAATATAATGAGATTCTATCTTTAAAAACGAAAAAGCTTTTCAAGGTTTAAAAAAAAATCTCTCTATTAATTGTCATAAGGGACAAGAGACACCTCTATCATTTCTTTCTATTTTATTTAACCTATTGCTTTCCAAATACTCTACTGCAGGCACTCCAAAATGTGCTTGGAAATTAAATGTCAGACGTTATAGTCGCCACGACTATAAATATATAGAAACTTAGAAAAGTGATTTTTCTGATCACAAAGGTCAGTTGGTATCAGGATATTTCCAGAAGCTAGTCACTTAGATTCTAAGTCATAGAAGAATATAGCCAATAACTGCTACTTTTTATAAGAGGTACAGACCAGGAATTTAGATATAAGGCAATACTGGAGGGAAGAAAATTTCTATTTCTATTGTTTTCAGTTTAGGGGAGAAGAGAAAGAATAATGTTCTGCAATTAAACAGGCAACCCCTCAGAGAAATGAAATATTTCATAGATAGTTTGACTTCAACTGATTTTGTTTTGATGACAGCCCAACGGTTACTCATTTAATCATTGTTGAACATCAGCAATAAACATCAATGTTTTAGCTCCTATTTAGTTGCCATTGAATCTTTCAGATTTTATATATAACTTTAATATGTAAGTAATGAAGAAAATGTTGCATTTTCAAATATAATTTATCTGAATTCTGTACTTGTAGTGGGTGCTGTTGGTGCCCTCCCAGATCTTCTGTACTTGGCAGTGCACCCAGCCCCCATATGCTCTTCATGCTGGCTGATAACAGAACTTTTCCAGAACTTTGCTCTTAGCCAAATAGAAATAGCCTCTAGAGTCCAAAGCCCACCCTACCACCACCACCCTCCCTATCCCTGGAAAATGACTGACTGATTCAGAAGTACAAGGCCTACCACCTTGTCTTAAGGTGGCAATAGCTCTGTAATGCAATTCATGTTCCAGAGGTTTCCATGGGATCAGATTAAAGATAGTCTTCGGGCCACAGCCATCTTTAATTTCTTCCCTTCTCTCTATGCAGCTTGTCTTCCTCTAATTTGAGAAGAATCCTTCGATAACTCAATTGAACAAAAATAAACATCTCAGATTCTGTTTCTTAGGAATCTGAACCAAAATAGAGCCCAAAGCTACAATATAAAAGTGTGCTATGGGGCACTCTACTCACAGACCTGCTTACAAAAGTACATTGTACAAACTTAAGTGCAAAGAATCCATGAACTACAAGACATATTTATTAAAATCCTTCTCTAAGACTAATATGTTTAAATAATTTATAGTGTCATGTCTCTAAAAATAGGCAAAAAAGGAGATATATGCTAGATATTGTTTAATAGATCTGAGCTTTCTACTATTATTTTATACTATAACCCTGGAATAAATTTTGTTTTCCCATAGCATATATCATGGTATTGTATAAGTATATTGCATGTATACTATATGAATGCATATTGTACATTAAGCAGCTATTTCATTATTAAAACCAAGTAACAATCAATCAGCAATCTAAGTAACTCAAGATGAAGCCAAAATACCATCTATGTTTGAACTGCATGACAAGTTTATAATATCTCATCTCTTATAGTTATCTGTAGAATGGTTACTAAAATATGTAGCATGATAATCACAATCCAAGTATATCTGTGTGTGTGTGTATATATATATATATATAGAGAGAGAGAGAGAGAGAGAGACAAAGGTTTACAAAAATATATATTAATACTAATCTGCAATTGATGATGAGCCTAAAAGCTCAAGATAGGAAGATAAAAGGGATTGAGCTTTTAATAAATATTTAGATTATTTTATAGTAAGAAATACTTTTATAATTTTTAAAGACAAGAAGGAAGAGAAATAATAAATATTTCCCTGTCAACATAAGGATTTTGTATGTCCTGTAATACAGAGAAACCAGTCACCTGCTGTATAAGGCAATGCTGCCATATTGTGAACAATGCACAAATATGAAATCTAACATTCAACAAAATATGGAATGGCAAGATGGTATTTTAATTTTATATCCCACAGGTATAACTTGTCCTTTTGAAATGTTAATGAATTCATAATAATGTACCAAATCAACACAATGGAAAAGCAAACCTTATTACAATACTAATTATATATGCTACTTGGTCCCACTTTGAATCCTCTTTGAAATATTAAATCAGGTGAACAAGTTCTTTGGATACCCTCTTATCAAACACTCAAGTATATTCCTACTCTCTAGGAACAATGGAGCTAAATCATTCATTTCACCTTTTCTCTACAGTAAGGCCAATCCATCTGATTGTGTAGACATGGTTTGTGATGCCAAAAGGAAATCTTTTCTGAGAGACTTGGATGGCTCCTTTCTTGGGAATCCTGGTTCAGTAATACCTCAAGCAGAATATGAATGGAATGGAAACAGCCAACTAGGAATTGGAGACTACAGAATTCCTAAGGTGATGCTCACATTCTTGAATGGAAGTAGAATTCCTGTCACTGAGAAAGCACCTTATAAAGGTTTGTTGGATCTTATTCTGTTGTTGGTCCTCAAGTTCATGAAACAAAATATATGTTTTATTTTCAATGATTGATGTACTCAACCAATAACATATTTTCTACTTATTAAGCTTGCATAACAAGAAAGAGATTATGTGAATTCTTTACAAAGAGATATTTTTATTGCTAAAATGTTTATACATATATTTTCAGGAATTATTAGAGATTCAACCTGTAAATACATTCCAGAATGGCAGAGCTATGAGTGCTTTGGGATGGAATATGCAATGATGGTTATTGAAAGCCTGGATTCTGATACAGAAACTCGAAGACTTTCACCAGTAGCTGTAGTGAGCAATGGTTATGTTGATCTCATTAATGGTAGGTATTCAATGTACTACAATTACTCATGAACTACAATTCATGAACTACAATTACTCAAAGCATTTGCTTTTTATTGCATGCATGGATACATCTCATAAATTAGTTACCACATGAAACTAGAAAACATCAAATCTTCTTTGCTTTCCATTTGTAAGAAAGATCTATGTGCGGGGGAGAGAACTGACTCTGTCATGGTATCCCATGCAGGAAAACAAGGACAGTTATTTCAAATGGGCCAGTAGAATAAGAAGAAGGAGGAGGGGAAAGAGGGAAGGAGAGGAAAAAAAGAAGAAGGGAGAAAGTTACTTCTGGAGTGATCCTCATGCCTTTATTGATAAGGTGATATAAATATTTTGAAGAAAACGTTGGCCCAAGTATCTCCAAAAATCTAATTTGCCTTATGTAAATTTAAAAACATGATAGAATATTTGAGAAGTGGTTTTCTCAGCCAACTCATTGTTTATTCTCATGAATCTTTGGAAGACTCATCTGTGAACACTGTGTTTTTTCATCTCTGATTCCTTTGACTGTCAAGATCATCTTGTCAAGCTCCAGAGTCATGTTTCTCCCATTCTGGTCTTAGGTGGCTCTAGTATGGAGGGAAGGTAATGGTCTCCATAAGGATGCAGATCAGCTTAAGAAACCAAGGCCTTTTGAATTAGTAAGGTGAATTTCTAAAAGGTACTGAAAACATAGGACAGGGATTCCTTGTACATCCATGAAATGACACTGGGGGCTCAAAGAGTAGCCCCTAAGCAGGCTGAGAGTCTTTCATATGCTGAAGGGACACATAGCCTGGCTCAGACAGATTTCTGTGCCCTGGTATTATCACAATATGTACTATAATATACTAAGATTCAACAAAATAGCTGATACCCCACAAAAATTTTCATTTACAAAAACTCATTACAGAGAGTAAAGCGAACTGAGTCGGGGTATCCTGAAGTTTCATGATTTTAAGGCTCTCCTTGCTTCTCTCGCCCAACATGTGATCTCCTGGTTTCTGTGGCTTGCAATCAACCCAATTTCAAATTCTGCCTTTCAAATTTTACAATGCAGAGATTGTGGGAGCAATTTTAGAGCAGTCAGTGAATAATGGAGGAATCAAGGAGATGTTTTCAAATTGCTCTGTTTTATATGGTGGAGAAAAATTTCAATGCATTTATTTTTACATTTCTCTTTTTGGCAGGCAGTACAAGTTTCTATTTGCAATAGTGACATGGCATTTCTCTTTTAAATGAATTTAAATTTTAAACAGTGACTATCAATTGAAAGAAGTCTTATGTAAATGATAATAACATGGAAAAATCATGAAAGTGTTAAAAGAATCACTGAAGCTTAGAATGCTCCATACTAAATGGAATAAATAATTCCTCGAGATAAAAGTTACTGAATATTACTAAACTTTCCTTTTAAATAGTAATACTTAATGTTATTTATTTTTAAAATGTGACTTTTTGTCACTCTAAATTTTTTGCTTTATACATAGACATTTCTTTACATTTGTTTGCAAAATCCACAGAAAAGGTATATATAAAAGTAGAATTTATATTTTGTATGATAAGGAAAATGTTATGCTGTACATGAGCTTTAGGAGTTTATATTGATTTAAAATTTGATTGAAGTTCAGTTATAAATATTGATAATACTTCCAAGTAAGCCAGGAAATTCAGCAAACGTAATGCATAAATGCATCAAGAAAATTCAACATTCCATATTTCACTCAATGTTTTATATGTGCATAATCCCAGCCACTTTAAAACTAAATGAATAAAATGGGCATTTATTGAAACCTTAAAATCTGTACCCCCATAATATGCCAAAATAAAAAAAAAAAAAAAAAAAAAAAAAAAAAAACTAAATGAATAGAGAAGTTTGCTATGAAAGTCAATGTTGCATCTGTTCAGAAAATGGATTCAGGTAGGAAAGCATCCAGTATATCTTGGTTTTCTAGAAGGTTTGGTGGAGTGTTACTTCTAAGACGGCTTCAGTTCATTAATGATGTTAACACTCCAGTATTACCTGTAGTCACAGTTTTTGACAAACATTTCTTAAAATTAAAGTGGAGGAAGATTAAGGAATTAATTAAACAAATGTATTTGTTGAATTTACAAATTAATTAATGAACGAATGAATAAGTGAAAGAACAAATTAATGACTCCATGGTCCACGCATACAAATGTCCATGTTTTCCAGGTACAGACCCGATTTTTAACAAATTTGGTCTGTGATAGCACATTCCTAGCAAAGAGCCTGAGAAAGTTGATTCCCCACCAAGTTCACATTTGATAAGGAGGAAAAAAGATCAAGCATTTTCTTCCTCACCACGTGGCCTGGGCTTGAATATGATTATTAAAGTAAAGATACATCCCTGTGATCTTCCAGTACAGATTCTGATAAACACATTCATTTACCCTTCTTTCCCTGGGCAGTGTAAAAGTAAGGGTAATAGGAAAGAGTTGCTTCCCTGCCAAGGTTTGAGAAATAGCTTAGATGGCTGGGTAGTAGTGGATGGATAATGGATATAATACTGAACTTGACCTCTGCAATTTATTTTTAATACAATTACTCTTCAGATTTTGTGCTATTAATAGTCATAATATAGGAACACTGGCTGTCATTTTGCATGGATTTAGGCCCACAGGATCATGGCTGGTGTGCTGGATACACATGCCAAAGAAGGCTGTCCCTGTTTCATAGCATTGTGGCTCTGAACAAGTCTTACGAAGTCTACTTCACTGGTACCAGTCCTCAGAATCTTCGACTTATGTTGCTTAATGTTGACCATAACAAGGTAAGGAAAGATAGAAATGATGTCTTAAGAGTTATTGCTGTTGATTATTTGTATATGTTTCTATCTACTAAGGATTATATCTCTTCCCCAGTTCTAACATTGTCAGCCTTACAGCTCATTTTCAAGGACTCATCAAGCTACTACTAAAAATTCTATTAGCCTAGACAGTTTTCAGTCGGCCTAAAAGTATATATATAAGTACCAAACATTCCCCACCCCCAATATGCACTTGAATCTGGTGGTTCATATAGGAGGCATGACAGTGATGCCTATGATTTGCATGATTAGCAAGCAAACTGGAATCTTTACATAAAAATAGTGTACATCCAAATCTGATCACTTGGGATTATCTACTTGTTCTTCCATGCTGCTATTACTTATCTATGTTAGAAATACACCACTGCAATTTGCCTCAGAGATTGCAGGATGTTATTTTAAATATCTTCAATAATGACAAATCTTTGGTATCAACTGAATTTAGCAAGGTTAATTAAATTTATATATACTATGTCAGTATGAAAAGAGTATTAGGGTAAGCAGTAGTCTCATAATTTAGATTTTCTTTCCTAAGAGCATAAGACTTCCAAGTCCCAGGGTGTTAGGAATGCGAAGAAAGGATGCTGATAAGGTGAAGCAGAGAGAAGAGTAATGAAAGGAGACCCCCGCCCCTTCCCAGGTGATGGCAATTCCACCCTTTCAGTTGCTAGGGACAAAACCTTAGAACCACTCTTTACTCCTCTTTCTCTCACATTTCCAAACATCTGCAAATTCTGTTGAGTATCCCTTGAAAATATCCAGAATCTGACCACTTTTTACCACCTCCACTGCTACTGTCCAGTTTGCGCCTTCCCTGGATTAAGGTAATTGCCTCTGAACTCCTCTTCCTGCTTCTGCTTAGCCTTTCTATAGTCTATTCTCACCTTAGGATCCAGAGAGATACCTTCAAAACGTAAGTCAGATCAGGTCTCTCTCATACTGTGAACACGGCAATAATTTCCCCATTGGTCTCTGAACAATATAGTCAAAATCCTCACAATGCCTTATGAGGCCATATGAGACTCTCTCCTATCCCGGAGCTCTCTGGCTTCCTCTTCTACTCCTTCAGCCATCCTGGGCTCCTTGCTGTCCCTCAGTACACCAGACATAGGCCTATGCTTCTGATGTTGCATCAGCCTGGAACATTCTACCCTAGATGGCTAAACTCCCCATCTCCTCAAATTCCACTTTCTCAACAGGTCTACCCCGATCACCCCTCCTCACTTCGCTTCATAACCTTCTAACATGCTTTATACTTTACTTTGTATTGTTTCTATTATTCTCTCTCTCTCTCTCTCTCTCCACTCTAGAATGTAAGCTCAAAGAAGGCAGTATATTTTGCCAGCACCTAGAATACTGCGTGGCTGAGATAGGAACTTGAAAATAGACAAGAATATTTCAACTTTAAGAATGAGAATGGTGACTACAAAGTAATGTGGCTGTTTAGTATTCTGAGCCTCTGAAGACACTATGGAAGGAAGATTCCAAAACTATGTATAGCTTATTAGACTTGTTAATCCTCTCTTGCATTTATTGCAAAGGCCAGTCTCCTTACTTTATAGGCATATCTGATAACATGAAATGTAGGGAATATAAACATGAAAAATGGAAAAAATTGAATCAGAGAAGATAGTTATTTTTGAATGATTTTTATTAGTCTTACTACCCAATTTTTCTCAGAGATCAGTATTTTTCTCAACATTAAGTACCTAATTTTGTGTGGTTGCATTATATGGAGCACTGCTAACCTGCCACCCATCCTGTCGTTTTCCCTTGCCCCCGGAACTGAAAGCCTGTGTTGTACTTTATCGCCTTGTAAAGGAACCCGTTCTTTAATTTAGAGATACTCCTCCAATAATTTCTTTCTTATATTACACTTTTCTACTGAGAATCAACAATTAAGGGTTAAGTTACATCATCTGTATGAATGGTTAAATGTAAGTCCATTTTAAAATTTTAGTTCAAAATTTATCCTAAATCCATACAACTTAGTTTTAATATTTTATAGAAGGTGCGCATAAAGGTCGTTTTAAGTGCTAAATTCTAAAGATTGTTTTATTGTTCTATTGATTTCTTAAAACATAAATGTTTATTTTTAACAGGCTGTTGTAGTAGGAATTTTTTTTTCCACACTTCAGCGTTTGGATGTCTATGTGAACAATTCATTGGTCTGTCCCAAAAATACAGCATGGAATGCCCAACAGAAATATTGTGAACTTAATAAGCATCTATACACAGGTATTTCCTTAGAAAAACATAGTGCACATGGTATATGTATTTGGTTACTTAAATAAAATTCTTTGTGATGTTTCATTGTTAATATTTTTAATACCTTAGCCATTGACAAATGCAGAAGAAAATAAGTTTTTAGCCATGGCCCAGCAAATACTAAAATGTGTTCATTTATAACATGAGTATCCTGAAAAATCATTCCTGATGGAATTCATCTATCTGCACACATGTAGATACAAATTTTTGTTTGTGATGGGCATTCTTTTGCTCCCTGAGAACTTTTTCATTCTACATACAATGACTTTAGTCATTTCTATGTTCAGAAGAGATTTTGCTTAGAATTTTTACCTTATCTCTGCTTTACTTCTATTTCATAGAGGTCAGAGCCTAAATTAATTAGCAGTCAGCAGAAGTATAACCAAGCAAACTAGTATAATATCAACTAAACACTATGAAGTAAATATGATAAATTAAACTGTTGATTTAAATAAAACATATGGAAGAGGCTAAACTTATCCATTTATTAATATTGTAAAACCAAGATTTATCTCTCCTAATTTCAGTCTTTTTGTTAAACGGGATTCTCATGAGGACAACTTCATACCTTCCATTCCACAAGTGCTACTTATCATCATTTTTAGATGTGCTCCATAATCTTGGCTAACTATTACATAAATATACGCTATAGTTCATAATGTAAGCTAGACTTTCAAGTATGAATGGGTAATCTATACCATTTATAGAACAAGTCCTATTTCTGCTAATAATATGAATAGCTAAGGTTTCCAGAGACACTACTATACACCAGGCACTGTTCTAAGAGCTTTACCTATAACTCATTGTTACTATATCATAATAACTCTATGGGGAAGGCACAGATGAGTAAACTGAGGCACAGTAGGTGAAGTAATGCCACAGATTGTGTGGCTTAAAAAACAGAAATTTCTTTTTTCCAAATCTCTGAAAGCCTGAGATCAGGATGCTGGCATGGTCAGGTTTTGCTGAGGGTGCTGTTCTTGGCTTGCAGATGGCCCCTTTATTACTGTGTCCTCAGATGGCACAGAGAGCGAGAGCAAGCTCTCTGATGTCTCTTTTTATAAGAGCACTAATTCCATTATAAAGGCCCCACCCTCACAACTGCATCTAAACCTCATTTCCTCCCAAAGGCCCCCATCTCCAAATGCCATCACATTGGGGGTTAAGGCTTCAATATATGAATTGGAGGTGGGGGCACAATTCAGTCCCCAGCAGTCTCAAAGCTGGTGTAGACAGAGCAAGGACTTGAAAACAGAGCCTAGCTCTAGAACCTATGCACTTAACCATTATGCTATATTGCCTCTTTATAAGCTATCAGCTATTTATAAGCTATAAGCTATTTATAAGAGTCAGTGTTATCACTTTTTATATACAAGTGATTGCACATATTTACAGCTTAATTTTCACTCTTCTAAAGCAATACATGTAGTATCAAGCACTCTGTCATTCGGGAAAATAGGAACTATCTGAACGGGCAGGATTTAAAACAGAGAATTGTTTACACAGGTGCTGAAGGACTGGAAAACAATACCACCACTGCCCTCTTATAGATAAATGCATGTGTGGTGGTAGTGGTGGTGGTATTTTCTGAAATAGCATTGCTGTTAAGTGAATTTTGTGCTTTGGCACTTAGAATGCAAAATAATATCTCTGTATTATGAATCTATAACTATTTGGGGGTGTTACTCAAGATGTTTTATTTTATTTATGTCTCTGCTTCCTTCATTACTGTGAAAACATAAGAAAGCTACCTAGGATAAGTGATGTATGCACCTCTAACAGTAGCTTGAGATCAGCTTCAATTTATAATACAAAGCACATTCTTCAGATTCACACAATGTTTAAGCCAAATTGCACCCAGAATTTATACTAGGAGGTATTAAGGAAATGTATAAGAATAATGAAATGGTTTCTTAATGCTGTAGTCTGTTACATGTATAAGCAATTCCCTCTTCTTCCTAAAATTTTAATTTCTTTTTCCTAGTATGCCTTACAATAAAATGTGATAAGGAGCTCCATGTCTTATTTTACTACTATTATGCAATTCAGCATTTGTCTGGGCTCAATATGTATTAGTGGATTTATTACCTCTTAGACATTGTTGATACTTTGCCATAAAATCATATATGTGTGTGTGTTTGTGTGTGTGTGTGGATTTTTTCAGTCGTTGTGTATATAATGATCTCAATCACTTCTATAAAATTCAGTTCCCTAGTAGAATTTATTTTGCCTTAACCAAAGATTTTTCAGGCTGAACTGTAAACCTGTTTTATTGGTATAAGATTCTTCTGAGATATTTTAATATATGCTTCATTTTTGTTACATACTTTTGTCCTTAGTAAAAATAGAAACACTGAATTGTAAATCTTCTTTTAAGAGTTGATGTATAACACTGCATAAATTAGATGGCTAGTAAAGTTAAATTTATATTTTTAAATTACCAAATGCCTTCAGTTGAGGCTTTAAAATTCTGAACATGTGAATAGTATTATAAGTACAGTATAGGCTCCTGGGTTCATAATAAGATCTGTTCCTCATTTATACTGTTTATAGCTAATTGTCTTTAAAAACCAATTTAATATATAATGATTATTGGTAGTATTTTTAAAGGATTGACTTTAATTTTATATGTCAGTTCTATAAGTGTTTGTGTTTTTAATATGCATAACTTTCTTATGACAGAATAACATTGAATTTCTCAAATTTTCTAAATTCCAACAAATATTAAATAAGCATGATAATATAAATATATTTAGCTGTGCTTTTTTGGCTTTTTTTCCTTCATAGAGCAATTCCTTCCTAACCTGGACTCCACTGTCCTTGGTGAAAACTACTTTGATAGAACCTACCAGATGCTTTACCTTTTGGTCAAAGGAACTATACCTGTTGAAATCCACACTGCCACAGTCATATTTGTTGCTTTCCAACTACCTACTGTAACAGAAGATGACTTTTACAGCTCTCATAATCTGGTTAGAAATCTTGCCTTATTCCTGAAGATACCAAGCGACAAAATCCGTATCAGCAAAATAGTAAGAGGGAAGAGCTTGCGGAGGAAGAGATCCACGGGAGTCACAATTGAATTAGAGATTGGAGATCCCCCCACTCAGTTCTTAAGCAATGACACTACAGGTATGCATAACAGATGTTTGTGATGGAGGAATGCAATTACCAAATCCACATCCATACCTAACCCTATTAGGGCCTGGTGAACCAGGCCTCAGAAAATCCCACCAACCCCACAACCTGAAAGCAGTAAGGGCCCAGAGACTCTTTTCCCTTCTCTACTCCCATAATCCCAAACTATTTTGGAATCGTGAAAGAATTTCAGCATGTACTTTGTTATTTGGGTTATTAACAAATTCGACAAAGGAATTTGACCTGCTATAAAAAAATCTGGGAAGACCTACCTAAAGAAGTGACCTTATAGCTGAGAGATTAAGGCTGGAAACAGTCAATCATTGAAAATAGGTAGGAGAAAGAGTGTTCTAGGCTGAGGAAATGGTTGGGGAGAGTTTGGTACATTTGAAGAACTGCAGGAGATCCAGATGGTCTGGAGTGGAATGCACCAGGAAGGGTAAGCTGCTGGGTGTGAGGCTGAGTGATAGGCAGATGCTAGATTGTGAAGAGCTTTAGAAGCCAAAAGAAGGACTGTGGATGCTTCCTTAAGGAAAAGAGTAGATCCTTGCATATTCTGAACAGTGGAGTGGTAGGTTAGATTTCCATAGTGAAGTCTCAGATTTTCCCTAACAAGGGCAGATGAGCAAGAACCATAATCCATCTTTATTTCCTATGACAGGGCTAATCTTCCTCACCAGCCATTATCCCCTTTCTTTGTCCCTTACTTTCCACACCCCAATTTGCTAAGTATCAGAGATAAAAATAACCTAACTTTCCCATTAGAGGTATCTCTGCTGGCTTAAATCATTTCCTTAGAGTGACTCAGTTTGGGCATTTGGGTAAATGCTCAGCCCTTCAGATTTACTTTCTTTCCAACTTCTCCTTTCAAGTTGGTATCTGAATACTAAGGGGCTGTCCTAACCTCAGGCCCTCATGTTACCCTCTTGTCTTCATGGCCTCTGTTACAGGGTGAGTGGTCTTCTCTGCCCTGCACACACATCTCTTGAGGTACCGCTGAACTTTCCTGGCCTTCTAGAATGCAATAGCATCCCCTGCTGCGGACTCCCAACCATGTCTTTGTCTCCAGAGATGAAGCACAAGTACTCTCATGTAGGCATTTCCCTCTCCGCGAATATGAGCTCTAGGTCTCCGTCAAAGGAAGATCTACCATCCCACTAATGAAGCTTAAGTTTCAAAGCCCCTCACTTGTACAAGCCCTGGGAGGCACTTTTACTTTCATGACTGTAGGAGAGGTCTTAATAATGTGGTCAAATCATTGAATACTATTACAAAGTTACAAAAATAAGATTTTCCTGTATTATATTTCTTAAACAGAGCCTCCAGAAAAGTGTATAAACATCAGGCCCACAAATCTCCCTATTTCTGTTTGGTATCCTTTGCACTAAACTCCCAGGCACTGTGTAAACCCAGGTACTGGGTGAAATTCTCACTTTACGCCACTAGGGGGTCATCAAGGTGCTGATTAACTTTTGTTGAAAGAGCGTAGAAAGCGTAAGCTTGTGTTGCAGCCGGATCTCCCACGGTGTTCTCTGCCCAGGGCCATAATGTACTTTCCTTCATCAGTCCTATACCTCCTTGGACTTACAGGGTCAGAGCTTTGGACTTAACATGACTTAGCCTGTTAAATTAGTCTAGGAGTTACAGACGGCTTGCAGTACACATACAGATTACTTACCCACTCTTATCCTGGTAATTCCTCACATGTAGTGAGATCCAAAGTTTACCACACTGGCCATTAGATATCCAAAGAAGCTGTGATTTATTTACTATCTGTGACCTAATTCCCTCACACACAACTGCCCCTACCCCCATCCCCATGAAGCAGTTTTAGCTTGTTAGATTTATCCAGACAGATATAAGACAGTTTAAGAATATGGAGGGTAGGGATAGGGAAGGAACAGTCTAATGGCATGGTTTCCAGACACAGACTGGAATAGGGTTTCAAGTCTCAAGGAGAGCCCTGTAACTTGGTGAATCATAGCAACATGTTAGGAAGTAGCAAAAAAGATGTGCACCTGGCTGCATTCCTGTCTCCCCACAGCTTTTACATAGTGTCAGGATATCCAGAAGTTCTCAGACATCCTAGAAAGGGGTTACTTCAGTATTAAAGGAATTTCTGAGCAGGCAGAAATTCCTGAGGTCAGGAATAAGAGTTAAGGTTCTAGGGAGGCCTTCTTGAAGAAGACTGTTCTGGAGAGAGTGAGGGGATAGGGAGGAATCTGAAAGACTAAATATTTATCAAAAAATTACCTTTTAAACTGGCACGGACTGAAATTCCCTAAGACGGTGGGTTTCAAAGTGTCATGTCAGACCCGCTGGGCCAGGACATTGTCTCCTTCTTCCTTAGCACACTGAGCATTATGGCTCAGCTTTGATGGAAGAAACTCAGTGAACTGAGACCTCAAGGCACGTCTCTGGACATGGAAGGTGCAGGATACCTAGGAATCAGGGCTTAGCAAGGCTTACAGTACACCAAAAGGTTATCCTGGCCTACAGTTGTTTTTCAAGAGATCACGATGACTTCTTTGTATGGAATGGAGTGGAAAAGGGTGACAACAGATACAAGAAATCCATTTTAAAGTGTTTTTTGTAGCTTTGATGCTGCTGGCTTTAACTGGGATTCTAAGAGTGAAGACAGATTTAGAAATTGGTATTTGATTAGAAATGGCGTGGAGAGGAGGTGAAGTAGCAGGGATCAAGCAAAAGTGTCAGGCTTCTGACAGAAGGAGTGTGAGGGATTGAGGTGCCACTTTTTCATATAAGGAACACGGTGGAGGAAGTAGGTTTAAGAAGAAATCCCAGACCTGCCATACTAGAAAATGGGAACAGAAACTACATACGGTGTTAAAATGAACCTTGAAAATTGTCCAAGATCCAAAACAAGTAACAATTTGTTAGTAAACTTTAGCAACTTGTTAATATACATACTGATAATTTGATGGCTTCTAATTATCCTTCCACTCCAAAATTAACACCCTATTCTTAAAAAATGGTATGTGATGATAGAAATACACACTAGTGCTTCACTTCTAAACAAAGATTGCCATGGGAAGTATTAAATTAAGAAACATGTTCTCCTACTATATTTTCATTCATGTTTCTTGTATTACTTATTCTATCTTTGTATTTTTTTTAATTCCAGTTTAAAACATAATTCTACTGAGTTCTTAATTTTCCTAACCTCATGAATATGATTCTGTTATTTTTTTGTTCATATATAATAGAAAGTTCTTAGAATTCTATAATGTGATGGAGTAATGCAAAGAAAGGTAAAGTGAAAGTGTTCATTTGTCCCTACAATTCTACACTTTTATAATTGATATGTCAAAATACTGTTTCCTGATAGGTTCACTGCAATTACCTGAACTACAGGAAATTGCCAGTTCTCTTGGACAAGCTGTAATTTTAGGAAAAACCGGTAACATCCTTGGATTTAATATTTCTTCCATGTCTATTACTAATCCCCTCCCCAGCCCAGGTGACTCTGGCTGGATTAAGGTAAGAAAATACAACTAGAAATAATGCATTTTCACCATTTAAAATATTGTTAATTATCTTCTATTTTAACTCTCAATTTTAAGATAGTAATTTAGAAGGCATGTCTTTTAATTCAATGTTGATTATTTTTTATGGGATCACCAAAATGATAATAAAGCAGTTTGGGGGAAAAAAGTGTATCTTCTAAAAAATTATGTAATGGTTCCAAATGTACTTTAAATATGCTTTAAATATTTATAACAATGCTTCATACACCTAACCTAAGGGAAATATTGTAATTCTATCAATTGTACATATTGAACATATTTTTTAATAAACAATGAATATATTATACTTAGCCTGGCTCAGATGAGCTTGCTGCTGAATGTAGTTTATCATACAGAAACCACTTCATTACTCATGCCTATTCACAGGTGACTGCCCAGCCAGTTGAAAGGTCTGCATTTCCTGTTCATCACGTGGCCTTTGTGTCCTCACTCTTAGTGATCACTCAGCCAGTGGCTGCACAGCCAGGACAGCCTTTTTCTCAGCAGCCTTCAGTAAAGGCGGTAGATTCCGAAGTAAGTCATAACTCAAATCTTTACTTAAGTGAAGGACTAAAACTATAAATTCTGGAGGGTGAGCCAACTTTATTAATCCTGGTATGCAGGCAACCTGAGGATTGTGCTGCCCCTTAGAAGTTGGACCTATGGATACCATCTTTGACTGTTTTAAAAACAGTTCTTTCAAATGAACTTCTTATTTTGCTCATATTTATAAACTCTTTGTGTAGAATAAGGAGCTTTTGCAGATTTTGAATTGGTAATGAAGCATTTTTAAAAATAAAGTTTTACATATCCTAAAAAAAAAAAAAGACACATGAAAACAGGACAATTCAATCGTTATAATTCTCTACTTTTTTTTTTTTTAGGGTAATTGTGTTTCAGTTGGTGTTACTATGTTGACTTTGAAGGCCATACTAAAGGACTCCAATAATAACCAAGTCAGTGGTCTTACTGGAAATACAACAATTCCATTTAGCAGCTGTTGGGCCAACTATACAGACCTTACTCCTCTTAGAACAGGTAAGTGTACTATTTTAGATCCTTATATATATATATATACCCATAAATAGGGACAATTATAATTTTCTTTTAATGAACAAAAGCATTCTATACTGCTCTGGTCAGTAAATTATAGATATCAAAATCTTATACTTTGCCTTGTTCCAGAAAATATTTAGTCTAGCCTAGCAAAACATATTTAATGTGCAAAACAAAGTAGAAATTAAAATAAGCAAGTAAAGCAATCAAAATTATATCATGATTTATGTTTTATTTTGTATGTTGTATTTTTCTAAGTTTTCTCACTAAATGTGTTACATTTATAGTAAGAAAGATTATTAGTAATATATGGATTTTCAAATTCAAGAAGTGAAAATGATAAAGTAGGCTCATATAACTTTAATGCCCCGTGCAGGAGTTCAGAGTTGGGCTAGAAAGTTTGCTGTAGTCTTTCTGAAAGTCAACACAAAGGAGGAACCATGAACATTATAATGATATACAGTACCCATCAGGTAAACCAGTTGCTGTGGAGAATTATGACATGTTTTGAGAACAGAGCAAGTGTCTGCTATGAGTCCTCAGGAAGTGTGCACAATGAATCTGTACCAAGCAACATCTTCAGTGTCAAACCAGTAAACATGGCTATGACTGCCACAGTAATGCTCCTCATATTATTTCCAGATGGGTTGATGGCAAAACTCCAATTGGTAAAAACCATTCTACTAGAACCCAAGTCGTATTAATATATCCCCAAACGGGATAGCTCTTGGTGATAGATTGTAGAGTATCTAAGAGAATGAAATGGATAAACTGCTTATACTTGAGACAGACCTTCACTGATTTATTAACCCCAACCCAGGGCCCACTTAAGACCTGTAGAGAACTTAACTTCTGAAAAGGTTATGTAGTGACACTCCCCATTTCTTACTACTGCCCTCTCTTCACACACACACACACACACACACACACACACACATCAGAATAAAAGTAACTATAAAGGATAAAATAAGTAAAAGAACTTCTGAAAATGGTCTGATTTTTTAAAATGACTAAATATCCAAAGCTAAAATCATTCTGAAGGATTTTTCCCTTATTTTTCATTTCTTCATGCTTTGATAATTCCCTCCTTCAGACGTGTTCAGTCTGCCTAGTAGGCAGCAAAATATCAACTTAATGTTTGATAATAATCAAATGACTATGAGTTCAATGCCGTGCTCTTAGACAAGTACCTAGTGTCCTATTGCTTGCTGGTCAAGGGCAGAGCCAAATTCTTTTAAAGGGCAGCCTAAAGGGAACCCTTTTATGGGAAATGAAGCACCTGACAAGAACCCTGCCTGAAGAGAAGGTTGCTCACCCCTTCATGAGAGTGGACCCAAAAAGTGCTCAGTGGCAAAGACCCAGCCTTTTGACCAAAGTCTTCAAACTAGCAATGTCCCAAAGTAACCAGAATTATAGGAGTGCTAAAGCAATAAAATAAGTTTTGGCATTTTACTGTGGTAACAAAGTAATTATTAAAGTACTTTCTTATCATACAGTAAGGTTTCATTCAGAAGTCAAAGCTTCCCTCGGGGTGTCCATTTGACCTGCTATGGCGAAGAGCCACTGCTTCTCATTTGTGTGTTTCTTTCCTTTCTTCCCTTCTTCCCTCCTTCCCTCCCTCCTCTGTTTACCCCTTCCCTTCCTCTTTCTCCCTCTCTCTTTCCTTTCTTTCTTTCAGAAAGTGTGGAGTCTCAGTTCCCTGGTTATATGTAATATGAAAAGCCTAGTTTAGTTAGCTTTTCATTATTTTGAGGCCAATTAGCCAGTTGGTAGATTAAACACAGTAAAATCATATTAATAGTAACAACAAAGCATATGTGAGAAAATTAACACGCCTTTCTCTTGACCCTTTCTAGCAGGTGGCCCCCCACCCCCAACCATCACTGCACTGAAGGAAATCCCCTTGCTAATCAAACTGCAGCTGACAGCACAGCACCCTTTTCTGCACAGACCCCCATAAAGAGCAACGCAGGGCCACCTGGGTAGAGGCGATATGGGTTGTGGTTACTAAACAGAAATAGGGATGTGAGAATTGGGTGAGAAAAGGGTGGGAGGAAAAGGAAGTAAAGAGCTGAGACTGCATCTTTGACCAACCCAGATAAAGATAGTATTAACTAATGGATGATTGGGACATATTTGTGTAGTGACCTATCTAATGTTTAGTGTTTGTTTCAGTTCCTATTGCTATGTAAAACACCAGCCAAAAATCTAATGGTTTAAAACAACAACGATTTCATTTGCTCAAAATTACGTGAGTCAGAAATTTGAGCGTGAATGGCTCATCTCTATTAAGTGATGTTTGGGGCTTCAGTGGCAATTTCTAATAGCTGGGGCTCCATAGGATGGTTGGATTAGGGTCGTATCTCTAAGGTCTTTGATTCAGATGTTGACTGGGTTCTTCAGTTCTTTATGTGTCCTTTCTGTAAGGCTAACTTGGGCTCACAATACTACAGGAGGGGGAAAAACAAAACAAAAAGGCCACCCTAAATCCTTTGCTCCTCAAAAGCAGTAAGAAAAAATACATCTGTCACAAAAATGTAGGTTTTTTTCAAATTGAAAAAATGAACAATTTAAATACACCATTGTCATGAATTATCAGTAGCAGAAAATTCTGTAGAACAGTGCCCATTCATCCTGAAAGTTATATTATAGAATGCATTGCTGTTGTTTGTGAAAGCATAAATGTGGTCAAGATCTAATTATATTTAATATCTTCATCCTAAAAAGAAAAGAAGAATGAAAACAAAAAAGACTTTTAGGAAACAAATAATAGATGAAACAGAGAAGTAAAAACTTACAGGGCTGTATAAGTATTCCCTATTCTGTTTAGTAACTACTATTAATGATAGCAGTAATTCCAGATGAAAATATGTCAAGGAAAAATATATTAGTTATCTCATATTCAAAACTGTGGAAAGATTTAACATGTAGATTAAAACATATTTGCATGAGCTCTTTATCTTTTACACTATAAACACGTGTAATGATGTTTCTCCAAGATGTTTCTCTTACCTCTTACTTGAGGTAAGAAGAAATAAAGGGTCATAATCTTGCAATACAAAAATAGCATCTGACTTAAAGCAAATGTGGAAGATGGTTAAAAACTGTTGAATCTGAGTGAAGGGCATGTGTGTGGTTATTGTACTATTCTTTCAACTCTTCTCTAGTTTGAAATTTTTCAAAATAAAAAGTTCAATATCCATCCCATCTCTCCCAACTGAGACAGAGGATTCTCCACTCCTAGGTCAAGTAGGTAGGGATGAAACAGAGATTCAATACTTTTACTTCCCTTTCTTATCATCCCTCATTTCAATCAGCCTGTCTCCAGTCCTGGGCACTAGGACAAGGAAGGAACCCTAAGAATCTGGTACTATTGCTGCAGAAAGAAAATCTACCCAGGTTGCTCTTGCCCATAACTAATAGGCAGATTGAACTCTTCTAACTCTGAGACCCTCTCTACACTTGTCCATATTTAAACTAATTCATTTGACTTGATTTTCAAAAATACTTTATTAGGAATTATACAGTATTTTTCACCAATGAAAACCAAATTAGAACTATATGAAAACAAGCAAAACATAAAAGAAAATCAAATGCTTTATTTTCTAGGAAAAAACTATAAGATTGAATTTATACTGGATAATGTTGTTCGGGTAGAATCCAGAACTTTCAACCTGCCAGCACAGTCTGTCTCTAGCAGCAGCAGCAGTGGCAGTAGCAGCAGCAGTGGCGGTGGCAGCAGCAGCAATAGCAAAGCAACAACTGTGGGTACATCTGCCCAGATAATGAGTACAGTAATTAGCTGTCTGATTGGAAAAATGTTGCTCTTGGAAATATTTATGGCGGCAGTTTTTGTTTTGAATGTAACTATAGGTAAGTACAATTCATTTTGTATATACTATGTCTCCACATAATGAGGTACCAGTAAATGTTACTTATGCATGGCACCTCTGCAGACACAAAGAGAAAGTAACAGCCTCAATGGCAGAGATAAGACAACCCTACAGGAAATACTCACATCACATGTTGGTATATAAGAATGTGGGGAACGAAAAGTGCAGGTAATGTCAGAACTCTTTTGAGTTGCAAGAAGCAGACACTCAACTTGAACTGCTTTAGGCAGTAAAATCATCACTTAACTGAGGAGTCCAGAAGTCATCTGGTTTCTGCCACAGCTAGACCCAAGGACTCAAATCATGCCATCCAGAACCTGTGTCTGCTCATCTCTTGGTTCCATTCTCCTTGATGGTAGTTTCACTCCCAGGCCAACTACTTATCTTCCTAATCCTCCTGGCAAAGGTACCCACCAACATCTTTATAATTTACATTCTACCAGCCCAGCAGCCAATGCAGAAAGAGTAAACTTCTTTCCCAATAGTTCCAGCGAAAATCCCAAAGCTATGTCATTGACCTGGCTTGGTCACATGCCTATTTCTAAACCAATCACTGTGGCCACAGTGGTCTAATTAGCTTGCCCTAGGTCATATGAGGTAAGGTGCTGAGAATGGTAGAGATGTGGTTTTAGTGAGGAAAATTAGAGTGCCAGTACCAGAAGTGGCAGGCGGATAGACATAGTGAATATCAGGGAGATTAACAGAAGGGAGAGGTCCCTATGGGCTAGAATGATTAGAGACCATTGTAAATGTCACTCCATCAGCAACATGTAAAAGTTGGGACTATATAAAATGTGTCAGATTTGGAGAGGGAGGGAAAAGGCACTCAAGAACAGAGATATGATAGGAGCAAAGAAAAAAGTGAAAGTATAAAAAGGCATCTACAGCTATATTTGTACATGTTCAGCATGGAATTTCTCATCTTTTCCCACCACACATACTTCTTTTCCTGCTACCCCATCTCGGTTAATGCCAATGCCATCTTTTCTGATCCTTCAGGTTGACACTTCTCAGATTTCCCCCTTTCTTCAAACTCCAAAAACTTCAAACTCCACACCTCACTCCTTGAGGTGTGCCATCTCTATCCAACCATAATGTCTCTTATCTATCCTTTATTTAAAGTCTCGCTGCTCTACTTGCAACTTTTTTTCTTCTCACTTGACCTATTATAATAGACTCCTGAATTTCTTCCCTCCAGACTCCCTCACTTCCAGCCTATCCTCCCTAGCGCTGTCAGATTTAGCTTCCTAAAGCACAAGATCATGTAATGGTAATCTCAAATACTCAAAGATTCCTCGCTACCTGCAAAATATAATCAATGCCAAAGACCCTGAAACTAGTTTTAAAGACTGCCTCCTTGTTCCAAATCATTCCTAGAAAAGATTCTAACAGGTTTCTCTTCTTCCTTCCCACTCTACAATACATTTAACTCTCTTCTCCCTTGATCTCCAATTGCACTTTGTTTATAGCATTATTATAGCCCTTTCTGTAGTGCACTTGTACTAAACTTATATTCAAATCTATCTTCCTCACTAAATTATGAGCACTTAAAAGACCACATGCCTAATCCAGGTGCAGTGGTGCACACCTGCAGTCCCAGCTACTCAGAAGGCTGAGCCAGAAGGATTGCTTAAACCCAGGAGTTCAAGTTCAGCCTGAGCAACATAGTGAGACTTCATTTCTAAATATACATATATAAATTTTTTAAAAAGAAGACCAGCTGCCTTACATATTATAGGTACAGAAATTGTGGTTTAATTGATTTTAAATCTTAAAAGGTAAGTCCTTACCTCTGACTTAGGGAGAAATGTTGAGTAGGGGTATTGTAGGCAAATTTTAAAGAGCTTTGATTAGAACATGTTAATAAGTTTGCAATTGATTTAAAGGGGGAGAGTTTCTGACAGATTAATGAAATGAAATCATCATATAAGAAATACTATATTAATAAGGTTGAGGAAGAATTTGAAATGGAGTAATAATTTAGAAGGATACTAAAGCATTTTCAGCAGTAAAAGCCAAAACTAGATTTTAAATTTAAATGTAAAGAAGTTCAGGATGAGAGGGCATAATAAGACTAGTTCTGGAAGAACAAAACTAACTGAGGGCAGAAACCAACTGCTGGGGCTTCAGGAACAGTTATAAACCATGAAGAAGTAAATCCTTTCTTCCTTCCCAATGGCGGAAACTAATTAAGAGTCCAGCAGTCAAGGGAGAAGCATAGTTTGCAGAGAACTGTCCTGGCTTCTCATAGCTGAATAGATACAGGTGGGTTTGGAGCTGATAAACAATGACCAACACACAAGTTATTTTTATGGTAGTTTTTTTTTTTTGTCTCCAGAATTCTCATAAACATCATTTATTTCATAATAGGGTGACAAATATTGCTTAAATGTATTGTTTTCCTTCTCAGAAGCATTAAAATATAAGGTCTAGTTGGCTAAGTACTCCTTAATTTATATTTGTGCATTTTGTGTTTCCTCATTAATGCGTTTTTTCTAATTGTCTTCAGTGACTTTTATTGTTTGTTCCTGACAACTTTGGTACTTTACTAAATTAAGAAAATTCTATTTTCAAATCATTAATAAATGATATAGTTCCTGAGTCTTTTTCAGGACTTTTGCCAAATAAAAAAGTTAATCAGTGGCTTCTTCTTTGCTACTAAATAAACTACCATTTTTCAATTAAGACATAAGATGATTCAAACACCATTAATAAATTGCAATGTTGGTTTCTTTTATAACTTTGTATTCTGAACTAACAATATTTTACTTTTAAGAGAATCATCAAGTTCCACCAAATAAAATAGCAAAACTTAAAAGTGAAAAAATGCAAAAAGTGGGTAAGCACCACAATCTACACATTTACACCAAAAAAATTTTTACTGATTCTAACACTAAATGGGTAAACTTTGAAATGCTAATTTTTAAATATTAATGTTACTCTTGTCCTGTTAACCATACCATGAAATATGAGAGAAGTCAAAATTAATGAAATATATTTTAAATCATAATATATGTTGTTACTACTTTAAAATTTTTTGTGTGTTGTTTTCATTTTTCAGGATGCAACTGAAGTGCTATTCTGAAGAATGAGCTGAAAGCAAAAATACAAGAATAGCTTATTTATGAGCTATTTTGTTATACAACATGGAAGAATCTACAGCATTTTCAAGAAAATATGCTAAAAATATTTTTGTAACATATAAAATGTGCTAATTAGCTTTAAACACAAAAATTAGATCTCTTCAAAATATAAATTTCATTTTATTCCTTATGTTTGTATGTTCTTATTTCATTCCAAAAAACTTCTAGAAATCTTTCATGTGGAAGCAGATATGACACCTTTAAATTATTGTACCAACAATCATAGACTCCTTTAAAGAACTGAAAGAACTTGTCAGGTTCTGAGTTAAGCCTTTTAGATCAGATTGGAAGCATTTTGAGTTTGTTTGTTTGTTTGTTTGTTTTTAGTATACTTGGGGGGTTTGCTTTTCTTTATCCATTCATGAGGCCCTGATTTGCAACAATCAAGTCATTCTAATTTCTAAGAATTTTGGCAAGACAAGATTGTTTTAGACCTTTGTCACACTGAATTGCTATCTTTCAGATCTACAGGAATTCTAGACTGTTTTAGATTTCTGGGCCTGCCAAACTCTGGTCAAAATTCTAGGAAGACTTTTTTTGGTGTCCTCGGAATGGGTTTTTGAAAGAAGTCCAAGCTCCTTCTCTTCTTACCCCTCCTTCCCATGCAAAACTGCCACTACAAGAATGTGACCTCCTCCAACCCTAGGCAATGACAAAACAAAACAACTTTATTTGCAAGAGGATAAAGTACAGAAGCAAAACAACCACAGATTAATATAGTTAAATTAACCAAACACTCTAATACTATAAAATTGCAAAAATTGCAATCAGTTTTTACTCAGAATATTCTAAAGGAAATGCTTAATTTGGCAGTACCCCTAATAAAGGCATTGTATGTAGCCAGATCCAGAATGAGTAGAATTGCTCCTCACAAAAGTTACTTTCTAGCAAGTGACACTCAGCAAGTGTTTGGAACAGCTGAGAGAATTAAAGAAAGCCCCAAACTTTGTCTCCTGTATATCATCTCCTAGTATATTCACCTCAGATCATTGTTAGTCTTGCTTAGAAGAAAAATTATAAACACTTACCAGGTAGTAAGTCCAAATATCTTTGTATGTATTTGGCATTTCATTTGGTTGAACAAACATATATTTGGCATCTATTAGGTACCAGGCATCCTGGTAGACTCTATGGAATAAGATGCTATGCCTACTCTACAAGAGTTCACAGGGCAGTTGGGGACAGAGTGAAAACAGATCATTTCAATATAATATGAACTATGAGAGAGAGAGATGTGTGTGGAGCTAGAGGGGCACAGAAGAGGGGCACTCATCTGGGGCCTCCTGTGAGGATGGAGATGGATGGCGGACAGCTTCCAGAATGAGATGCCTGAGATGAGTGAGGACTAAAGCATAGGATTAAGGAGGGTGTCCCTGTGGGAGGTGTGGTGGTAAGAGTGAAGACTGGAACACCCCCAGACAGCAAGCTCCTTGAAGGCACGGGCTTTCCCTTACTTAGCACTTTTTTTCCTATCATCAACAAAATGCCTATCAATAGTGAATGCTTATTCACTGTTCATTGGATGAATGAAGCACAGAGTATAGGGAAATCACCAAGCAGGTGGATATTAAACAGAAACATCAAACATGACATGAGGAAAGGCAAGACACAAGGCTGGAGGGGAGGGCAGCAATCTTCTGTCTGAGCCTTTAAAGCTACAGTCCCCAGTCCCTGGGTGTACCAGTCCATGGCCTATTAGGAACTGGGCTGCACAGCAGGTGACCAGCAGGGACTGAGTATTTACAGCTGCTCCCCATCACTCACATCACCGCCTGAGCTCCGCTTCCTGTCAGATCAGTCACTGTCTGCCATCATCCCCAGATGGGACTGTCTAGTTGCAGGAAAACAAGCTCAGAGCTCCCACTGATTCTGCATTATGGTGAGTTGTACAATTATTTCATTATGCATTACAATGTAATAATAATAGAAATAAATTTGCACAATAAATGTAATGCACTTGAATCATCCCCAAACCATCCCTCCCACCCATGGTCCATGGAAAAATTGTTTTCCATGAAATCAGTCTCTGGTGCCAAATAGGTTGGAAACTGCTGCTCTAAAGGGCTCTGATACAAGTTTTAACTAGGGATACAGTTTTAACAAGATATTAAAATAGAAGTTTTGGCTAAGACAAACTAGAAAGGGTGGTACCAAAGAAAGATATAAAATACTTCTCAAAGTAGGTAGCCTAAAAGAATAGAAGATTAAAGGAGGATTTTTGAAGAGCAATTCTTTGAAGATGGCTGTGTTGAGAGACCCCTTTTCAAAGGGAGAGGAGTGAGTTGCTAGTTCCTAACACCAAGTCAAGAGAAAAGGACTTTCATTAGGCCCATGGAAAGCTTCATAGATGTTCCCTGAGGTTTGGGGCACACAATGAACTGGTGTCTGAATCATAATAGCCACCAGAGAGCAGATGGCTGAAGCAGTCAGTGGCAGCCAAGTCTAGGGCTGCTGTTTAGAAAGCACCATTACAGCATCTCCTAGAGTTTGTTAGGCAAAGGATATACAGATATGTCCCATGAACCTGATGTGGGCCGTGTGTGTGTGTGTGTGTGTGTGTGACAGAGAGAGAGAGAGAGAGAGAGAGAGAGAGAGAGAGGTTGCTAGCAATGGGGAGGCCTTAAGTCTTGTACAGGAAGGCAGCCTAGAAGGGCAGTACACTGCAGGAAAAGGAAACTAGAAGGGGACCACTGAATGCCTAGGGGCTATAGAAGAAGTACAAGCAAACACCTGAATAGAAATAGTCACAATTTTAAGGAAACTGAAATTAACAATGAGGTCTTTGAAGAACACATGTAAGCCCCTACATAAGGAACATTTGCTATGTCCAGAGAACACTGATACTAGATCATACACCACCAGATGACTGAGCAACTCTCAGTTCCAACCCTGGTGTGGTGAGAAAGCTCTGTTCCTAAGATGGGGAGGAGGAGAGAGACTCAATATGCCCTCATTTCACGCTAAGACTTAAAAATCAGGGTTTCTAATGCAAATCCAATTTACTTTCCATTCCATGACACTTCCTTTCTGTTAGAAAACTAAATTCCAAAAACTGCAATTTCAGCATCTATGGAACATGTTCCTACATTTGGGTTCTGGAAGAGATACAAAAATATTATTCACACCAGAACTCTGTGAAAGCCACAAAATTGCTCACCATCTGTAGTCTTTTCTACCTAAAGTTTTAATTTAGTCCACTGGAATTTTTTTGTCAAAATTTTTCTGTAGATTTTTAATAAAGAGGATTTCTAATACAAGTCATGTGGCAATAAAAGGCATTTCTAAAAATTTCCTTAGATACAGACTTTGTTGAAAAGTTCCTGATTTAACTGCTTTGGGTTTCTGGTTGTTTGCTTTTTAAGAACTTTCTAGAATTAGTACATAATTATTTATGGTAAATAAATTACAATTTAATTGCTACTCTTTAAAATGCCTGGTTTGTGAGGAACCCGTGGGCAATATGGCTTCACATATCCTTCATTTATATGCTAGTCATCTTTTTGCTTTTAAAATCCTGGCTTTTAAATAGTTTTTCTGAGGCCGGGCGCGGTGGCTCACGCCTGTAATCCTAGCACTTTGGGAGGCCGAGGCGGGCGGATTGCTCAAGGTCAGGAGTTCGAAACCAGCCTGAGCGAGACCCCGTCTCTACCAAAAATAGAAAGAAATTAATTGACCAACTAAAAATATATATACAAAAAATTAGCCGGGCATGGTGGTGCGTGCCTGTAGTCCCAGCTACTCGGGAGGCTGAGACAGTAGGTAGGATCGCTGAGCCCAGGAGATGGAGGTTGCTGTGAGCCAGGCTGACACCACGCACTCACTCTAGCCTGGGCAACAAAGTGAGACTCTGTCTCAATAAATAAATAAATAGTTTTTCTGAACATTTCTGTCTTAGAAATTAATGTTTAAAGTTTACAAATACTTTTTAATATAACAAGCGGTTATTTCACTGTTGACTTGTTTTATGAACAAGTCATGAAAATTCTGGGGTGTGTTAGTACTGTTCTATCCAGGATTTGAAAGATGAACAAAGTAAATATAATGTTCCCATTTTAATCAGTGTAAAGAATAGAGAATAATAAGATAATATGAGTATCTTCTTGTATTTCTCACAATGAGTAAAATGTTTATATCTTGTACTACTGTTTCTCCTCTTTCCTAAGCTCTATCATTGTGTCATTGCAAGTTCTGATCATTACAGTGCCTTCTAGGTGGTCCATCTGCTTCTCAATTTTATCCCCCAAAATGCTATCTAAAATACCCCTACTACTAATAATAACAATAATTAATGAAATAAACCTTACTACATGCTAGACACTATGCTGAATGTTCTACATGGACTCTTTCTTTACAATAACTCTAGGAAGATAACCTTATTATATCCCCTTTTCCAAATGAGGAAACTTGAAACATAAAAAGATTGGGTAAAATGCCCAAGTTCACAGAGCTACTAATGGTAAAGCTGGGGTTGAAACCCAGACTATGTAACTCCAGAGCCCAAGTTACAACATTTAATTGCCTCTCGCTTTTCCTCGAGCATGGGAAAGTGTTTCATTATGAAGAGAGTTTTTAGTCCAAATTCCTGTTCACATTCTAGGTTTATACTTTAACACCTCCATGTTTTCAGGCAAGTTCTCAGTTTCCCTTTTTCTTAGTTTCTTCGCTGATAACATGGAAAATATCTACCTGCAGTAGATATTTGAGGACCGGTAGTATCATATATATGGCAGGGAACACAGTGCCCAACAGGTGGTAGGCTTTCAGTAAATGATAGCCACTCCTGTCGTTTTTATTACCATAATGTTGCCTATATCATGTCAATCCCTGGCCCAATAAACCATTAGGCTTCTATTACACTGGAACAGTGCCTAGCATGCAATAAGCACTATGTGAGTGCTAATTGTTATATTAGAATCATTGGCTGGGCACAGAGCCACCCAGAACAAAGACTATTTCCCAGCTTCCCTTGCAGTGAGGAGTGACCAACTTTTATGCAGTGGGTGATGAAAACAGAAATAATCTTGTGGCATATTATAGAAACTTTCCTTAAAACATGGCTATTATGAATCCCTTTTGAC